TAATTGGAATCTACAGGTCCGAATACAACTTATGAACATGTTTTTAGAGTACCGCTGAGGTGTTGGAGTTCCAAATTCAGCTGGTATGTACCTCATTTTCTCTTGATTTATTTCCCTGATCCTCAAAACCCATCCAAAACCGCCCAAAATTCGCGGAAACCAGGGAAAATTCGCGGAAAACCAGGCAAAATCCAGTCAATGGCTTTGAAAAATCCATCCAAGGGTCCATGAAAACCCCTGTTTTTGAAAATCCCGGAGCAAATTTGGTGGTGAATGGTTATTTTAAAAGTGGGTTATGTATCAAAATTGCCAGAATTTTACACTCAAGGTGTCTGATTTGCCAGAAATGAAGTTGTTGAGATTCGAATAAGCAGAATATGGTGGTGTGGTGATACATGGGTGGGTTGTGAATCCGATAAAATAAACACTGCAGCTCCTCAGACGATCTCCCATGTGCAAACTGCTACTGATTTGGAATCTACAAGTTGTTGCTTGTGCTTAGAATATTGTTGATCGCTAATATAAGTTCGTTCTGTTTTTGATCTGTCGATTTACTGTAGGAGCTGTTGATTGATGATTATCCGATTGGATTTACCCAGTACAGCGTGTGATTTTTGCGAATTCTACCTTCAGTTACCTTTTAATTACCTGCAGCTTTTCAAAGGTACATTAAATTCCTTCTTTTTGAAGGAGTTTATTCCATCGAAGGTGGTTTTGCATAATAGGACTCTTAGTCATCCAAAATACCCACTGTTTTGTGCTGTTTTCGGGGTTGGCCTATCATCTGTTATACATATATGCCATACTTGACACTTTTAAGCTATAGTCATTAGTATATGATAAACACTATTGTCAAATCTCCGAACTAACTTATCATACATTTTTCCTCCAAATTGACCACTGAGTTAGTGACACGTAATCTGCCAAAATAGTTCTGGTTTTTTTTCAAAATCTCCATAGTTAAGGGATCATGAAAATTTTAGAGCACATCGTTTTTAGAGATTATTTTTTCTTTTACATGCTACCCAACGAAACCATTCTCAAATAGTATAAATATCAATTTTTAGAAAGCTGGAAAGGTGTTTAACAGTCTATTTATCCCTATTTAAACCTTTTGCTCCAATTGAAGTTCAAACGCAAAGGAAACTTCATTGTCTTAAATTCTGGGTTTTTAAATGCAGGTTATGTTTTAGAACAGTCTGACCGTTCTTTCAAAGCAGATCTTAAGACGATGGCTCATAACTACAAGAAGCTGTGAGCACTGAGCTGTATATGGTCTAGGTGGTCTATTCAATTAGCTTAGAAATTACAAGCCTACCTCAATGAGCTTCAAACCGCTTGATTTTAAACAATGCAGGAGCAGATGAACTCAATATCTATCTTGATGAATCATTTTCTTCCAAATTTGTTTCTTACATGAAGTGGTTATCGGTAAGTATTAATGGAATCGAAATCTTGCCGAAGCAATACATTCATCATGAATCATAATCAATGATTATACAGCAATGAAAGACGTAGTTCGGTGATTATTTATAATGCGCTTCATCTGATTGCCATTGATTAATCTAATCTGAAGTCAGCTAGTTATAAATATTTTAATATAAGATCACTAGGGCAGATAATATTTTAATTAAATAGAAGGCCGGCTAATTGGGCTGCTAATTTAATGTTGGAACCGCAATTAATCAGGCAGTTTCCTTAATATATAATTAATTTATAATATATATATATATAAATTATCCAGCAAGCTGCTTATTTTATATAAGTGCAATAATATATTTAAATATATAATAAGCATATATATGCTTCATGATAGGATCAATATATCCAAATAATTTTATCAAATTATCGGAAAATAAAAGTAATTATATTAAGTACGTTAATATACCTGTGCAAGAATTACTATATATACTGGATACTGGATACCATTTCAACATAATTGACTCCTTCATTAACAAAGCTCTATGCCCATTAATATCACCCACCACCACCACCACCTATGCTCTCTATTCTTCACCATACAAACTAAAAGGGTTAACCGATTAGTCATCGGATACTTTTACAGTGTAGCATACAAACTCTTTTGCCTGTAGAGCTGTGCTAAAACAACAGCCAGCGTGGGTGGCTTAGTTGGTGCAGCATTTATCGCAATTATCGCAATTAAGCGCAGTTAAGCCGAGCTTATTGTGCCGTGATGCAGATTCGCGAAGCAAAATCTCAAAAGTTTTCAAAACAAACCTTGACCCTTTGCCCAATACTTGCCTAAATTGTGCTTTTGGGTATCATGAGTGTATCCAACTTGGAAAAGAGGCTATAGTGTATAGTAAATAGGGCTAAAAATACCTACAGTTCAGGGAATAAAACTGAATGAATTAGGGATAATCCATTAACATATTGGTGCTCGTTGAATCATGTTTGATGTTTATCATACATGATGTTTTGGATTCAAGTACTTTGGCATAACTCAAAAAAGATGTATCCGCTTTCTTATAAAATTGGGGCTATGAATAAAGCATATATATAAGTACAGGGTCCTAGAGCTGAATTTAGTTACTATGAACATCCATTAGCATTAACGTTTACACTCATAGAGAAACCTGTCCAATAACTAGCAAAGCACAATGGCTGAAACAGTTGAATGGAGAAACTACTGGTATAACCCATCAAGATGGGCTGCCATTCTTTTCACCGTCCTATTCTTTGTTCTGACATTGGTTCAGACTATTCAAGCATTAATTAGTATTCGTTTCATTAAAAAGAATGGACTCAATAATAACACGAAAATTAGCTGGGGGCTTCAAAAGTACAACTTTTTCAAAAAGAGAAAGAGTTATGAAAACCTCGAGGATGTTCAAAAACCAGATGGTGATATTGAAGCGTGTGAGGAAGCACAAGATTCAAATGCATACAATGCGCATACATATGTTTGGATTTTGCTCCCATTTTATTTAGGTCTCTTCTGTGAATTTATTGGATTTGGTGGAAGAATATTCAGTCACAATAACATAGAATCCACAGGTCCTTACCTTGTTCAGGCCTTATTATTGATTCTTGGTCCACCATTGTTCTCTGCTACAATTTACATGGCTTTCGGTAGAATAGTCACAACTGTTCTTCACAATGAAAATTATCTTTTGATTTATCCAAAATATATTACAACAATCTGTGTTGTTGGTGATTTACTTTCTTTGAATATTCAAGGAGCTGGTGGTAGTCTTATGTCCAATGCTGATGAAAACATCAAGTACTATTCGATGGGTGAATATGTTGTCATTGCTGGGTTGGCTGTTCAAATCTTATTCTTTGGATTCTTTGTCATTATCGAAGCAACTTATTATTTTAGACTTCAAAGAAACATTCATGCCAGTCAATACAACTCCAAGATTATCAATGAAGACATCAGATATTATCCAAAAAGATTCATCAATTGGAAAACCATTCTTGTATCGCTATTTGTTTCTTCAATTTTCATCTTGATCAGATCTATTTATAGGGTCGTTGAGTTTGTTCAAGGTAACAGTGGGTATGTCGCTAGTCATGAATGGTTTTTGTACTTCTTTGATGCTGTGATGATGTTTCTTAGTGGATTGTTGTTTGTTTCTCAAGACGTTTCCAATTACTTTTTGAAAACAGTACCATTAACAAAGAGATTGCAAGAATTGAAAGAAGGGGAATCCAGCTACGAAATGACCAACTATGAATGATATACAAAAACTTCTTCAGTGACCCAAAGATCTGTTGTGATTGAGAAAAATTTATTTATCACCGTATATTGAAGTGTAGTCACGTGATCTACTCGTTCAATTTCCGCGAATTCGTTTGACGATCTTCGTAATTGATGCATGGCGACGGGCGTAATCGTTGGCCAAAGAAAAAAAAACTGTTTTGAGGTCAAGAAAGTTATAAATACAGTTGAAGAAAACAGTGACAACAACAACTCCCAACCACAATGTTTATAAGTGAAGAAGAGAAATAACAGTATCCCTAGGAAAATGGCTACTGAAAGAATAGTGTGGAGAAACTATTGGTATAATCCATCATTAGCTGGTGCTATCATCTTTATTATATTGTTTTTTGCATTGACTTTGATAGAGACATTCCAAGCTTACAAGAGTATACGTTATATCAAAAAGAATGGGGTATACAAGAGTAAAACAAGCAGGTCAGCAAAGAATAAAGGTCCTGAAGAAGTTGAGAAGATGAATGGTCAAGTTGAAGTAGATCAAGCTTCACAAGCTACAGCTCAATATAACGGATCTTATAGATTTGTTTTGATTTTGATTCCTTTTCATTTGGGGTTATATTGTGAATTTTTGGGATATATTGGTAGAACAATAAGTCATGGAAATATTGAAGATCAACATTCTTATATCATGCAAACTTTGTTGTTGTTGATTGGTCCACCATTCTTTTCTGCTTCAATCTATATGGTATTTGGAAGAATTGTGACAAATATTCTTCATAATGAAAATTATTTATTGCTATATCCAAAATATATAACAAAAGTTTGTGTTGTTGGGGATATTATATCATTATTATTACAAGCTGCAGGTGGTGGTATTATGGCCAATACTAAGAAAAATATCAATAATTTTGCACTTGGTGAAAATGTTATCCTTGGAGGGTTAGCTGTTCAAATTTTGTTCTTTGGATTCTTTGTGATTATCGAGGCAACTTATTATATAAGACTTCACAAGAATATGCAATCAAGTGAATATAATTCAAGAGTTATCAATCAAGAAATAAGACATTTCCCAAATAAGTTCAACGATTGGAAAACAATTCTCTTGACATTGTTTTTATGTTCAATTTTCATTTTGATTAGATCTATATATAGAGTTGTTGAGTTTTCACAGGGGAATAATGGTTATATTGCAAGACATGAATGGTTTTTATATTTTTTTGACGCATTGATGATGTTCTTCAATGCATTATTGTTTGTTTCACAAGATGTTTCAAATTATTTCCTCAAGACAATCCCATTAACATTAGAAGTTGCATCTACATAGAATTTAGAAGAAACTCTAAATGAAAATATTAAAATTTAGTGAAAATATGTATGAAAATAAAACAAAGTTTGACTTCCCTTTCTATAAACCATTACTTGCACAACTGAAAACTTTACCATAAGCATCATCTTGATAACTCAAAACAATACTATCAACACTGGCATAAGTACCAGGTCCAAGGATATAGATACCCATCAAGATCAAAAATATGCAAATAACGTATTCAATTTTTTCTCTTGTAGTTAACACATTGAAGAATTCTCTAGTGTTTGTAAATTGTCCTTTATACTTGGATTGTCTTAGTCTAATGAATGCAACACCCCAAAATACAAATCCAAACCAACAATCAAATAATGAAGACATTAAAGATAACAAATCTGAAAAGAATGGAATAACTTCTGCAATAACAAAAGCAAGAACCCAAAACAAGACGTTTAAACCAATCCAAACTGACCAACCTTTGACAGTGTGTTGAGATTTATGTTTTGAATTGTGGAAGATTTTCAAAAAGATGAATTGAGAGGAAACATTACTGTATAGTGACCCTAAAAACACAATAGTTGGAATGGCAAATGAAAAAGCAACTTTCTTGTAAGTACCAGTTAAAGAACCAAAAGCTGGAGCTGTGATGTACTCATTACCAACGTAAACATAAACAATGGAACCAGCCAATGAAAAGACAATAACTTCACAAATGGTAACGACATATATAGCTTTCTTGAAATCTTTTGGATTCTTCATTTCTGAAATGAATGAAGGATAACAAATTTGTCCAACAAAAGTATAAACAATGTTCAACATTGCACTCATACCACTCACATAAGTGGTCCCTTCTTCTGGCCATAGATTCCAATGAACTGGTTTCCCAGGCTTGAAACCTTCTGGATGATCCTGAACACCAGCAAATGCCATTGACAAAACAACTGCAACAAACATTGTAGCGGCAGCAAAGATACCAACAAAGGACATATGACTGAAAGTTCTAGGTAATGAGAAAATCAAACAAACCACAGCTGCAACAACTGCAAACGCCACTGAACAGGCACCATGGTTCGATATAGTATTGAGATATTTAGCACCGACTAAAACGTGTAAAGCCTGGATCAAAATATTGTTTAGGATAAAACATACAGCAGTTGCATACCATGCCCATTTCTTACCCCAGAATAAATGTTGTCCAATATCACAAATTGATTGAATGTGAGGATACTTTGCACAATAATCACCAATGATCAACCAGTGTAAGCCACGGTGAATGAGACGAAAACCGTTAGGATCAAACCAGGAACTAAACCAAGGACGGAATATGACCATGGGAATGACATTATAGCAAGACATATATATTCTGAGAACAACAACCCAGCGGTTTTTTGCCATGAACATGATCTATACTTTATTTGAGAGTTCTCTTCCTCTGCAATTTCCTTATTAAGGAAGGCATCTGGAGTTGAATCTGTATCTGATTCAGAAACATGGAGAGGCATCTCTTGTTTCTCTGTGTCTTTGAAACTTGACGACGGCATCTTGTTCTAATGATGTGAGAAAGGGCTCTGGTGGACTTGATGTGGTTTAACAAGGGGTATGAGTTTATGAAGGGCACTAGAAGTATGAGGTGAATAAAGGAGAGTTTTATAAAAGATTATATACTCTTTTCACCAACTGGAAAACCTTTTCCAAAGCTATCACCAACACTTCTTTTCTTTTTAGGAGACGAATTAGATTATTGTTTTAGCCACAATTGACAAGATTGTTCTGCGTATACAGCAATTTACGTAGTTTTGGGCAGAACTGTACTGCTTAAAATGTGGCTAAAATCATCACATCTTTGATTAGGCGGATGTGCCAAAAGGGCTCATGCAATAGAGATTGTGATTATCACCATCACCAAACCAAAACAGGAACACATCAACATCAATATTGAGCTACAACCAATACTTTTAACAAAGTATCGAGCATTTCTCACGGCATCAAACAAGGTTCAAAGCTAGAACTCTTGTGTTTTTTTTTATTTCTCTTGATGGAACGGTTGCTCTTTTGCGTGGAGCATGGGCCACAAATTGTGGCATTTCTTCACCAATTTTTAGCCAGGGGCTCGACAACGTTTGTGGCGTCAATGATTATAGAACACTTGTGATTTGCCAAATTTTTTGATGAGATGGGTGGCTAGTACAATGGAGTAGAAACAGCTTGTAAATGCTTTTATTGTTGAGGTTTTAGCACTTTGAATTGGGCCCGGCCTCTGATGCCCCTGAGTATTAATTTGATGATGTCATTTTCCTGTCAAAACCGAGTAGAGCCACAAAGACGTGGTTTTGTGGTTGTAATTGGAAAAAACGTTATAAGGAATGTTCCATCCCCATGATTCTTTTCTTCTTTACTATTTTAGTGTTTAAGCTCGAAAGTCAAGAGAATCTATTAACGTGATCTTTAGAATTATTATTTAGCCTTCAAAAAAGGAATTCTGTTTTCAAAAGGAACAGCTATAGCACAGGGTGCAGTTTTGATCTGGAGTATACCCAATTACCTTTTTGTGCTGATCATCATCTACAAGTTACTAGTCTATTGTCATGCTATCTATTAGTGAGGTCAGGTCTATATATGATCCATACCAACATTTTCAGCATCATCATCATCACCCAAGTCAAATTTCCTTTTACTATTGGATCTTATTGTTCCCATTTCTCTGGTTGCAACTTGTTTCTTAACCTTCTTGGTCATTTTTTCAATCTCTTCTTCAACATCTCCTGAAGTTTGCTCAGCATATTGCATCACTAATCTTCTACCTAACAAATGTACCCCTTGTAATTGATCCATCGCGCTCTCTGCTTCTTTTGGTAGTAAAAATTCAACAAAAGCGAACCCTCTTGCGGACTTGTCAAATTTCTTTGGAACTCTAACAGATTTCAATTGACCAAAAGAGTTGAATAATTCAAATACATCTTTTCTTGTAGCTTCGAATGGTAAATTCTTGACGATAATCTTGGATGAGATTGATTTGTTTTTAGCAATTGATTTGTTAACGACGTTTTGACGATGTGATAATTTCAATTGTAATTTATGACCATCTAAAACAGTGTTATCTAATGTCTTTATAGCTATATTTGCTTGATCTTTAGTCTTGAATTCTGCAAAACCGAAACCCATACTTTGTTTCTTTGTACTATCTTTTGGATCTGGTTTGGTCTTTATAGTAGCAACAACAAAACCATCAATAACTTTGAAGATTTCACTCAAGTCTTGTGAAGTTGTAGAGAAATTTAAATTCTTGACGAAAACTGAAACTGTTGGACCTTCAAATATTTCTTCATCATCATCAATATTTTGAACATCCTCTTTAATTTCTTTAACATCAGCTTCTTTTGGTTGAACTTCAGCTTCACCAACACCTTCTCCTGTAGTTGGTTCTCTTGTGAATAGATCTTTTGGACCCTTTTCCAAATATAATATACTTTTCTTGAATCTTCTATAACATAATTTTGTGAATGCAGATCTACCACTTGATAAATCTCGATATTGAACAATAGCAATAGTACCTGAAGGTGGCATAATCATTCTCTTCAATTCACCAAAAGGTTGAAACAATTCAAGTAGTTCAGCTTCAGTAGTACCATATGGGAAATTCTTAATCAAAATAATACTATCATCTCTTTCTTTCCCTTGGAATTTTGTCAAATCAATACCTTTATTTTCAAAAAATTTACGAACATCACCGATAACATGGGCTTCAGCTAATGCTTGTTTAACTGCAGAATTTGAGTTTTCAGGATCTATCAAATCACGTTTATCAATTCCTAAACTTGAAGCAATACTATTCATAACTGCATCATTATTCATATATAATGAATTCCAACTAAATTGAGATTTTGAAGCATCATTTTTCTTTTTCAATTCTTTTTGTTTCTTCAATGGCAAGTTTTTCAAATCAAATTCATCCAATCTATGATCTTTTTTACCATCTGCTGGTAAAATATGTAATAAACGACCTTGGAAAATTTGTTTATCTAGTTCAATATATGCATTGATTGCTTCTTCTGGATTGGCAAATTTGATATATGCAAAACCTTTAGATTGCCCATTTCTTGTATCAACTGCAATATGAACTTCTTCTAATTCTCCATATGGTGAAAATAATTGGGTGAAATCATCTTCAGAAGCTGTATATAGAATGTTTCTAAGGAATAAACGACCAGTTTGCTTGATTTTAGAAATTGCAATTTCTTCTTCTGATTGTTTTGACTCTTCAGGTTCTGGAACAACGTGACTCTGTGGTTTTGAGGTTTCTTGCTCTTGTGCTTGCTCTTCTTCCTTCTTTTCTTCGGGTATTTCACCATTTTCCTTAATACGTATTCTTCTTTGCTTTAACCATTCCAAGTCTGAAACTTCTTCATCGTTAGCCGCGGTTTTTTGTTCTGTGTTTAAATCATCAAGACTCATCATTGGTTCATCTTCATCATCCTTCTTTTCCTCATCGTCTTTACCAAATTCAGTATATTCATCATCACTTTCATTTTCTTGAATTTTGAAAATTTCATCAGCAATTTTATTTTCAAACTTATTTTCCACAGTATTATCAGTCTTCATGGCTAATGCTTGATCTAATAATGAATTTGATGGAGCACCACCTTCATTTACAACAACATCATTTGACCATGATTTAACTTGTGATGAAGGTTTCATAGTTTGAATAAATTCTTGTAATCTTGGATCATTTTCAATCTCTTGATCGATCTGTGATTTCTTTTCCCTTCTTTGTCTTTTTCTTTCCCTTTGTTCCTCTTGTTTTTCTTGTTCTCTAATTTCTCTTTCTCTAACTCTTTGGAAAGCTTCTCTTTTCTTCTCCCTGAAAGATTTTGGAACATTAGGATCAACAAAACTTTTAGCTAAATCAACTTGGATCTTGGCAGTATCTATGAATGAACCATTGAAATATTTAACAGCTTCTTCTGCATCTTCTAGTTTCTTAAACCCAATAAATGCAAATCTTCTTGATTCACCAGTTTTATTTTTTTTTAACTTGACATCTGATATTTCACCTTTTTTGGAGAAATGGTCTCTAAGTTTATCTTCTGTAAGATATTTAGGTATCCCTTTAACAATAATACGGGACATTATTAGTTCCTTTTAGTTGTATGGTTGAAAGTTATTACACTAGGTTAATATTTCTATGTTTTTCTATCTATGAATTTTTTTAAGGAAAAAAAATATTGAGCTGGTTGGGACCGCATCTGCCAAATTCGAGGAGATGAGATCATGTGACCATTACGAGGGTGCCCTTACAAAATTTTGAAAATTGCAACTCCATATTCAGTTTATTATGGATAACTTCATTCAAAAGATCATTTCATCACTTTAAAAACTGTTCTACAATATATTTAAATATTAAATTTAACATGTATCAAATCACAAAACTAAACACTATCAAAGTATCAAAAAAATAACAACCAAAAATATTCACATTATAAAAAAACAGTATTAATTAAGAAAGGTGTCAAAAACAAAAGGTAAAATGTATTCATAAAATCATTAAAAAGTTGGTGATAAAAACAATAAGAATTGAATGAGGGAGGATGCAAGAGTTCTGCTGGATGAGTAGCCGCTGTGTTTGTTGTTTAATCCCATCTAGATTGAGTGACTTTGAATGAGGCTGGTTTTTGAACAATACCATCATCAACAACTTCAAATTCTTGCCATGTGTGTTCAGCATATTCAACAATTTTGTCTTGAATGAAGTTGATTGTTTCAATTTGGTTGAATAATTCACCCTTGTCAATTTCTGTGTTGATTTTGTTCTTCAAGATGTTGATTCTTTGAGTTAAAGTATCCAATCTATAGTTCATCCATTGTTTGTAAAATTCATTATAACGGGAACCTGATAAAGTTGCTGGCTTGATGGTTGTTAAAACACAGTTATCTAATAATGGATCTCTTGGTCTGAAACTGCAAACTTGTGTGATTCTTTCAGTATAATCACCTTTTGGTTTTGGAGCAACATGTCTCAAGATTCTACCTTGCAAAACATTAACCCAACCTTTCTTTGGGTTTTCAACTTTAGCAACAGTACCATCACCAGTTAATAATGAAGTTTCACCACCAATCATTTTATCAGTTTCACTCATCATCAAAACACAGACAAATTGTGGTGAATCATAATGCCATGAAACAATAGCTGGAATATCATCTGGGTTTTCATATTTAGCTGAAGTATCCAAGATCTTACTTGCTGGTTGTCTGATGCTAACGTTAGAGTGACCAATTTCATAATCAAACATATGTTCTAATTCAACACCAGCCATAGTACTCAAGATTTCCATAACTTTTGGGTGTGTCCAAGCTTGGAAAGTGAATGGAGCATATTCTTTAGCAAAGCCTCTCAAGTACATATCAACATCACCAGTGTTTGAATGGTTGGCAATACGACCACATTTGGAAAAACATTCTTTTTGGAACATTTCCCATCTCATGATAGCTATGGTTTCATCAGTAAATAATGGGAAGGCTTCACTAACACCAATTTTGGAAATTGGAGGTTGATGAGTTTCAGTGACACCTAATTCTTCCAAAGTTAATCTTTTGGTCTTTTCATAATAATCATCAGTGAATAATAAATGTTTTGAAGGATCAAATTGAATTGAGGAAGGATCATCAATACCAAATTTGTTTAATTCTTTTAATAATGGAGCAACATGGTCTTCATAGATATCAGTTGGGACATCATATGAATGGTTATCATGAAGGACATCTGGTGTTAAAGAGGTTGGTAGGACTGCAATAGCCATTTTTTTGGAATATTTAAAGTTGTAAAGTTAAAATCAAAGATCTATGAGATAATGAATAAAGACAATTGATGTTCAAGAAAAGAGACGTTAAAGGTTATTTATATTAAATGTGACAAGTTCTAAAAACACCCTTTTGCTTTGATTGTCAACTGCCTACTTCTACAACTTATCACTCTTGCGGTATGATAGAAACTGTTATAGAAGATCTACACCCTATCATTTATCATTTATCTGCCTGGTATCTAAAATTATCACTCACCAGGGGGAGAGATATGGGATTATGGGGGACATTTTACTATGGCCGTTGCAAGTTCTAGGCTCCTTCCACAGCAGAATCGGTTGTGAAATGTGATTATCTGTGATAAAGAGTGGACGGGTTTGCATTATCTTTAGAATTCAGCATGTTATTTTTTTCCGAATCGAGGTTGAGCACACGGAGATAGAGCTGCAGCGAGATAAAGATAAGTTTTGGCGTTGCTGCGCTTCTTTGACGACTTCCGCATGAGCTCGTTCGAGTTTGACACTTTCCTCATGGGTGATCATGCTTAATGTTGCTTGAGCTCATCGCTTGAGTCAGTTGCAAAAGGGTATTGGAATTTAGGCGATGTGCCAATTTGGAAGGAGAACCGGTAGCAGCACAGGCAGGGGGCAGGGGCGCGCCCTGGTCGGAGTCTCCGCCTAGACTGGATATTGAAATCCCACAGGGAAAATCTTAACGGTTTTGTTTTTGTGGCAGGAAAGATAGACACAAAAGAGTACAAAGAACACAAACATGAGTTGACCACAGAAGATAAAAAATGGGTGCTAAATTGATGATTGATTCTATCTAGTTCCCTCTCCAGAAGCTGCAAAGTACATGGTTGGTTGAAACGGCGGGTTTGTGCTATTTGAGTTATCGGGGACCACAGTTCTAACAATATTATTAGTTTGATCTTACGATCATAGGATTCAATTTCAAGTAATAAGATCCATCTACTATGGCACTAAACAAACACTCTATCATGGAATTGATGGCTCATATTGGTGTGTATCCTATCTCACAAGAGTTGACTATCTCAAATTTGGTTAAAGGTTACATTTTGATATGGATTTTTCTGCATTTTGTTCTTCTAAATGGATTCATTTCTTTAAACCTTAGGTTTGCCGGGCTATTTGTTTCAGAGTCAACCATAGTGCTAATTAAAAGCTTGATAGCTCAAGGTTTTTGGAACTCACTTATCTACTTGATCAATAAGAGAAAGATTAAGATTATAGTTGGTGGATTAGACTTGAATGACGGTGCTAAGCTAAACAACCTATTGAAGAATTCAATAGTTGTTAGTAACCATAGATCGTTGTTTGATTTCATTTTGATTTATTACTTGAAGAATTTGGTGGAGAGAACAACTAATGATCAAATTGAATTGAGTTTTTTCAACTGGAACTCTTTATGGAAGGTACCATCAATCAAAACTATTTACAATTTTCTACAAAATGATGAGAATTGGACATTGGATCTATTAGTATTAGAGAATAGATTAACAAGTTTCACCAAGAACTTTAGAAACAATTGGATTGTTCATTTTCCAGAGGTTAATATCTTTACAGAAAGAAACTTGTATTTACAAAATCAGCAAGTGGAGAAATTTTATCTTCCAAAACTTGATGAATCATTATATCCAAGATTTAACAACTTCAACAATCTTATAAGCGTTGTCAACTCAAATCAGAATTCCCCTATTCAAAACTTGATTGATTTAACCATTTTATACTACAATCCTGTCAAAAACACATTTACAAATCCAAGTTTATTTGAAATATTGACATTGAAACAACCATTCTTTATAATTAATATTGATGTCAAGGTTAAACCTATCAACAAATTACCAACAAAGCAAAGAAAATTGGAGAAATGGCTTGAAAATGATTGGTGTGAGAAGGATAAAACTATAGAACTGATGCAAAAACAATTAAAGATTAATGAGTAAAAAAAATAAACAAGCCATAACAACTCACTATATATGAGTTTTCTCTAGTTCAGCTGCAATGTCTTGGACTTGTTTGTTATCATTATCGACAGTGTAGTTTTCTTGTTCTTGTTCTAATTCTTTTTCGAGAACTTCAGCTTCGATTTCTTCTTCTTCTGCCTCTTCTTCACTTTCAGTTTCTTCTTCTTCATCTTCACTATCTAATTCTTCCAAATCATCTAATTCATCTAATTCACCAAAACCTCTTTCTTCAAAGATGGCATTGATTTCATCAACAATACTTGATTCTTCTTCAAATCTATTACCATTTAACTCTAATGATTCTAATTTTGGTAATTTATTTGCAATAACATCCTTCAAAATCTCTAAAGCTTTTGAGTCTAACTCATTATATTGTAATCTAAGAGTTTTGAAACCTTGTAATGATTCTCCCGCATTGAAAGCTTTAACCAATTCTAAAGAACCCAAAGGATTCAATAAACAATCATTAACGTTCAACTCTTTCAACTCTTTCCAAATAGACAAATTATCAGCAAGAACTTTGGCAGATTTTTTGGTGATTGTATTATCTTGTAAATCCAAGATAGTCAATTTAGTATTATGTTTTAAACCTTGCAAGATCAATTTAGCAATACCTTGAGGTCTAATACCGTTTTGATATAATTTAACAACTTGTAAATCTTTATGAGCTTTCAAACCAATTGATAAATAGGTGGTTGAGCCATTTTCTAATCTATTTCTACCACAGATGAAAGTCTTCAATGAAGGTTGGCCTAATTTTTGCTTTGCCAAACTCAATTTAAACAATGATTTACCAATACGTTCACCGGCAAATGGACCCATACCATTATTTGATAAGATCAAATGTTGTAAGTAAACAGCCTTAGCAATGAAGTCCTCAACAGGTTCAATGGTTTGCAAACCGAAAGCATTGTCACTTAAGTTGATAATATGTAAATTTGGAGCTTTTGCTAATGCAGGTAATAGAAATTCTAAAGATTTTGGAATTTCATCTTTTAATCTCCCAGTGAACAAATCAGCAAAGTTAACTTCTTCTAAAGTGTCTCTATGTAAATCAATAGAGTCAGCTAAATGCTTTGAAGCATCAATACCGATGGTGTTACCTGAAAAATCCAATTTTTTAACATTTTTCAAAGCATTCAATTCTTTTAAATATGGTTCAATATCTTCTTTAGTGTCAAATTTCAATGATTTTCCAGCAAGAGAATAGACTTCTTCGTCTTTATATTCTGGAGTGAAATCTAATGAGGCCATTTTGATAGTAGATGAAGGGGTTCTTTGAGGGTTTAGGCTTGTTATTGAAAACTTGTTTTGCTGTTACAAAATTGAGATCCATGATTTTTTTTTTCAAATCAAAACATTGGTCGTGGTGTTTGGATGTGACCAGAAAGCCTTTTAAGTATGGTGGTGCTCAATGATGATAATGAGCAATTCTACATTATTAGTTTGTTCATCAATGACATTAAATTTAAGATATAGTTTTGTAAATAAGTTTGGTTTCATTAAATTCATCTTTTCAAGTAGAAAGGCTCCGTTTGAGTGTAAAGTGTACAGGAATGTAGCCTTTAGGACAGAGCCACACACCAAGTATTTATCAAGTCATTAATTCATAAAGATATATAAAAAAAGGAAAACAGAATGCTCCACAAGTGACAAATTAAACAAAACAAACAAAACAAACCATTATGCTTCTTATTTCTTTGGACCGAATAATGGATCACCAATGTTCTTACCTCTTAATTTGACACCTAAAGCTCTTTCTAGTTTACCCAACACTTGTTGGTTTGGAACGGCTCTACCAGCTTCATAATCATTGATAACATTTGGTTTTTCATTGATCTTTGTGGCTAAATCCTTTTGAGAAAGTTTCTTTTCAGTACGATGTTTTGAAATAGTTTTACCAACTGTAGCATCAATCTTCTTTGGAGCAACGACATCAGTTTCTCTGTCGACTTTGGTTAATCTTTGACCTTCAACATCACCTTTTTGGTTACCGGTTGAATATTTCTTGTCAACTGACAACACTTGACCAGTTCTTCTAGCAGCGTTGATTTGACCTTGAGTTCTAGCAACGTTGGTTCTTGGACCACCACCACCAACACGGGCTTTTGAACCGATGATTGTAACGTTATCCCAGTCTGACATTATTATTTGTTTTACTTTTACTTCCAATTGATTTGATGAATCGTTTGTAGTTGGTGAAATTGTGGAAAAGGACTTTAAAAATCCAATTTCGTCCATTTGAAGAAAGTGGCGAAACCGAAAAAAAGAAGCGCACCGAAAAAAACAAATGGCACGCTGAATAATGGCAGATAAAGTGGTTGGTCCACGCTCTTATAAACTTTTTTTTAAAAAGTTTCGAAAAAATTATTTTGTAAAGATTATTGAAGAGTTCATACAAAGATGCCTACTGAACTTGAAGAAGTATGTATTTGTATTCGTTTCGTCTATGTGAAATGTACTAACGTGTTGTCAAGTTAGTTGAGTTTTTACACTCTTCTCAAGCTCCAATTAGAACTGTCGCTTTAGAAAACTTGGTTGGGTTCTCTCAAGGTCCACACAGTGTTATATTTTCCCATGATGACTATAGACCAATTAAAGATTTGAAGATCTTAGCTCGAGACAAAGGGAAAACTATTGTTCAACAATCAATGACTATATTGGCCAACTTGTGTGATGATGAAAAAATTAGAGATATAATAGCTTCTGATGAATCATTTTTGAAATTTTTAGTTTCAAGCATTATTGATCTTGATAATAGAAATGCAGATCTAGCCACTATTCTATTGACAAATTTAGCCAAGAATGATCATATCACCAAAATCTTTGAAATAAAAGTGGAGCCTACTAATAAAGATGTTTTCAAAAGTACAAATGCCATTGATTGTTTAATTGATTGTTTTGTTAAAGGATCCGAGAGAAACTTGAATTCAAATGCAAATTTCGATTATTTATCATTCTTCTTTGCAGATTTATCAAGATTCTTGGAAGGTAGAAAATATTTTGTTACAAAGCAAGAATATGATGATATTGTCCCAATTTCAAAACTTTTAGTATTTACTGAGAAGTATGATTCTAAGATAAGAAGAGAAGGTGTTGCTTCAACAATCAAGAATGCTTTGTTTGAAATTGATTCTCATCAAATGCTTTTGGAAGATGAATCTGTTAACTTATTACCATACATTTTATTACCTATCTCAAGTTCAAAAGATGCTGAAATAGACGAGGAAGAATTATTCAATTTACCAGATGAATTACAGTTATTACCACCAGATAAGCAGAGGGACCCGTCACCTGAAATTATTGCAGTTCATTTAGAAAGTTTGTTATTGCTATGTACAACTAGACCTATTAGAGAATATTTACGTGAAAAATCAGTTTATCCATTGATTAGAGAATTACACAAGAATATAGATATTGATGATGTTGCTGAAATCTGTGAAAGATTAGTTCAAATGTTGATGAGAGATGAAAACCCGAATGAAGAAAAAGTGGAGGAAATTCCAGAAAAGATTGAAGATGGAGATGATTACGAAAGTGAAGGTGATGATGAAATCATGGAAGTTTTATGATCAATATATAATCATTGTACATTAAAAAAAAAACTGTAACTAACTATCTTTCAAAACCAAATAACCATCTTGACTCTTTAATAACTTTCTGACAAATCCTTTGATTCTAGTCTTGTTATCAGGATGTCTTGAAAGTTTAGCTTTCAATTTATGGATTAATTCCTTAGCTGTAACTTTTTCATTTGTAACAACTTGAATGATATCATCTTCAACTAATAAATCATCATTAGGAATTTCATTAGAAGAAGTTTCCCTTTTAACTTCTGGTGATTGTGGTATTTGCTGTGTAGGTTCTTCCAATTTAACTCTTTTATGTGATCTTGCTTCGTCATCAGAAGTTTCAACAACTCTTTTCTTAACATTTGGATTCCATTCACCTTTTGGAAATTTAACTAAAACAGAAGGTAAAGCTGAAAGCACAACGAGACCAACTGGATTATTGACCGTTTTAACTTTGATGCTTCTTCCTGATGGTGTTGCACTTTTACGAGTGGCTTCTCCTGATGGAACTGGGGAAACAGGTTTACTCAAGTCAGCTTTAGCACCTCCTTCTTCATCTTCATCAACTTCCAGATCAGATTCTGATAGATATGGATTAGCATCTTCGTCAGATTCATAAATACCAGTCATATCAGTTTTATTCAATGCTTTACGTAATCTTTCACCTTCTTTGTCAACTTTTCTACTTTCAAATAAATCATCATAAAGATCATCTCCATTATCTTCATCATGAAGACCCATGGCGTTTGCTGATCTCATTTCTCTCTTAATTTTACGTTCACTTTCTTTGTTTTCCTCTTCATCACCATCGACAATTGGTGCTTCTTCATCATCCGCAAAGTCCTCTTCAAAATCTAAATCATCATTATCTGAATCTCTACCACCTTTGTCTTCATCACCACCTGAAGTTCCCACTACTGTTTTCATCTTCTTTTTTGTACGTTCATATCTCGTTAATTTTTGTTCATTTTCATCAAGGTGTTTCATCAACCATCTTGGAACAGAGTTGTTTTTCTCCATTCTTGCTTCAGCTTCTTCTAAAGTTAATGTTGAATATTTGTTTCTAGGTGTGAATCTGTAAACCTTATCAGCTGGAACCATTTTGAAAGATTTATCCTTTTGATCGGCAATCAATAAAACATAAGCATCAGAGCTACCAGCTTCATAACTACCTACCCAAGTGTTTTTACCATCATAATCCTCCATAACCCAAGGGTAATATTCTTCATATCTCAACTTTTTAGCTCCTTCGTCATATGATTTGATTTGTCTAGTCTTCTTTTTAAATTGAATCTTGTTCTTTCTAGCACCACCATCTGGGGCAATCTGTGCCAATTGCTTTTCTTGTTTCTCCAATTTCTTTTCCTCTTCAGTCTTTACAGGTTCTGGTGCCACCTTGGACATATCTGCAACTTCTCTAACAATTCCATTCTTTTCCCTTTCTTCTATTATTCTCAATTTCTCTTCCTCCTCTTGTCTTTTCAATTCAACATTTTCCCTTTGACGTTGTTCAATTTCAGCTCTTGTCAATTGATATTGTAAATTTTTAGTCTCCTTACGATGTAATCTAACTGGTTTAGTAAACTTGTGAACCGGATCAACTTTTTGTTTTGATTGGAACTTTAGAATATGAGTCTTGACATCCTCAATTTCTTGTTGTGTACAAGCTCTTAAGGTACTGATATCATAGTCTGCTGGATTGAAAGTGGTTTGTTTTGGTGCTTGCGGTATTTGTCTGGTTGTTTCTCTCTTCACTTCTCTTTTGATGAGTGGCCTTGGAGGAGCACGCAACGGATTGGAACCCATGATGAATCAAAAGAATGGATGATCTGCTTGGTGATGATGGTTCTGAAAGATTTAACCTAATAAATCTAACTTCAAGTCGCAACAGAATGAATGATAAAGTGTAAAGATGGGTTTTGTAACTGGTTTGATTTTTATTTCGTCGATATTTCTTACAAAATTACATAATATCTTACATAATCGAAATCTCTAAATTGTATGTATAGTACAAACTTGTTAATTAAACAAGAAACTCTTGATGAGTTCATATAGGTTTGACCTGGGTGTGGGTTAGTATTTTGCATTTGATAATGGCCAGCTTTGTTACATACCTTGAAATGGAGTGAAATTAGCGAAAATATTAAAGCTTTTATATCTTGAACGAAATAGTAAAACACTCTTAAACCTTCTGGATCTTCACTATTTCTAACATCTGTTAAAGAGCCCAATTTGGTTGTCTGTTTGTTAGTTAGAACTCAAATGAATCTATATTTAATGTGACTTACCTCAAACGATATATGATACCTTCCAGCTTTGATTTCTAACTCTTGCTTACCATCTCTATTCTTTGGCGGCCATTTAGCATCATCTTCCCTGAACAATAGATGTTAATACTTCTCTCAGAACATTGAATCAATATCCCACTTACTTCAGTATCTCACTTTCAGCTACTATTTTCTTCAATTGTTTCACCACTGCTGCACTAATTGAAACTAATGGAAATATTAGTATATTGAATCTAGTTTTTATGCTTGATCCACTCACACTCTTTTCTTATTAACTCATCCCTCCTGTAGTTTGAATTGTTGGTATACCTTACCTTAGTAGGGAAGCCTTAGGAACGAGCGGTTTGACAGTCTCTTGAAGTGAACGATGACTGATTGTATTGTATTGTTGATTTTTCAATTTTGTAGTAGTTTTTTTTTTTTTTCACCTAAATTTCTCAGGCCTGAAATTTACTCGGGAATATATGAGCTACTCAGTTGAGCTAGTGAGAGCTTTGCATACCTAGGCAGGTATTTTATGCGTATATTTCAGAACTCCTAGGCTGGAGCCTGGAGCCTCCCTAGCTAATTCTTGAGATCATTTACAAGAAGCTACCCTAAAAATGCTCTCTGTGTAGGCTTTTGCCATAAACAACGCTGACATGTCACAAGAAGAAGAGAGTGCGATCAAAAAGCCTGACCTCGATGCTGAAGATGCTACAGAGTCGTTTTATTTGAGATATTACTCGGGGCACCAAGGTCGATTTGGGCATGAATTTTTAGGTACGTACTAAAGCATACAATACCACAGGCATTGAGAACAGATAACTAACCCTTAGGCTAGAGTTTGATGTTGAATTGAATGAAGATAAGAAAAGTGCTTTTAGCAAGATGTCCGATATTGTTACAGACCCAGAAGAACAATTCAACCTTATAACAAAGAATTTGCAAGAAGTTCTTAATGCTCAAATTATCAAAGATATTCTGGAAAAGAGAGAACGCCCATTGAAGGTTTACTGGGGTACTGCTCCAACTGGTAGACCTCACTGTGGTTATTTCGTTCCAATGACCAAATTGGCAGACTTGTTAAAAGCGGGCTGTGAAGTTACTGTGCTTTTGGCTGATTTACATGCATTTTTAGACAATATGAAAGCTTCATTAGAAGTTGTGAATTTTAGAGCTAAATATTATGAAAAAGTTGTCAAATCCATTTTGAAATCTATTGGTGTTCCTATCGAGAAGCTAAAGTTTGTTGTTGGTTCAAGTTACCAATTGACTGAAAAATATACCTTGGATATTTTCCGTCTATCAAATATTGTTTCACAAAATGATGCTAAACGTGCAGGTGCTGATGTTGTCAAACAAGTTGCAAACCCATTATTGAGTGGTTTAATCTATCCATTAATGCAAGCCCTAGATGAAGAACATTTAGGTGTTGATGTTCAAATTGGTGGTGTGGATCAACGTAAAATTTTCGTTTTGGCTGAAGAAAACCTACAATCTTTAGGTTACAAGAAAAGAGCTCATTTAATGAACCCAATGGTTCCAGGTTTGACTCAAGGTGGTAAAATGTCTGCTTCTGATCCAAACTCAAAAATTGATATTTTAGAAGAGCCAAAACAAGTCAAAAAGAAGATCAATACTGCTTTTTGTGCACCAGGTGTTGTTGAAGACAATGGTTTACTTTCATTCATTGAATATGTTGTACTACCTATCCAAGAGTTGAATAAAGGTGCTGGACAATTTGAATTCCCAATCGATCGTCCTGAAAAATTCGGTGGTCCAATCACTTATACATCATTTGAACAATTAGTGAAAGATTACAAAGAAGAGAAATTAGCTCCACCAGATTTGAAAACAGGTGTTGCTGATGCCATTAACGTTTTGTTGGCTCCAATTCGTGAAGACTTCAAAAACGATCCAGAATTCCAAGAAGCTCAAACTAAAGGTTATCCAGCTCCAGTTCCAGAAAAGAAGAAGGTCAAAAAAGTCAAAGATAAAGGCTCTCGTCACCCTGGTGCTATAAAGAAAGCTGAAGCTGCTGGAGATGCTTCTGGTGCTGATGAAGCAGCAGAAAAACTCAAAGAAGCTAAACTAGAAGAATCCAAATAGATTGCTTTAATATATTGATGTCTAATTTATTCATTCAGCTCTAGCTATAGTAGGTCTACAGTATCACAAACTGAAAGTATATTTATCTATAATGTCTCCCATCCACCTATATCCAGTGTTCCTTCCAACTTTCTAGTGACATAGTTTTGTGTATCGTGTTGAAGCCACATTTGTTTTATAAAGTTATCATATTTATCTTCACTTAACGTTAAAATCTGACCTTGTCTAGCATCCGAATCATATTCACCATGACTATCAATATAGGGTGCAGGGTGGAAGGAACCATTTCCTTTATGTAGTAACAGTATTGAGCTATGTTTCGGCAATAGAAACATCCCGAAATCATTCAGACACTCATTCTCATAATGATTATTACATTCACCTTTGTTTCCTTCGTACGCACTTTTCTGCAGATTAACAATCTTTCCACAGAATAAACAAACAGCAGGATCAAACCCTATAATCGACTTAAATTCTGGCTTGACATATATGATCTTTGTAAAAATGTCATCCAACCTCTTTGGGATATCGATAAGCTTCACAAGACCTGGATATTCCAACTTAGAAAACCTTAGATCATTATCAGTGGTTTGGATATATTGAACAAAGCCTGAAAATTTGGAATTCTCGACAGTTTCTGGTTGGTTGAACAATTCTAATTGCTCCTCCACAGTGGGTAGATTCAAAAACTTGGCCAACCTAATAGCTTCACTATCATCTTCATAGTACTGATCCAAATCCACACTATCCAAATTTGCACATGAAGCTAAGCACCAGATAGAGACCTTTCTCAAGAAAGGTGTGATAGAATGAACCAACAAGGTGTATAACAAATTCGGAAACCTCACATCTTCAAATACTTCATCAGGTAAATTATCAAACACTGGATGATTATCTCTGATTTGTCTAGCTAGACCCAGAATATTTGAGCTTGTGTTCTCTGATACTTCTAGGAGACTCAAATCAAAAAGACCGACTTTTTCATCAAACATACTGCCTTTAAGTTGTGAAAGTAAAGTTGCTATTATTTGAATCAAAAGCCCAGTATAACACAACCTTTGAATTGAGTTGTCCGAAATATTATTCGATGGAACACATGAAACCAACATCTCAAAGAAATCAAGATCGTCAAAAACTTCAAAGACCTTATCACTTGATAAGTAAGCCAACTTTCCTAGACATTCATCTGCAACTTTTACTTGAACATTCTCTTCTGGCAACTTATGGTGTTGGTAATGAGAAAGTATAGCAAACCAAGTTTTCTTGAACTCCACAAGTATTCTTAATGTTGTCAAAGTTTGATTTGATAGTTTCGAAGCCACATTGATCTCAGAATCAGTTCTCCTTAGAGCTATTTCTGTAGAGGAAATGGTGTTGGAAATCAGTTTGGTTAAATATTCTCTAAAATGTGGTTGAGAAAGCTCCCCTATACGCTTTGAAATTCTTGAGGTTATATCACGCAATGCTTTAGGAATAGTATTTTGCAAAATCAAGCTTTTGTATTGTGATTTTAGCGAGGAAAGAGCATCATCAGCTAAAATATGGGTAAGTTCTGATTCCGAATCTGAAAATGATGAATACCTCAATGAATCAAATCCAGCATGCCAATTTTCTTGCGGTTTCAAAAACTCTTTCAACGACCGATTATTGTGCGTCCAAAGAATCGGAACAAATAGATTTCCTAAGGATTTACACAAAGGACATATGAATTCAAGATTCTCAAAATCTTCAGGAACTGTTCTGGTGATTTGTGTTTGGCGACTTCTTGTTGAGACAAGGTAATTCTGATAACAGGAATAATGCATACCATGACCACAGCTTGAAGCAACAACACTGCTTAACGTACAATCATGCTCGTTCATAGGGAAAGCTGGACCAATAACATGTTTTGACCTAACATCATCATAATACCGACTCAACTTCGGGTTGTCATGATTGGATTCATCAAAAGCTTTCAATGTCCAATATTTATCCTCAAAAGGAACAGTTCTAGCAGACGATGAAGCGGACGCATTGAAAACAACACCAAAAAACTCATCAGGTCCCTTGGGCATTTGACATAAAATGCAATGTTCCTCCGGATAAAGCCATCCTTTCACCTCTTCATCATTATCCACCATATCTGCATCAGTATCGGTATCATTACCATCCCCATCAAGTTTGTTCTTTTCCACAAATTGACATTGTTGCTGTTTGAACTTGGCCATAATCTTTGCTCTTCTTTCTCTGGCCAGTATTTTTTTGCGCTCAAATTCAGATGAAGCAGTTGGTGGTGGAGAAAGAAAATCTGATCCTAAAATTGAAGCATCAAAACTTTGAACCTGTTCTTTCAAATAACTATCCACCGTTCTGTCCTTATCTTTTAACGTTCTGAATATTTCCCTAATTTTAGAATGATGTAAGCCGTAATCATCATCCTTCAAAAATTTATATAACAAAGAACCAACACTTTCGTAATAAAATGGTTCATTGTGGTCAGCTGTAAGTTCAGACCAAATATTTTCACTAAATTCCCTTGAGTACTTCAATTCTCTACCTTCGATTGCAATATGAATGAGGTGCAAAGCAAAGTTAAGCATTGTATCTGTTTTAGCTATTCCCTCATTATTCACATATTTCAACGTTGACTTCAAGAATTGCACAAAATTTTTGGAGGAGGTGAAACGAAACAAATCTTTGAACACTGTATTTTCAAGCGACTTCAAACTTGGAGTGATGAATGTTTCCGTACTAGGGACCTTTTTCTTTTTTGAAATTCTCTCTTTCATCGCCTTTTCAGCTTCTTCTCTTTTATTAGAATTGTAATGAATATAATAAGGATCCACCTGGCTGAACAATTCTTCTTTGAGCTTATAAATACCCGATTGATTACTTGATAATGGAGGTTCATAATTTGCAACTTTCTTCAGCACCAAATCAAAGCGCTTTTCATGGACAAGAAAGTCTGGTACTTCAGAACACAACTTGGAATAAGTCAATGGTTGGAAACACAAAGCATGGATGATCTCAGTTGAAAGCCTTTGATCTATCACTTCAGTTGGATCAAAATAGTATGAGGTTTGTGATAAGAGGTGGATGAAAAATAAAAGGCATTCTTCAACCATCAATGGTAGCTCAGCAGCATCATAATCATCATGATTTCCAAAATCTTCTTTAAGCCAAGGGAGCAACGACCATCTGCTAAACATAGACATCAAAATCATTTCAGAGTTAGCAATACTGGCCAAGAACTGAATCATAAATAAGTCTCTTCGATAACCAGATTCTCTGATACCACTTCCTTTGTAGATGTGTAGCTGTGTACGTATACTGAAACCATTCCTAACCCAGAACCCTATTTTGATCTGAGATAACATCACTATTACTCTAAGAGGGTGTTCAACTAAAACTCTTGCCATCTCGTCAACAGAATTTGACCTAAAATTGTCATCCAATTGGGCTAAGTCGGTAATACCAGAATATTGAACTATCCATGTCAGGAATGCATGCATTGGGTGAAGAAAACTAACTTTTGAGGAATGAACTTTGAAGTCTGTCACATTCAACTTTCCTTCTAGAGTGTCAATATTTTTGTAAATCAAATCTGTAATGTCACTGGACCCATTTGATCCTTGATTTGAATGCAAAAGAATCAGAAGCCTTGAAAACGCAACAGTTATTAATTCTGGAGTGGATTTATTATTAGGCTTCAAAAATGTCTTAGCAACCATCTCCGATAATGAAGAAATGACAGAATAGATATTGAAATAAAGTCCATAATCAGTAGACTCGTACTCCACATGTTCCACTGCTTCTCTTTCTAGCGTTGGTCTTCCTTGAAACAACTCAAGAATATCACAGACCTGATTGATGAATTGAGAAGTCAATATATTCTCAACACTATCTGACTTCAACAGAATACAACAAATATCAAAAAACACTTGACCCACTTTCCTATTTTTGAACGCAGTTGGTGCTAGATTCATGGAAGTGTCAACATCACAGGGGCGTCTGACTGATAACGAAGTGAGAAAACTATAAGCAGCAGCTAAAAGCCTTGTCAGGTCACCATGGTCAGCAATCATAGTGGCTGTTCCGAATGGCGTTAATATTTGATTCATTGAAGTCATACAGCTGGACTCTGGTTCTCGGTCATGAAGAAAAAACAACTCCAGCATAGTAGGATAAATATCTAGGTATTGGCAGCAAAGTAGTGGTCTATAGGTTAAATTGGCTGTTAATACTGAGCTGAAGAGATTATGAAGATCAACCCTAAATGACTTCCAGTACCGAATATCAAAGAATAGCAAGTATTGAAATTTTGAACCGTGGAAAGATTTCTTATCCTGATGATTGAATGAAAAATTAACATCATATCCACATTCATTAGCTAGCTCGCCATCAACATTCCAGCTTGTTGGTGTGAATTTCCAGTTCTCACTTTTGGGATTCGAAGAATCTCTAGAGGAGATGGCCACGTTGGGTATCATATCCAAGTCCAAAAAACCAATGGGATGCCCCTCAGGAATTGGATAGCATGATACACCTGTATTCCAGGGGCTGCATACCGCCCTCAGCAGCAAATCTCTTGAAACGTTGTAATTCCCGCTGATTGAACCATTTGCAATATCTGTCAACCATTGAACCATATCAGCGCACATCTCTTCCCTGAATATATCACGGGCACTTCTGATGCAACTTGATAAGCCTGTGGCTTCTAAAGTTTTTTGGGCATTAAGTAATGTCTCGATATCCGATGATCCAATCACTTTTGCTCTCCCATGTTGGTGGACCTCATCAGCGACCATTGTTGCAAAGTCTAAAACTTTTTCCGTTGTAAGTGCGACTCTTTGAATGGCATCTCTGTATTGTTTGTTTTGATCATTGTACAATAATAAATAGAATTTTTCCGAATTCCAGTCCTGACCTTTGTATTTCTCATATAGCAAAGTTGATCTTTGAGATTCTTCGATGATTTTTGCTGGACTATCTCTGATACCCTTCAGGATAGACGACGAAGAGCCTGCCATGACATCAACAATATAATCAAGAACAATCTCTATCGTATCATATAGTGAGTTTTTAAAGTCAATTGGAAAATCACTATCACTAGTTTCTTCAACATCAAAATGATCACAGTGGACTTTTGATTTCCACGCTTCTGGGTCGCCACAATCACATACACCTCCGAATTCTCTTTGACATATACTCATAATAACATCATGACCTTTATGAAACTTTTCATTGTAACAGTTTAAACAAAGTCCTGAAGACTCATCATGACCACATGTGACGCATCTATAAACTGGTTCACCTTTTTTAAATTTACGTCCACAAGATCGATTTGGGTGACGTGGATCAACATTCTCGCCTCTTTTCAAATAAAACTCTTGTGAGCACTTCTTATGACATTTATCTGGCATCAATACTTGAGCATAAGTGGGTAATTGATCTTCATCGACATCTGGGAAAAATGCACGTATGTAGCGCCCTCCATCAGCAGCAGCATAATATAAAGCTCGCCTTAGATCAATTCTAGCAGCATCACTAAAATCATAATGAAATTGGTGCGGAAGATGAACTAAATACTTTTTTAATAGCTCACGGTGATCCTGACTGGTCAAACCGGTCATCATTGTTTGAACTGATCAATTGTGTCTTCTTCGATGGCCACCAACTGCTTAATTATTCAAACAATCGAGCTTCACCCCAAATATTGAAACAATGTAATATCAACGTTCCTCTCTGTAGTAATGTCTCCCAGAATAATCTGACTACCCCACAATTCGAGCGAACTTTTTGTAATAGAGATTTGTAATGATCAGGATTCAACCAACTCCAGCATTGTAAGATCTGTTCGCAAAAACATCAACAAAAACCCGCGAAATTACAAAAACACTGCCCGAACCGGCGAAGGCAAATTTGTTGTGGGCCAACACATTTTCAATCTTCAATCGAAGTCGTCTTTTCAAGTTGGACAAGATACTTAGTCACATTGAAGGCACTGAAATACACCGAAGCATCACAACACTAAAGCTAGAAGTGGATATTTGATTCAGCAACTGATAAGTTAACGTTTCAACTTCGTTTCGATATGGATTTGTCGCCATTTAAGGCTAAGCTAAGGAACGCGCTAGCGAATTTGACTGTGCTTGGTCCAGATTCAAACGATGCATTATGGAGCGTATTGTATTATGCTGCCTCTAAAGAAGGTGCTACACTACCTACAATGTTCCCATTGGCTGAACCAAAAGATTTTCCAAAAGGTTGGGCAAGTTCAGCTTCCTTGAGCTCTAGACAGCAATTTTTTGAAAATAAGCAGGTTAATTTCACCCATGTTGGAAGGAACTGTGGAAGAAAGTTTAAGAAAGGTGAACCTATCTATCGCTGCCTGGATTGTTCGTTTGACAATACATGTGTCTTATGTGTTCATTGTTTTAATAAAGAAGATCATATTGGCCATCAAGTCAATGCAAGTATTTGCTCTTCTGGGAATACTGGTATTTGTGATTGTGGTGATCCAGAGGCGTGGAAAAGAGAATTGCATTGCAAATGTAATTCTAAAGCGGATGCAGAAGTCAATGATTACAATGGTATTTTCAATGAGGACTATGAATTGTTTTTGAAAGTTGTTTATGACGTTTGTTTAGATTTTGTTATCGAAGTGTTTGCTCGTCAAAACCAAACACTACCCGTGGTTAATGAGAGGTTAAGACGATTAGTTAGCCGCAGTGGTGATCAAAAGGAAGCTATTGATTTGTTGAAGAAAGATATATCGCAACAGACATTGAATGCAGAAAAATATGGGATGAAAGATATGATAATACAATATTGTGTTGTTCTTTGGAACGATGAATTCCACAATTTCCATGAAGCTCAAAGTGCCATCATCAGTGCAACTTCTACCTCCCGTGCAGGGGCCAAACAAGTGGCAACCCAAGTTGATAAAGAAGGAAGAACTATTTTGCTTGAAAATTCATCTCTTGAAGCACTAATTACTGGATTCACAAATGTTCAATCCAATGGGTTAACTGCAACTATAATGTCCAAAGTTGATTTTTTGAGACAAGATTACACCAAAACTATAATAGATTGGATTTCAGACACTATTAATTTTCCAAACACTGCATTCCAAAAAATAGCGAGAAGGGCTTTATGCAAATCATTATGCTCTCAATACAATTCAGATGATTTAGGCGATTCAGTATGGTCTTCCTTATACTCAACTGATTCAGGGCTTTTGAATGGTCAGCATTTGCCATATATCAGTCATGAAACTATTGATTTCACCAAAAGAGAAACATCAGCCACCACGACAATTTCAGATATTACTAAAGAAAGTTCAACCTTGGCTTTGGAGACAAGAATGCAATATCTACTTTTCTTTGATTTGAGATATTGGAAACTGCTCAGAGCGAAAGTTCATGATTTGTTGATCCCATCATTAGTTTCTGATCTTGAATACAAAATTATTGCAGCCAATCAAATAGTGGAGATTTATGGGTTACTGATGAGCAACTTATCCAAGCTAGATAGAGAACCACACATTAGTGCTCTAGATGAAATATCTTGTCAATTTTTCACTTGTCCAACCAATTCAACAAATATTATAAGCACTGAAAAGATAAGAGATGTACTATATCCGGTTGTGAGATTATTTGATTCTCATTCCAGACCGTTGAATTCTGAAGTGAAAAAGTTCAGAATTCCTCATAGAATGCTAGATAAATCTACATCCATCAGGAAATCATTTACGAGATCCATAAATGATTTGAATTATATGTTTGACAAAACAACCACAATCAACAACTTCTTTTTACCAGAAAACTTCATGCCATTTTGCTACCTTCTTCGTCTATTTGATAGCAATTGGGAGATCCAGAGAAAGGTTGGTGAACATGTTGAGAATGAAACTTATGACTTTGTTGATTACTTTGGCTATACTTTACAATTATTAGGGGTTGTTTATGCTGCCAGCGATCCTTCCAAATTAAATCCAGTTGATAGAGAATCTGTTGCTCTTGCAATTCAAAAATTGCTTCATTTATTATCGTTGCAGCCATCAGATAAATCTAAAGTCTATAAGTCTTATGAGCTTGTTGATTTCCAAGTATCTAAAGAATACACTGGTTTCATGAACCCTTCAAATGTCTTTCTTTCAAGGCTATTACAAATTGCTGCCAAGTCCTCAGAAGATATTATAAAAGTTGTTGATGGCTTTGATTTTGTTAAAATTGCTGATTCTTCTTTAAGAGCAATTGTGTTATGTGTTCAGATCGAGTCTCAATTCTGGGTTCGTAACGGGTTAAGCTCTTTAAAACAAGCATATACCTATAAATCGCCTCAGTTGGTTCATGATACTGGTTATTACAGGGATGTTCACTTAACACAGATAGGATTACTGTGCACTGATCCGGAAAGAGCATTTTTAAATATTTTGAACAGATTCGAATTGTTGGATTGGTTTTCAAACAAAATGCAGCTCACCAATACAGTTTATGAAGATAAGGTCTACACAATTCTTGAGAAATTGATATCATTTTTCTATGTGCTTATTTCAGAACGTTCATTGTTTATGGAGTTTGAGTCTACCGAGAAGGAAATACGTCATAGATTGAAACAGGTTCTCATTTACACACTATATTATAAACCGTTGACTTATTCTGAGATTGAAGAGTCTCTATCTGATGATTTGTCATCATATGAACGTTTAGATGAAATCTTGAATGAAGTTTCGATGTTCACTGCTCCAAGAGGATTAAATGATGATGGTCGTTACAGCTTAAAACCTGATTATTACAAGTTTGTTGATCCGTTGAAATTATTGGCACAAGTTAAAGACTTTCAAGATAATACAACAGTTTTATGCAAAGCACTTTCAGAGACTGACAAACCTGTTGATGATGTTATTCTTGAACCAAAATTAGCTAAACTTGAATCTTACAAGACCTTGGCCGGTTTCACTAGAACAAATGAATTTGCAAAGTTTGTTTACAAACTGCTAGAATATGCACTCCAAAACAATCAAGACACTTATGTTCCCCAATTGCTTCATTTGCTACATGCTGTTTTCAAAGATGATGAGATGGTTAATGGTAAAGATCATATTATTGAATCTTTTGTTCAGATACCTGTGTGTGAGTCTTTATTTTCTATTGCAACTTCTTCAGATTTCTCAAAACAAACTACAAGAAAAGCAGATTACTTATTGGAATCATTGATTGTTAAAAATAGCCGCTCATTTTTTGAGACATTGACATCCTGTTTCGGTGAAGAAGCGGTGAATGTTTATAAGGAGAAAAAGAAGTCTAGTGGTGTTAATTTTGATGAAAGTGAGCCAGAACGCAAGAGAAGAATTGCGAAAGAGCGTCAAAAGAAAATTTTGGAAAAAATGTCAAAGAAGCAGAAATTGTTCATTGAAAAGAATGATACAGGTGCTCAAGATGAAGAAAGTGAGAACTCTGATACTCCAGAAGGCGTCAGACACTGTGTTTTATGTCAAGGTGCAGAGACACCTGAAGATTTGTTTGGTATTCCTGCTTCATTTGTCAAGTCGAATGTTTTCAGACATCTTCCATCTCATGATAAATATTTCATTCAAAGGGCATTTAAGAATTGGGATGATGATTCTGTTGGAAATAACCCTGAAGCTGTTGGCTTGGGCTTCCCATTATCTGAGAATAGACGCAATAACTTTGAAACTCATACAATCGCGTCATCATGTAATCATGGGATGCATTTCAAATGTCTAAAGGATTACATGAGGGAACACAATCACTCAACCCCATCATTTGCATGTCCACTATGTAAGACATACCACAATCACTTTCTCCCAGTTTTCAACCCTAAAAATATCATCAGTCATGAAATTTTATCAAACACCTCAAGCAGTGTATTCGAATCATTTGTGGATCAAACAATGGATGTTTCTTTCGGGTCTTATGGTGATGGTTTTGAAGATTCATTGGATGTGGTTTTGGGAAGAGATTTTGAAAAGGCAGGTGCAGACGTCAAGTATTTTACACGAATGTTGAATATTTTGAGCAGTTCAATTAGACAAGCTGAAATATCAACCAGAATCAATGGATCTTCATCATATTCGGAATTTTTGAAACAAATTCCTGAGCAGACTTACAGAGTTTTAAGAGGAGTTTTCCAGACTTTGACCATTTTTCAACAATATCGTCATTTTAGCATATCTGACCTTGGGCACCATCCTGATCATGAAATTGATGTTGTATATCAATTGATAGTTAGCTTTTTCATGGGTACAAGTGATATGAGGGAAGATATAAGAGAAAGGTTCGTTGATGTTTCTGGTGAATATCTGTGCCGCTTACTTTCAAGAGTTTTCGACTGTGGTGAGTTTTCGGTTGAGTTGACTGGCGAAATGCCTTCACAAGAGCAGATTAATGCTTTTAGAAGTTTGATTAGTGATTCTGGTATTCCCTTGCCTGTTAAGCAGAAGTTTTTGGCTGATGATCAGTTTTCTGTGCAAATTGTCAAAATGACTGAATTGATGTTGCTACCACAGTTGAGAAGTCTATGCATTTTCTTCAGAGTGCTGTTCCCAGACTTTGATTTACAGAAATCAGATGATGATAGTGCTGTCTTGAATGATCTATTAAGCTCTTTGGGATTTCCAAATTATCATGAAGTTATTCGTGTGTCAATGGAGAATAAAGAAAGAACAGCTTTCAAATTTGATGAGCCTTTGCCTTATCCTGGTGTTATCAAATTGGTTGATTTACCAACTGAGCTAAACTTTTTTACAACAACAACAAATGACACATCAACTAATATATCAAAAAGATTTGAGCCAGAAGTGAACATTTCAAGTTATAACAATAGAATTGATTTTTCGGTGTGCTTGACATGTGGTAAAAAGGTGTTCAAAACTGATGATAGAAATGAAAAGTTACTTCATATGAAGAACACACACTGTGATAGTGGCCCAGATGGGTTATACTTAACACCAAATACTGATGTTGTCAATTTAATGAGTAGCACGGTTAGTGGTCATTATTCCAAGATTGTTAATGCTCCATTTTTAAATTCACATGGTCAAAGTGGTAATAAAGCTGTTCAAAACGGTCAAATCGCTAGATTAAACGTTGAAAGATATAAATATTTGAACAGCTTATGGTTGACTGGTTCCATTTTCTCATATTTGAGCAGAAATTCTTCACCCGTATTCCCAAGATTAGGTTTAGATAATAATGGAGAGGAACGATTTTGGCAACAATTTTTAGCAAATGCAAGAACAGATCTTGAAGTCCAGAACATGGATGATGATGATCAACCATTTGTTTTCACATTCCCACCAGGAGCTAATTATGTTAATGAGCTTAGAGGACCAGTTATCAATGATGAAGATGAAGAAGATTCAGAAATGGACTCGGATCAAATGGATGAAGATGATGAAGATGATGATGGATTTGGTTTTTTCACTGAAGAAGAGGAGGAAGAGTTTCTAGAAGGTGAATTAGATCATTTTGAAGATGTCGATAACGGAGGATTTATGTCAGAAGATGACATGTACATAGATGGATATTATGACAATGATGGGTTTGAGGTTGCAGATGACATGGAAATTGATCACTTTGACGATGATCTAGACAGCGATGACGTGGATTGATTTGATTTCAATGTTTGAGAAATTTTAGTAAATATTGATTTAATCTACGAGTTTATAACATATTAAATTTTAGCTTTGTGTATTTGAAACGAAACAGTTGGGTTGTAAAACCATGTACAAACTTTAATTATAACAAATTTCTAATATGTTCTTTGTTGTAATTTGAAATAGATGAATATGTTGATGTTTTTGATTTTTGTTTGCCATATTGGCTCATAAAGTTGAATATGTACCAAAAGAAATGACATTTGTTGATTAAATTTTTTGTAGATTTCAGTATAAATAAGTTTTGATTTGATCTATTATTGATTAGGAACAATTCATTGTTTATTCATCATCTTCAGCTTCATCATCACCACCTTCAAGGTATTTACCTTTGATATCTTTCCATAATTTACCTTTGTTGTGGTTTTCGTAAAATTTAGTGACGGCAACATCGAAGAAACCTTGGAAGACGAAAGCACCAACGAAGATGGTACCAACGTAGACAGAGTTTCTTTTAATCAAAGTGTTGTAAATGCTGGTGTAGAAAGACTAAAAAATCTGTTAGTAAAACTGGTCCAATAAGTTAACGAAAGGGACGAAGTATTAGATTTTGAGAAGGGGTCTGAATCTCTTTTGAAACAATGGGAATTGATTATTTCAATAACTATTTTTGATGATACTTAACATTGATTCTTAACATTGATTTTGAATACGTCCTCAAACAAGCTATGACAATGGGCTCTCATTACCAAGAAAAAACACATGACAGACCTCAAATCCATAACTTCAGCACCTAATACGTGTCTCGCTTTATTTTGACATACCATTTTGCTTGATGCTTGATAAATCTGTGTTGTATATCTATGTTTTGCTGAAAGAGCCTATAATCTATCAACGCTTTTTTTTCATTTTTTATGTAAATTTGTTTTGAGAATTGTTGATTGGTTAAATTCGAGCCTTGAGATTATGTAATCGAGCGCGAAAAATTCGCGAAAAAAAAGATTGACACGGACAGGAATTGAACCTGCAACCCTTCGATTGCACTAAAGTCCAAACTGGAGTCGAAAGCTCTACCATTGAGCCACCGCATCATCTTGGATACTTTTATGCCAGCTGAATACCACACCAGGAAAAACGGCTGGAAAAATCTCAGGTTTGAAGCAGTTTAAGAAGACATTTGCCATTTAGGTATATTTCTATTGTCATTTGGAGTTTACTGAACTAGATTTGGCTCCTATTGTCTAAATATTTTTTGGTTTAATTTGGAATTAAAGTTGTTGTTATTTTGGCGCACCATCCAAATTTGGGACGAAATGAGAAAAACATGAGGTCGATCAAAAGTTGATATCAAACAACAACCTAAATCATTCCAGAAAGCTTTGTTAGATGCTATTAGGGATAGTATAATGACTGAATCCAATAATGTTGAAACTACAACTCCTACAACAGTGGTGATCCAACAAGACTCACACTCCACATTGATTACATTGGACGACTACATTAGCAAAGCATTACCATATCATTTACAACGACAATTTCAATTGAATGCAGCATCCCAATCAAAGAATTGGTCATTTACACAAGGTCTTCTGATAGGTCAGCTAAGTGTTATAATAGTGTTGATTTTTTTCATAAAGTTTTTCGTCTTCAGTGAAACTAAATCCCCCAATGATAATTTAAATGACTTGAAAATACCCGTTGTCAAGAATAAAGATATAGGGAGTACAGGTGGTTCAGGCGCTAATGATAGTAACGACCCAAGTGTTTCTATCAATTCCATCCTGGAGAAGACATACTATAATGTGGAAACACATTCTCCTGAATCTTTGGATTGGTTCAACGTCTTGGTTGCACAGACAATTAATCAATTCAGACAAGAAGCATTAGCTTCAGATAATATAGTCAATTCACTCAATAGCTTCCTACAAAATGCAGAACTACCAGATTATTTGGATAGAATAAAGATCACAGAACTGGATATAGGTGATGATTATCCAATCTTTTCAAATTGTCGTATAAAAAAGAATCCAACAAATCTTAATAATTTACAAGCTAAAATTGATGTTGATCTTTCAGACACTTTAACACTTGGTATTGAAACTAATCTGTTATTGAATAAACCAAAACCTTTAACAGCTATACTACCTATTCAATTGAGTGTTTCAATAGTTAGATTTAGTGGGTGTTTAACGGTTTCATTGATTTCAATTGGTGATGATGATGATTTATTGAATGATGATAAAGGGAAAGGTACTGCCCTAATGTTTTCATTTGCACCAGATTTCAGACTCAATTTCAGCATAAAGTCCTTAATTGGTTCAAGATCTAAATTGGAAAATATACCTAAGATCAGTAACTTGATTGAAAATCAACTGAAAAGTTGGTTCATTGAGAGATGTGTCGAACCAAGGTTCCAAGTTATTAGACTACCAAGTGTTTGGCCAAGCAGAAAAAATGTTAGAGAACCGTTGAATGAAGATGAAGAATAAACAGATGGGGGTCATTACGATGTTTTAATTTATTACAATACATGTGTATATATGGACTATATTGTAAAAACTTTCCTTCTACTCACTAACACTAGTACCATCTGGTGGGCCATTCTGGATCACAAGATCACCATTTTTCGATATTTCTGCATCCCTGTTTCTCCCTTCTATGCCAAAGTACTTTAACGAATTAATCTCAGCTTCTGATACGCTGAAGCAATCGCTTGGAATCCAGATCAAATTATTTGTATGTTGAAAACAAGCATGGTGAAAAGTATCATTGAATAAGTTTTCATTTGGAGCTTCGTTGTGATCTTCTTCTCTCCGTTTAGCAATAGCTGCAGGTCCAGCTTCGAGATCTTGAAGTTCATATTCTTCAGGTTCGTTCATATCTGGGTCATATAAAGTCAATGGCATATTTTTGGATAAAAGTTTATTAAACATTTTTTGAATTTGTATTTGACCAGCAGCAGTGAATATCAAAAGAACAAAAGTGATGAAGGAATGACCAATACAATTTGGCTGGTTCAATTCATCTCTTGACAAAATAAAGATTCCGAGTAAACAAATTTCCATGAAATAAATACCTGAATATAGATGAAAAATGGCTTTAGGGTAAAATTGTCCGTAATTTTCAGAAACATTTCTCAAATTAAATTGATACTTCAATGAGTACTTGAATGATAACAATACCATGACAAAAGATAAGCAACAGAAAACAAGAATCAATGGTGACAAGATGCAATATATCAATCCAATAGATCCCAAAACAGCAAACGTTGGGTAAATAGACCCCCATTTATAACTTGGAATACTTGTTAGTCTGATAAATTTTCTTCTTGGTGTTGTATCTCTGAAGGGATTTGTCACGATGCTTTTGAATAATTGTAATATCTGCAAAAGGTTGTTCCCAAAATATGACAAGCCTCTGATTAATAAGTATGAAAAGAAAAAATTTGAACATTTGGGTAAGTTTGTTGCCAAAATATTAGGGATTGACACCGGGTTGTTCACTAAACTTTCCAAAATCACTGTTAAACCAGAAGATATCGTAACAACCATGAAAATATGAATGAACAGAAAGACAAACATCCAGTTTTGGACATCTAACTCAACTTGAGCACCAGTTTTTTTGCATTTAAGAAAGCTCAACCATCTAAAAATAAAAGGTACAGTCTCTGATAAACAAACCAAAAGAACAACAGAAAGAAAATTTGAAATGACATCTGTAACATAGTCTGGTAAATAGTTCAACCAAGATAAAAAAGGAATTAATACCGTTAAATATGGAAGTTGTGATATCAATCCAATGAAGGCTACTGGAATCACCCATCCTAGTATCACTATCACGCTAAAAGTGTTGGCCAATATAACTCTAGCAAAAACAAAAGCATTACTTTGCACTGAAAGATTTTCCCATATCAAATCTTGTGGATCAACGAATATAAGAGTATTATCAAGTGCGTTCACTTTATCAGATATCTGGATTTGACTGAACAAATGAGGTTGGAAACTGTCTTTAAACTGAATAAATACTTTGTTGTATTTCTTGTCATTCAACGGACTTTTTTCTCTTGCAATCAATGAGGCTCTTAGCTGTCCGATTTTGCGTTTGTTTTCAACATGTTCACTGATAACAACTTCTAATGTTTCCTTTATATTTCTCATGTAAAACTTTGGAAAAACATACCAAACAAATTTAACTCTGATATCCCCCAACCTTCTAATATTGAACATTCGCTTATTGTGTCCAAATCTTGTTGTATCGTCCACATAGTTTTCATCAACTATAGCATTCGCAAAAAAGTGACCTGAAATGAGCTTTGTCTCTAAAACTTCAATCTTGTCAATCAAATGAACATTTTTTGAATACTTGCTTTTCAATTCATCATAATTGTAAACAAACCATATGTTCTTTATTTTATTTCCCGAAACTTTGCTGAAAACTTTGGTCAATAGTTTCCTATCTAACAAATTCAAAGGAACATTATCAATTAAAATAGTGTTTGAATGGTTTCTACTTGGAATTTTTGGAGGTTGTTGAGCTTTTGTTACTAAGTAATTATTTTTGATTTTCACATAATTCAACAACTCTGCAATAACAAGTCCATGGAACAAAAAAATTGAAATAACTGTCATAGTTAAATGAATGCTTAACCTTTTCGAGAAAAGTGGTGCAATATTTGACATTGAAATCCTATCCAATCCAGTAGTGACTTTAGGAATTGTACCATTGGTATATTTCAACAAATCTCTTGGTTTATAATGATCATATCCGGAAGTATAATTCACTGGGATTAAAACAGGGATATTTATACAAGCCAATGCTGTAAAAAGTACCAATAGAAAACATAAATACCTAAGGAAAAAATAAGCATCTAAACCTAACCTCAAATAATCATTCAAAGGATGCATAATTGTAGAGGGAACCCAGCTAAAGAGACCATCATTCAATGGAGCGATTCTTTCATTATCAGGAACGTAATAACAGTTGGGTTGATAGATATTTTTCAATTTGCACCGAAGTAAACTGAAAATGGTTGTTTGGAAAGCACAAAATATCAAAGAAATCAGTACAGATGAAATAAAAGTCCTGAATGATATACCAGCAGAATTTTGAGCAGACCCTGATTTTGGAGTGTTCAAGAAGTCAAAAAAATGTAGGAATCCTTTATTATCAGTACCATTGGAAAAGGGATCAAAATATGTAGTGTAATCTAGCAATGACATTCTTGAGCAACTTGCTAGCACCAGCTTATTTGAGCAAGTAAGATTTCATGACACATTATTAGCGATAAAATCCAGCCATATTAGCACTCAGGTCTGTGGTGGCTCTGTATTTGGTTTTGTGTCAACAAATATAAACACAAAGACAACTTTGGTATTTAAAAAAGGGTTTTCCTGCAATATTTCTTTTCCTTTACCAACATCACATAATACCAGTACAAATCAAACAATCAACCCAATGATCAATCATCACTACCATAGCTTCGATGGACCATCGTCTTCTCGTGTATGGTTCTGTTGTGTAACTTATCTCTAAGTAGTTTGCAGCGCTTAAATCGATTGAAGTGTAATTTTTCTCTTTTTTGTAACCTGCCCGTTAAGTTTAGCAGAAACGAGTTATGTCCAATTTTTTGAGTATACGTTAGTTAAAGCATATTACATCAATAATTACTTGTATCTCTTTGATAGTAAGACTTATTATAGTCCTAGTAATCGAGAATTGATGGATACCTGATTCAGACCCTTTTTTCAACAGTTCTCGAAGTACGAAGCTCATTGAATCATTTGAATTACTATACTTCTTTAGGTAACTGCGAGTTCTTTCAGTCAAGTTGATCCTTCATGCTCGTCATAAGTTTAAACGTTCGTGATGAGCCAAGATTCAACACTTCCTTTTGCCTTAAGTCTTCACTAAGGTTTAAGTTACTGTAATACAATTGGCCTTTCTATGTTCCTTTCACTTTTTGAAAGGAGAGATTCAAAACGCGTTTCGTGTTAGGCTGGGCTGGGTTTTGCGTACGCTGAGCCGAGGAGAACGTAGGCTGAGACACCAAAGAACTAAATTATTAGAGGGAAAAATACGAGTTAATGGCTTAAAAAAAGATAAATATATATCAAGCTTCAATTAAAAACTGTCTGAACTCTACTACCTTCAAATCCTCCATTATCCAGTGCCATTAATAGTGTTTCTCGGTTGTTTAAAATGTCATTGTTTTAGTGGCAGGGCCATTTGTGTTGCGCCGACCGCATCGGCTTAGGATTCGCGATCTGGCGTTTCCATAAATAAACTGTTGTTTTTTTTGTGCAAAACCAGCCATAAACAATGTTTGTGGTACAATTTCTCGAGGAATGTACGTACAGATCAAAATATGGGAATTCTCATATATATAAAAACACAAAACCAGATCCCAATATGAAGCGTGTTTTTTTCATCGATCCAAAACTTCTTCACACCCTATCCAAATATAGATCAACTTCAAGGATAAGACAGAAATAATGGTTCAAGTTAAATCACTTTGGTTCACTTCATTACTGGTCTTACCAGCTATCGTGTCTGCTCAATCAACATCTGCTTGTAACCCTTTGTCATCAAGTTCTTGTGCTCCAGATAAAGCTTTGGCTACTTCTTTTGCTGAAGATTTTAAACAAGAATCAAAGTGGTTCTCCCCATCATCAACTAAAGATGAAGTGCATTATACTGATGAAGGTTTAAAGTTGACTTTGGCTAAAAGATTTGATAATCCATCTTTAAAATCAAATTTTTACTTGATGTATGGTAAGCTGGAGGTTATCTTGAAAGCTGCACATGGTACTGGTATTGTTTCTTCATTTTATTTACAGAGTGATGATTTGGATGAAATAGATTTGGAATGGATTGGTGGTGATCAAACTCAAGTTCAAACAAACTTTTTCTCAAAAGGTAACACTTCAACTTATGATAGAGGTACTTTCAATCAAGTTGACAGTCCACAGACTCAATACCATAATTATACTATTGACTGGGGTATGGAACAATTAGTTTGGTATATTGATGGACAAGCTGTTAGAACTCTCAAAAATGATACCAGTGACGGTTACCCACAAAGTCCAATGTATGTTATGCTTGGTATTTGGGCTGGTGGTGATCCAGATAATGCTCCAGGTACTATTCAATGGGCTGGTGGTGAAACAGATTATTCTAAAACCCCATTTAGTATGTACGTTGAAAGAATTGTTGTTTCTGATTACTCAAGTGGTACTGAATACAAATACACTGACCAATCTGGTGACTGGACATCTATTGAAGCTGTTGATGGTAAAGTTAATGGTAGAATGGATGATGCTGAAGATGAATTTGAAACTTTAGTTGCTGGTGGTACTATTGACTCATCTAGTAAAACAAGCTCTGGTTCTTCCTCTTCATCTGAATCAGAATCGTCTTCTTCATCTGAAGAACAATCATCTTCATCATCCGATTCTTCATCAAGCATCCATGATGGTTTATCAAGTTCAAGATCAAGAGTTGATCATATCTATTCATCTTCTGCGTCATCTTTAGTTACAAGATCTGAATCTTCAAGCAATGTTAGAAATGCAGTTTCCACCACTTCTGGTTCAGCTGCTTCATCAGCAACAAATTCAACAGGTGCTAGTGGCTCATCAGAAGCTTCACCAACTAATAGTTCCTCATCTACACATTCCGTTACTGAATCAAGTGGTGCTGGATTATCATTATTCTATCCACAACCAATTGGTAAAAGTGGGATGAAAGCTATCATTTTTAGTGTCGGTATGACACTTGGTATCATGTTACTAATGTAATGATCAAATTATTTATTCATGTTCTGTTTATTTGTTCTAAAAGGAAATTGGTTGTGATATTTTTTTATTTTTAATTTTGATGGTGGATTCACTGATAGGTTTGATTTTTTTAGAAAAAAAGAGAGAGAAAGTGCATTGTATACATCTTTTCATATATTCATCTTTAATGACATTTGTTCTGTTGCTAGTTTATATAAAATTACCATGTTTTAATTGTTTAAATAAGTTGTAGTTTGTTATATAGTGAATCGAAGTGGTAAGCGCAACATGGGCTCGGATTTTTTTCGAAAAAGTCTGAAAAAATGAACAGCGCCTGAAGAGAGTACAATTCTTGAGTACAATTGAGTGATCTTGATACATTTATTATACAATACAACAAAATGGCTTTAGGTGGTTTATTCGGTGGCTCTACCAGCACAACTCCTGTTACATCTTCAACTGTTTCCTCAAACTCACAAGTTAAAGATCAATTAAAAGCACAAATTGGTCAAGAATTAGCTATTGCAAATGCAACTGAATTAGTTAACAAAATCACAGATAACTGTTTCCAACAGTGTCAAAAACAACCATTTGCTACCGGTGAAGAAGTATGTCTTTTTTCTTTCAACTATAAGGATGATTAACTAACATTTTATGATAGAACTGTACAGATAGATGTCTTGAGAAATATATGAGAGCATGGAACGCAATTTCAAAAACTTATATTGCTAGAATTCAACAAGCTAGTAAATCTTCATAGGTTTATTGATAGGAAGGGATAATTTGTACATATATTTAAAACTTTGTGAGGGGGTGTATATATCTTAATTGGAGGCTGAAACACACAGAAGCTTAAATTAGACAATTACAAGTGGTTTTGTAGAAGTGAAAGGTACGAACGTGTGGTGGTTCATTTATTGAGAATTATCCAGATCTGCTAATGTGTATTTTTTCCTTCTTGATGGTGGGACATATTTCTTAGGTTTTGAAGTTGATGATTCTTTTGTACTTGTGGTTGATTTGTTTGATGGCTGTGGACTCGACTCTTTTGAGCCCAGGCTCAACTTATCAAATGGAGATTCTAATTCAGTGGTCTCGTTATTCGATTTATTTGAGTCATGCTGAACTTTTTCATCTTTTTTGGGTTGTTGAGGTTTTGAGTTTGATTGTAATATGTTATTGATCACCCCAAATTGTCTATTTGGTCTACCACCTGGCTTCCTTACTTCATCAACTTTTTCATCATTCTTAGTTTCTCTTTCTTCTTGCCTCTGGCGTATTCTCTCTCGAACATCATACCTTTTCACATCTTCTTTCGGGATGAATCCAGGCCTCACTTTAACTGTTTTCCTCACAGTCCCATCAGCACGTACAGATCCTCCTATGACTCTATCACCATTCTCATCAGCGTGTATTCCTGATACGGATTCTCTATTTGCACCACCCATAATTGTCTAGTTGTTGTGTTGTGTTCAAGTTCACGTCGTTTGTGCCCACCTTCTCGTTGAATATTAGAGGGCAGATTTTAAAATGTGCATTCTATAGCAAAAAGTCACAAAAAAACCCAACATTCTAACATGTGCATATTTTAATCTGAAGTGATAAAATTAATATTTCATAAGTCAATATTCACCATGTCGATTTTTAGGATCTCTTTGTATACAAATATTTCGAGTTATTAAAGCTAGAAAGGTTCTTCAACTGTGGAACACTTGATTTTTCACTCGCGACTTGAGCGACGAAGTCATCGGCAAATGCCTTGATCGTTCTACTATTAATACATTTCAGTTGAAATTCCATTTGGATGAAGCTTCAGTCACAGATTCCTTTAACCGAAATTCCTTTTCAACCATGAACTGAGAATTCTTCCTCTATACTGCTAATTTGAACATTTTGTATATCACGATGATCATCTGATTAGATTTGGAAATTTTCCGAGAGCTGATCAAAAAGTTAAAAACCATTTCAGCTTCTACCACACCACAGTATCATCATAGAGCATCAATCATAGACTCTGACTATAAATAACAATCATTATGGGCACTGAGGGAAAAGTAATCATCATTGGCGGTGGTATTGCTGGTATCAAAGCTGCTCTTGAACTAAATAAACATGGTATAGACTATTTCATCTTAGAAGCTAAAGATAGATTAGGTGGTCGCTTAAAGACAGTCGAAGGCTTGAACACTAAATACGATATGGGTGCAAGTTGGTTCCATGACACTTTATCCAATCCTTTGTTTGATACAGAAAACAGTCTCCCGGTCGGTGAGAGAGCACAGTTTTATTATGATGATATACCCCATAAAACATTTGATCAAAATGGAACTGTCCCTGCTGATTCAAGACTGGAACCAATTGCTGTAGAAATCTCTAAATACATCGAAATGGAGAATCTTAAAGACCTTGATGCTGATAAGTCCGTTTATGAAACTGTGATCAAATATTTTCAAGAAAAAAAGCATCTACTATCCAAAGGGCAAATTGAGCATGCATTAGGTTATATCAGAAAGTTGGAGTTATGGCATGGTATTAGTATCAATGAACTTAGTTCCAAATACTCTGAGGTTGAAAATAATGGTAGAAATGCTCTAGTCAAGAATTACGATACAATTTTGAATAGACATGTTGCACAATTGTCAAAGGATAGTTATAAACTAAATACGGCGGTGAAATCAATTGCAAGAACTTCAAAGAACAAAAAAGTCAAAGTCACTACTGTTGATGGTGAAGAATATGAAGGGGATTTTGCTATTGTTGCTGTTCCCCAATCGATCATTGCACTGGGAGAACAAGAAAAGGGTGCCATCAAATTTGAGCCTAAACTGCCTCAAAGAATAACTGAATCTTTAAAGAAATGTCACTTTGGTGCTTTGGGTAAAGTGGTGCTGGAGTTTGATGAATGCTTTTGGGGAACTGATGATGAACGTTTTGTATGTTTATCCTCACCACCTGAAGGCTTTGCTGAAGCTATTCTCAACGATAAAACTGTCCCAAATTTTCCAAATTCTGAAACACCAAAACCATTTGATTACCCAATACTGTTTTTAAACTTTGCAGCTGATTTCAATAAACCATCATTGGTTGCTATAACTCAATCACCATTGACAGATTATTTGGAAGAGAACCCTGAAAAGGCATGGAAGTTTTTAAAACCTTATGTTCAAGTCATATCATCTAAAAAGGACATTCCGGATCCTAAGAATGTATTCACCTCTGAATGGACAACTGATCCCTATCAAAGAGGATCCTATTCTGCATGCTTTCCAGGTGATGATCCAATTAGTGCAGTTGTTGCGTTTGAAGAAGGGTTTGGTAATGTTAGATTTGCAGGAGAGCATACAATTATGGACGGTAATGGTTGTGTCCATGGTGCTTGGATGAGTGGATTGAGAGAAGCAACCTACATTATTGATCATCTTGAATGATTGTAAATAGTTTATTAAATGCATATTTTATGATTTTATTCCCAAAGTGATTTCCATTTAACAGGTTTACGCACAGCATTTGAGAATCCTTCATGATATTTAACCCAAATTTTCACCTCTGTCTTTAATTTCTTTGCTTTTAGTTCAGCTTCTGCAATCTTTTCATATTGATTTTTCAATAATGCGAAATCTGCACCGGTTTTTGAGCTTTTAGCTTCTGCATCTTTTTCAACTTCTGAAAATGCTCTCTTTTTAACTCTTACTAGATCCATTTCTTTCTGCAAAACAGGGAACAGTTGGGTTCTTTTTTGAGTTAATTTCTTGGTAGATAGAGTGTCAAACTTAGAAATCGAACTGAATTGAGGATACGTTGTATAAATTTCATTGAAAGCTTCATCTTTCGCCTCTGTAATTCTTAGACCAAAGCCTTGTAAGGAATCAATAGCATCATGTAATTTTCTTTTATCATAATCTTTAATGTTGTTCAAACTCTTCAACTCTGGTGTTATTATATAATCTAACAATGGTAACACCTCAGTTGGTAATTGTTGTAATTTCAAAAAAGTTCTTAAATGAACATTGACATTACTATGCAAAAGTCTCAGCAAATTAAAGTTGGCCCTTCTTGATTCAAAATGTTCATAATCTGATTTGATCATTATAGTTTCTCTATTACCTAGATCACTAAATTGATTGAAAAATTGTAATGCAACTTGGGAAGAGTAGTAACTTAGATCACCAATAGATTCATATGTGGTTTTACCCATTATATCACCGAAATATAACCAATCACTGATCATAGCAGGCTTAGACATTCCTGAATCGTTATATGTGATATCATGATAACTTTGGAAACAACCATTGATGATCTTGTCATAATTATTATTAATGCTTATTATGTTTGCAAGTTCTTTAAATTGTACACCTTTTTTAAGATCTCTTCTTCTCCTGAAAATCTCGTTCACTATTGCAAACCAAGACACTTGACTATCTTTCTTCCTCAAGTCATTCGAGCTGTTCAACCCACCACCAAATTGTAAAATGTTCAAGCAACTTCTAATATCACGATTTGTCAATAAAACAATCTCTTGCAACTGTTGGTTTGTAAGGCTTATCTTTTCATGTTTACAAATGTCCCTTAATCTTTCCCGTAAGTCTCTTTCTGAAGGAGCTTTAAACGCTATGATTTCTGAATGCATTCTCAATTTCTCTAACGATGGTGCATATAGATCATTACAGATTGCAATGATGGGTCTCAATAAAAATTTTGGCTTCTTTTTACTTTTTTCCTTGGATGATCTATCACCATCAGAATGTTGAAACTTGTAAATAGCTTTTTGATCTTCATTGATTAAATCCACCAACACTTTTATAAACCCAAATTCAGCAGCTCCATCAACTTCATCAGCAATAAGACATACAGGTTTACCTGAAAATGTCTGAGATGCCAAAGAGTTAACAATTTTATCTCTAACACGTTGACCAGACCTTTCATCACTTGCATTAACTTCCATTATTTCATAGCCGGCTTGTTTAGCAATAACATGAGCAACAGTTGTCTTACCAAGACCTGGAGGACCGTGTATTAACATTATCTTCTTGTTTGGACGTCCGAATGGGTCAATAAATTTTGAGTTTGTAGCTGAAGAATCATCTGTGGTGATTGGTTTGTAGTTCTTGTCAAATACAACTCTTGACCATTCTTTTACCCATTTAAGCATCCTTCTATTGGTATCATCATTACCAATCAATTCAAAAAATGATTTAGGTCTCCATTTTTCAGCCCAAAGCACATCGTTTTTAGGGATGTAAGATTCCTTTTTTGAGGATCCAGATTTATCTTTCAATCTTTGAACTTCTAATTTAGCATATAACTCATTGATATTGAACCCATAATTCTCCTTCTCTTTTTTCAAAGCATCCAGTGCATCTGCGCTGTTCTTTTTCCCTTTATCTGATTTCTTCTTGATGGTTATTTGTTTCCCATTGGGTAGTTTAGCAGTCTTCTGATTAACATCGTCATCAGCCAATATTGTAGGTGTTGAAGCAACTGTACCCAAATCTTTTGAAGACGCTGGCTTGTCCTGTGAGCTCTGTTGGGTATTACCACCTAGCAGTGTATTCTTAAAGTCAAGAGACCCTAAGCCAAAGTCCAAAACAGGTTTGCTCATTGCTTCAGCCTCCAATGAGCTACCAACAAACAAAATCAATACGCGTCGTTTCTCGTGTTTTGATTTCAATTTTTCTGTTTCGCGAATTGTCTGCTGTCGATACCGCTTTTGCCGGGGCAACACTTTTTTTTTCATAAAAATCGAAGTTGACAACCAAATAAAAAGGAAATCGCAAACCAATAGAGAAGTTATAGAAACTACACAAATATACCTTAATAGAGAACGTAAAGATGGTTTCAGTGAGTATACAATCGGATAACAGTGTTACTTTAAGTGGAATTGGGTTTGTACTAACAGTATTTTCTATCTCAGGAACAAGAATTTTTGTATGTTTTGGAGTATTTTGATTTTGGAGAATGACAGAGTGAGAGGACAATTATACTAACATTCAATAGAGCATCTTTCCCACAAGTCAGCCCAGCAGGTACTCCCCAAGGATACCCAGGTAACTTGAGTCCAGAGCAAGAAGAAAAAGTGAAAGAATTGAGAACAGCATTGCAAGCTAAAGGTTTCGAAGTTCGCTTAGATGATGCTTCATTGGTAAGTTATTGTTAGAAAGGAAATAGGAGATAATTATTACTAACAACCAAAAAAAGTTACGTTTCTTGAGAGCTCGTAAGTTTGATATTGCTTTAGCTCAAAAGATGTTTGAAGAACATGAAAAATGGAGAAAAGAATTTGGTGTTGATACCATCTTCGAAGATTTCCATTATGATGAAAAACCAATTGTCGCTAAATACTACCCTCAATACTATCACAAGACCGATAAAGATGGTCGTCCAGTTTATATTGAAGAATTAGGTTCAGTTAATATCACTGAAATGTACAAAATTACCACACAAGAACGTATGTTGAAGAACTTGGTTTGGGAATATGAATCATTTGTCAGATTCAGATTACCAGCTTGTTCAAGAAAAGTTGATTATTTGGTTGAAACATCATGTACCATCCTAGATTTGAAAGGTATTTCAATTTCTGCTGCTGCTCAAGTCTTGTCATATGTTAGAGAAGCTTCATACATTGGTCAAAACCATTATCCAGAACGTATGGGTAAATTCTATTTGATCAATGCTCCATTCGGGTTCTCTACTGCATTCCGTTTATTCAAACCATTTTTAGATCCAGTCACCGTTGCTAAAATCTTTATTTTGGGTTCATCATACCAAAAAGAATTATTAAAACAAATTCCAGCCGAAAACTTGCCAGTCAAATTCGGTGGTAAATCAGAAGTTGATGAAGCTCAAGGTGGATTATTATTATCGGATGTTGGTCCATGGAGAGAAAAAGAATACATTGGCCCAGAAGGTGAAGCTCCAAAAGCTTTCTCATTGACTTGAGCCAGCCAAACCTTTGCACAATAAATTGTTCTTACGCTTTTTTTAGACTTAATTGATGATTAATTTGGGTACTTCTTCTTTTTTTCCGGTGTTTTTTTGGTCACTCTATAACTCTGTGTGTTTTTGTTTTAATGGAGACTCGTTATCATTTCAGAAATTTTATCTTATTCTTGTAGAATTGATTGTTTCTTCTGTTGCAGTTTGTTCGACGTTATAAATTTGTCACAGCCACGCACAGACAGGCAGATCGAAGATCTTTGAAAAGTTCAAATTACCAAAAAAAGCCTATGAAGACTTCATCAACACGACAGAAAGTTAAACAATCGTTAGGCAGTAAATGGAAATATCATGAGTTCCAGTCTCTCACTAGACGCTAAGTCAATAAGGAGCCTTATCAAGAATAACCAGGGCGGGTTTCGAGAACAATTGGAATGGTCAAATAACGGTGACAGATATGAAAGTAACACCATCAAGATTACGCCCAAAGGTGAATTACTTATCTTACAAACATCGGAAAAGCCAATAAGGAGTCTGCAGTCATGTTGTATCCAAGTTATTGACTCCAAAATTATCGTGCAATCCTACAATAAGAAGCATCTGGTCCATCTAAAACCTGCTGATAAAACTACGTTTGTCAAATTGCTTTCAGCGCTACTATTTTGGCAAAACATGAGACCCAGAGGAATAGCCAATAAACAATTGACTATCCCATATCATAACTCAAAGCAAAGTCAATCTGAAAGCTTGTTGGTATGCAGCTGTAAAATATTTGGTCAAATACCCAAGAACAAAAATGTTGAAGTGCTGGAAGGCCCAGCGGTTCCACTGTTTCCTGACTCAAATGAAGGTTGGTTTACTGCTATGGTTGTTTTGAAGTCCAATGGTGTCTTAGAGCTACTGGGTGAGTCTGATGGAAGCTTACTCTATTCAATTGATGTCAAGTTGTTGACAAGGTCAGAGATTAGAGAAATTCATAACTCCATTTTTGAGTCTTCCAATTATCTATTTGTCGGTGTTATTCCAAACCTGAGAAATGAAGTTCAATTGCAAAACTGCTCAACTCACAATATAATACCTACAATTTCTAATGAGATGGGTAGAGTCTCGAGAATTATTCTTGAGTTCCCCTATAGGATTGATGTGGAGGATTGGCTTGTGGCACTCTCGGCTTTTGCTAAAAGAGAATACGTTGGGTTAGATAATAAGAATCTATTGAGGGTATCCAGAAGAATCAATTTGGGTATCTTAGAAGCCTCGCTAAATGAGCAACTACCTAAGTTCAACGATGAAACTTCCAAGATATATGCAGAAGTTACAGTTTGGGATGCACCATGGTTAAGAACCTCCATTATTGAAAGTTCAAGAAATCCGTTCTTCAGGGAATCTTTTGACTTTGATTTACCATTAGCTACTAAAAGCTTTATAATTGTTTTGAAAAGGGCACTAAGTACTCGTTATTATCCAGATGATCAAATTTTGGGGTACTCAATAATAGATTCGTCAGTGCTGAATGATGAGGCTTACCACCAGGAAACAAGAATACCTTTGGAACTCGACGGTGCTAATATAGGGCAAATCTGTATCACTATTCAAAACCAAAAGAGTTACATTCTTCCTACTGATAACTTCAATAATTTTGAACAAATGATGTTGAATTTGAACCCAAAAAAACTGCTGAACTATGTGATCAGTAAACAAGGTGGTCATGAATATTTGGAAAAAACTTCAATTATTTTGCTTGATATTTTCCAAGCATTACAGAAGGAGAATGAGTGGTTCAACGCATTGGTTGATGAAGAAGTAAATAAGACTACTTTGACAAAGACCAAGATGAATGAAACTACCAATTTGTACAATACATTGTTCAGGGGTAATAGTGTTTTGACAAAATCTTTGGAAATCTATAATCTTAGAGTTGGTCAAGAATATCTTGAGAAAGTTGTGGGTAAGGTCATCACCAAGATAATTGCAAATAAAAAAAGTACAGAGATTGATCCAATGAGAGTGTATGAAGATGATGAGGCTCTTAAGAACGACATGCTACAGCATAATATGGAACTTTTGTTACAGTATGTCGAAGAACTTTGGTCAAGGGTTTACAATACATCAAATGATTTACCTCAACAGATCAAGCAACAGTTGATCTTATTACGTAAAAAAATTGAGATGTACACCAATGATACCAAGATAACTTTGAATTGTATTACAGGGTTTTTATTTTTGAGATTTTTTTGTCCTGTTATACTGAACCCCAAATTATTCTTTTTGACTAAAGACCATCAAACTGGTGAAATCAAAAGAACTTTGACACTCATCTCCAAAATATTGTTGACATTTTCCAATAGAGTTTTATTTGGTGCTAAAGAGCCGTATATGATGAAGTTGAATGAATTATTCATCAAAAAACATGAAGATGAACTGATGGATTATCTTGATAAAGTTACAGGTAAAAAATTAGATTTCAATCCAAAACATTTGAAGCTAAGTACTTCATTAGAGAGAACAGATATTATCTTGACATCAAAGAATTTGCTAAAAGAGCTTCCAACTGTTCCATATCTAATTGATAAATACTTGAGACTTGATCAATTGGTTGATAAGATTTCAACAGAGTACATTAGTCCAAAAGTTATTGATGATTATGCTGATAATGAAAACAAAGTAGAAGAGGAAACCGGTGAATCAAGCCCAACTGAATTATACAAGATTGGTTCATTAGAGTTTGAAAAATTAGTCATAAAAACTGATAATAGTAAATCAACAAATCAAGATTTCGAATTTGGGTCAGAAGAATTCATCAAAAACCTATTAAATACTAATGAAAGTGACACCATATTCAACTACATCAACTCCAATAGTTCATTGAAGGATTTGATAATAGAGGCTGATAGACTTTCAAGTAAGAAAGCACGTCTTACTGCCAAGTTATCAACCTATGAAAGTGCAGAAGATATTGATGATATTGATTCTTTCATTGAAAATCTTTTGATCACTACAATAGTTGATGAGAATAAAAACTTTTTGAAGGTTCATGATCAAAAAACCTCGAACTCGAGAAATCTAGCTAATAGCTCTACATTGTCCTCAATCAAATTGAGATTTGGTGGTGATTTAGATGCTGGAGCAATTCCGCCTAGCTCCATTTCTTCCAAGAGAATTTCCAGAATAATAAGATCAGCAAGTATAAATACAATTTCATCATTTACTGGAAGTAATGAACAATTAAACGGGAGTGGAGATAAACTTGAAAGTCCAAAGAAAGGATTCAGAAAATGGTTAGGAGGGAAAAGATGAGGAGTTTAATATTATTTATTCGATATGTTTTTAGCTGGGACAATATTTTTGTAATACTTGATTTTGTTTAATATAAAAAAATGTTTTACTAATTTTTAGAGACATGTACATTAATCAGTAACCTATTTATTAATATTCAAACCTGCTGGACCAAAACCTGAAGTAATACTTCTAATATCATCTTCAATATTATGGTTTTCATAACGAGATGAAGAACCACCCAACTTTTCTAATCTTGCACTGAAACTTGATCCAATTTGAGGATTTCTTGCAGGATCATATGAATTATTATTAGTTTCAGCGTCACCTTGTTCAGCAGAACCATGAGCATTAGGGTATTGGTCATTAAAAGTTGGCCAATGTTTAGCAGAGAAAAATGGAGGATATCCACCAGCACCAGAAGTGAAACCTAAAGATTCATTATCTGTAACAAATGAAACCAAACTTGCAGTTTCAAAATCATTGACAGTAGATGGAGCATTTGTGGATGGGGCTCCAAATTTAGAAGGACCACCAAATTGGTTTCTGTTACGATTTGGTCTGAATTTATTATTAGCTCTGTTTAGTTGAACAGAAGACAATTGTAATGAATCTAAAGGACCTTCAACAAGACAACCTTTTTCTCTATAATGTAATAATAATTGATTCCATAATGGATTTTTAGATAAAGCTCTTGGGTTACCTAGGATCACAACACCATACTTAGCTCTTGTTAAGGCAACATTTAAACGTCTTGGATCACTCAAGAACCCAATATTTTGTTGGTCATTTGCTCTAACACAACTTAAAATAATGAAATCTTTTTCACGACCTTGGAAAGCATCAACTGAGGCAACTTCAACCTCCATATATAAATCTTTATCCATTGAACCATTCATTTGCATATATTGGACAACATAAGCTCTTTGACCTTCATAAGGAGTAATCACACCAATTTGATCAGGTTTAACACCATCTCTAAATAATCTTGTAATGACACGTTCACAGTTCATTGCTTCAATTCTATTCAAAAATGAAGTACCACTACCAGAGATTTCTTCTCTACCAAAATTTGCCCAAAACATCATTGGGGTATCAATAACTGGCCATGGGAAAGTTGAATCAGGAATTTGTCTTTGTTCTTTAGTGACACCATTTTGTAAAGAACCTTCATAAAACATATTACTTGAAAATTCACTTAAACATGGATTCATACGATACTGAACTTCTAATCTGATTGGAATATGACCCAAGACAACTAATCTTTCGAAAAGTGATTGTTTCAAACCGGCATCACCAGCTTTCTTATCCAAGATGACTGGACCTAATTGTTGATGATCACCAACTAGAATAACTTGTTTAGCACCATGAACAATTGGAATTAAACATTCAGGTTCTGAAGCTTGAGTACTTTCATCAATCAACACGGTTCTGAAATTGACACCAGATAACCTTCTATCACCAGCACCAACACAAGTACAACAAACAACATCAGCGGCACTCAATAAACTTGTTTCCTTCTTTCTCAATAAACTGAAATAAGTTTTAGAATCCTCTGCACTTAATTCACCCATATCGGCTCTTAATTTAATCAATTTTTTCAATTCACCTTTAGCACGTTTAGCAACTAAATGAGTTAATGATAAATGTTGAACAGAACTTTCCACATCTTCTCTACTTTTAGCAGTTAATCTGATAACTTTTAAACCTAATTGATCCAATTTTGAAGCTAAATGATCCACAGCAACATTTGAAGGAGCACAAACCATTATACGATCTTTATTTAATTTAGTCAAATGATGAATAATAGTGGCTGAAGTGACAGTTTTACCAGTACCTGGAGGACCTTGAATCAAACTTAATGGTCTTTGTAAAACGCTTTTAATTGCATTTGCCTGTGAAACATTTAATTCAGCAAATCCAGGAATTGAGAACTTTGAAGGTAATTGAATATCAAATTCTACTGAATCAACTTCATGACCTAATAATTTATGATAAATGTACCCACTAACACTTTGATTATCAACAGCAAATTTTTTCATAGCATCTTGCATACGATCATAGGAAGTACCTTTCCAAACAAATTCAGCAGTGAAATCAGTAGTACAATTAGTTGGTGGTTGAGTTTTGGAAGTTAATAATTCTAAAGTGAATTCTTCTTGATGAGCACTTGGAATTCTAATGATATAACCTCTCGATTCCCAAGCATCATGATTGACACCACTATAACGTAAAATCATTTCATCACCAACAGCAACTTTCAATTCAGAACTTTCAAAAGTTGATAATGAAAAAGAAGCCAAATGTTTGTTGTTTAAGGCTAATGACCATTTAACAGAAATATGCTCTAAAGCTTGAGATTCTTTCAATTGTTTATCATAATCGGCTTCTAATTTAACCAAAGGACCAAAAGATCTTTGATATTCATAAGCATCAGCATATCTTAGCAAGATTGGAACAATTTCACTCTCTTCTTCAGGTTTATCAACATCTTGGATTGTAGCATCTTTATTCAATCTCCATTTTGCTTCCAATTTTGAAATTTGAGCATTTGTGATATTTCTTGCATTTAAAGATTCCTCTTCAGTTGGAATCGAAGCAACCCAAGGTAATAATTGACGGTCTTCAATCAAAGCAGTCCATTCATTTGTATCCCATCTACTATCTTTTGATTGGGAACATGGTAAACGACATAAAATGACAATAACAGTCTCAGATTTAGCAGAGACAAAACCTAAAACAAACACATTTTTATTACCACAATTATAACATTCTAATGTAGTATCACCAAAATCTGAATCTGGATGTAATGAAACAACATTATGTTTTGACATAACTAAATGGGTAACAATATGGGAACTTGAAGTGTTGTTCTTGGAATTACAAAACCATTTATTACAAGTATTACACTTGACAACACTTGAAGCGCTATGGATACCACAATAAGCACAAGCATGTTCAGGTAAATGAGGATCGAATCCGTCATCTTCATGATTATGATGATGATGACCATTTTGGCCCTCAGCATCCTCATCATCTTCATCATCATAAAGCTCTTCGATTTCTTCATTATCTAAATCAGAATCATATTTGTAGTCTTCATCGTCATCATCATCACCATTGATTGTTGGAGAAGCAGCGCCATTTTGAGAATCATATTCATAGTTATCAACAAGGGAGATGTTACTTTCTAAATCATCAGCTTTATGTCCATTTACACCATCATAAGAGAACAAGATATTTGGATCCATAGTTGATAGTTTTGAATTCCTTATTTCAATTGGGAATATTGATGTTTTGATAAATCTTTCACTTTATTTTAATTTTATTTAGTATTCTTTCAGTAATTGGAAAGTTTTGAAAACAGTAATTCAGTTTGAAAGTTGAAGTTAATTTGTGATATTTTATTTTCAACAAATCATTTGACAAAATAGATGGAAATATCTAGGATAATTGCTTTGTTTGTTCAATTGTTTGTCTTTTTGTTTGGCTGGAATTATGTTTTATCAATTCACCGTCCAACGTCAAACAAAAAAAATTTTTAGGCGAGAATTTCCAGAACGTGATCTGGCACGTGACTGTGTTAACAGGTGCACAAGTCCGCGACGTGACACTTGTGCTGGAAATATATTCGAGGACAGTTGAAATTTGAAAATATAGATTGAACTCACTTCATACCATATGGAGAATGTTCTTTGTTTATTTTTATTTTCAGATTATATTGTCTGCCGGCGGATATTACAAGCTTTGCCTATCATGAGATGATTGCTTTCATGTTTCTATTGGATTTGGTCAAGGAATTCTATGATCACGATTCACCGTGGACTTATAATCAGTAGGTCCTGAACGACGTTGGACTATGAAGTTTTTCAACATAATTATATTTAATATTAATTATATGCAGATAATCCACAGACAAGATTAATACTGTCATGATATAATATAGATGAAATTGATTTATTATTTTTGATCATCCCTCATTTGATATTCAGCTGAAACTATTGCTGATTCAATTGTGAGAATTGATTGAAATTGAATGTTTTTGACAAGATTATCAATTATAATGTAGGCAATTCAACTAGTTGGATGATTGTGACTTGATCTAGACGTATATTCAAGCTGTCGTCGACGTTATCCTTTCTACAAGCTTATAATTAATTCATTGATCAATTAAACGACGCATATCTGTTGGTAAACTAGACAAAGTTTGGTTCTATTCTATCAAACAAATCAACTCGTCGAAGCCTTTGGCTGATTAAATCACCTTGAATGATACGTTGACGACTAGTATAACGATGTCGCTATTAATGTGATATTGTTAACTGCCAGCTAGCTACCTAATATACGTCATTTACCACCTACGGCCTTTAGCGGCCATACATAAGCCTACAAAATGAGGAGAAACAAGATCCATAAAAAACCAAACATGAAACGATTATACTTCACGAAAAAAACCTATCTAAAACCCACAAGCTGTTGAATAAATAATATAACACAATATTAATATATTATGATGAGTTGTTTAAAAAAACACCAAAGGAAAGCCATAATCCAACATCATTCCAAAAATTGAAATTGGATTTGTAAAATGCATGAACTAAATTAAGGAATATTATAAATGATCTGATAACCCCTGATTGAGGCTTAAAAAAATGAATGAAAAATAAATGTTTCAGATTCAAACAAAGCACTATTTACCCAATTCTGATTGATTCTCCAACAAAATCTCTTTTATAGATGTAGTCTTTGACAGAGACGGGAATGGTGGATTTGATTGAGTCTGTAGAGGAGGAGGAGGTTGAGTAAATACATGATCTTTATTGAAAGGGTCCCTTAAATCTTGGAAAGTTGAGTTAGAAGTCATCCCTAAAGTTGAATTGTTTTTTGGACTTGTTGGTGAGATTAAAACATCTGAAGAACTTGTTTCATCGCTTAATAAATCTGCAAATGAACAAAAATTCAACTTCTTCTTATCAGAATAATCAACATCATTTATATTAGTCGTTGTAGTTGTGGTGGAGATTGGACTTAGTGGTGCACAACTGCTTTGTCTTCTTGAGATTGGCACTGATCTTGACATTCTTCTGCTTCCCAATCCTGGTCTTGTTGAAGATTGAGGATTGGTACTATCAGCTAATAAGCTCGAGCTTAGGTTTGAGTTATTTGAAGATTGTATAACTTCGACATTTTCATTATAGTTTGGGTCAGTTAGCACTTCTGTTGTTGCATCAAGAACTTGTGGTATGAAGAATTCAAAATTCAAATGATTTGGGATTGAAGATTGAGATGAAACACTTTGAGATCTTGCTAATAAATTGTGTGAATTTCTTCTGCTTCTATTTGTACTTGTTGAAGTCACAGTGGTAGTTGTACAATTACAATAATTTGTAATTTGATCTTGAACATTTCTTTCAAAGATCAATGAGGATGTTGTTGATAAAGAATTTGGTGATAAAACATTGGAGTCTATATTTGGTAAATGAGTTGTTGAAGATCTTATAATAATAGGTGAAACGATTTCATTAACTTGATCATCTTGTTCATCAATAAGACAATCACATGAACTTTGACTATTTTCATCTTTCTTCAAACACGAAATATCATGTTTCTTGTAATTTTTCTTTGGTGTTGTTTGTTGATCGTGTTGTTGTTGTTGTTGCTTCTTGTGATTTGTCAGTTTTGATAACCTTCTTTTCAGTTGAGAATTGAATGTTTCATGATCAGAATTTGAAGAGTTGATGTTGTGATTATGTGTATCATCGCCCTCTAGAGTAGAGTCTGAGTTTGAGCTGTGTTCATTTTGTAAATGGTGGTTGAAATAGTCGACATGACCATCTTCTTTGGAAATGTTAGTAAACTGATCCATATCTAATACAGATGTAACAGCCACTCACCGTTTACATTGTCATTCTCACTTTGATTGCTTGACTCTTTGTTTAGGAAGTTCCATATCTGGGACATAATTGAGTATTAGTGAAGTTTGTGTAATGTATATGGAATTCTGGGGATATAGAGCAAATGTGCCAGAGTATAAATAGTTGAAGTGTTGAAGATGGTAATTATGGTCATTGGAGTAACAAATCTTAAACTTTTGTTGTGTTTTGCAAAGGTATCGGGTGACTTGGTTTGCGCACGCCCAACAGGAGATTTCAGCACGGACTGAACAGGCTGGTGCAAAGTTTGGGATGAGACGATGGTGAGGATAGGTACTGGCTATTACGAAGTATGGGGACTAAGTGGTGTAATGTTAATAGAATATGGATACATTAATATCTATGGCATGGTCTAGTTGCTGTTGTTGTTGTTGTTGTTGTTGTTCTGTGAATTTAAGCTAACTGTCTCTTATGCCAGTGAAGCTGCCATGGAACATTCTACAAATCATCATCGTTTGAAACCGTTATAACCAGGACCCAACTAAACACATCCAGATTCAAGACACCTTTGTCATATATCGTCTTATCCCTACTGAAAACTTGATCTGTTGATATTTCTGTATGTATTATCTATTATTACAAACCATGACTATACTGTATTACTAAACCTAACCAACTCTCTCTCGTAATGTGAAACCAAATTGAAACAAAAAAATATGAAAGCCTAAACCCTTCCATTACTATCAAAACACAATATCAAATAAAATAAAAACGAAAACGTTCACGCAGAATTGAACTGATTCTGACCTGACAAAGATGCACATATTAACCGGGTATTTAAGGGGGTGTACGATTATAGACCATCTCTAGTTATGAATACAGACTGCCTTAAAATAATATTCAGCCAACCCCTTAACAAATAACAAAAAGTAAAACCATTCAAGAACTGAATGCCAAAAAAATTGAATGGTGTGAATGTGGAAACTAACTAATGAATGAATGTAAAATGCAAAAACTAAATGATCCTTCTTATGGATTTGTCACCCTCAACACTTTTCTTGAATAATCTTCATTGTCATTCAACGATAAAACTTCATCACGTTCATGAATATTTGAAAAAGTTCCAACATCTAATCTTTGATCAACATAAGTAGAATCACCATGATTATCAATAATAGGAGTACCAAAATCTGTACTAACAATAGACAAATTCTTTTTATGCCCATTATTCCCATTGGTCTTTTGTTTCATACTATTTGCATTACTATGTTGTTTTTCATTAATGACCGTATCATCAGTACTCGAAACCTCATTGAATTCATCCTCATGCAAAATATTCGTCTTTGTTACAAAACCTTTTGGTCCATTATTCGTTGGTTTTTGGAACCCTTCAACTCCAACAACATCCTCATCGTCATAATCCTTCTCATTACGCAAACATCTTGTCAAGACCCATAATAATAATGATAATATGACCACTCCAATAACTCCAACCGCTGTAAACACACCGGCAACTTTTCCCTTGGAATCAAAGAAGGAATCATCATCATTATCGTCATTGTTCTTCCCGCTGTTATCTGCAGTAGGCGTAACACCAGTGGCACGAGCCATTGAGTCAGAACTTGATAGACTTGGATCTTGTGATGTTGATATGGAGATTGTGGTTTGGATCCCTGTTGTAACGTATTGGGTTTGTTTACCTCCAGTGACAGTGGAGATTGAATAGACGACTGAGGTGATGACTGGTGTTGATATAGGTTTGGCTGAGGATGAGGAAGAGGATGTGGTTTCTGATGTTGTTGATGGTATTGTAGATCTTGATGTGGTTGTTGGTGAGGTGCTTGATGAGGTGCTTGATGTTGAAGTGGATGAACTTGTTGTGGAACTTGAAGTTGTGCTTGTTGTGGAAGTTGATGATGTAGATGAACTAGGCGAAGCACTTGTTGTTGATGATGTAGGAGGACTCCAAGTTGAAGAACTTGTTGATGACGACGTACTTGAAGTTGTAGGTTGAATGAATGAACTTGAAGGTGATGTGCTTGATGAAGTTGTAGTTGTGCTTGATGAAGTTGAGGTCGTTGAAGTAGATGTTGAGGAACTTGTAGTAGAAGTTGATGTGCTTGTTGAAGATGATGTGCTTGTTGAAGATGATGTAGTTGAGCTAGAACCACCAACAGTTCCACTAGGTTGGTTCAAATAGATATATCCATATAAGTCATCACCACCACATTTCTCACTTGGAAACCCTGGACAATTCATATTACATTCATCAACATCAACAGTGTTACCAGGGACATAATTTGAACACCAACAGTCTTGATATTGAACAATAGCTAGTGCAAATCCTTCCTGGTTACATTTATCATGACATAACCCATTTGATTGATAAATACTTGAATTGACTAATTGAGATCCAGTGTTTTGAGATGAACAATATGATAAAGTTGCTGATGTGAGCCGTATTATGAGTATAAATGTTATGAAATTCTGTATCAATATCATATCGTCTTGGATATAAACAACAAAATCAGGACTAAAAACTGTTTGGAGTAGTTCTCAAATGTATATGTATGGTTTTTTGGCACCTTTCTTGGTTGAGAACTTTTCAAGTCTCTTTTATAACCGAACAATTTTTTTAGCTGCTTTCACTTACAACACAAATTCCTTGTTCTTTTGATCTATAATTATACCTCCTTGTGTTTTGATAATTGAGAAATGTAAACCGTCTTAAAAGGTCCAACTAATGCCCTAAAACAGATACACAACAATGGCTAGATTGGTGGCTTAATGCTATTGTAGGTTATAACCTCTGGCATAAACGGGATATCTGGTAACACCTAGAGGGTAAAAAAGGCAAGACAATAACTGTACTGATCAACTTTAGGTGTCAAAACAATCACTGGTGATGTACCTCAAATTAATTGTAGCACTTTTAAACGAGGCTTGATGTTGTGATATGGTCTTATCAAGTCTTTCTTATATGGTTTTTCGATTTTGGTGATGATGGTTTTGCTTTTGATCCTTCTTTGTTTGAGAAACGATGTTGTAATTGAATGAAAATCTGTGATTTCTCTCGAAATGGAATAACCTTAAAGCTAGTTCAAGGGGATCTGATTGAATAGTGGGTGGTTGTTGTTGTTGATGTGTTGAATGTGACCAGTCAATTGGAAGAGGATCCAGGAAGGTATATATAAAATTCCCACTAGTACACATTTCTTCGTAGTTGTACTTGACCAATAGCCAATTACTGGATTTGGTTTAAATGGAATACATGCATCTACCTAATAGATTTCTATTTTAACACCAAGTGCTTTGAGCACTCAACAATCTAATAATACACATGATCACAACGACAACAAGAGCTACAGTTAAGCTACCCATGAGGAACATAACTATCCTATCCATCTCGTTCAATCACACTTCACCTCAGACACCCATTCACTTCCATCTTCACCTAGCTCAAGCCCTTCATCACTTCAATCGAAAAGCTGCTGCCTTGCACATGAAGCGAAAAGAAAAAAAAAAAAAGTAGCGTCGATCAATTTCACGTTTTTCCTACACAACAAAAAATTTGGTAGCGATTCGGTTGAATCTTGGTACAATCAAACCAAATCAAATCGCATAATTCAGAGCCAGGTTATCAAGCTTGCTAAATTCAAAACCTCATCAAATTCACCAGGGATGCGCTTTTTTAGCACTTGAATTAGTTTAGTTTCCTTCCTTCCTTGTGCGGTCTGTTTAGCCCTACACAATTCTGCATAGAACTTGAAATCGAAGAAAAACAAGAAAAAGGTATAAGAAGAGATACGTTGAGATGGTTGGAAATTCATAGACAGAACAACAAACCAGATTGCTATATAATAAATAACAAGTCTATGGATTTTGATTTGATTCAATTCGGTCGTTTAAGAAGTGGAGGTTTCTGTCGTTCCTTTTGAACTGATAATAGGACTACACCGACTTGTGAAGATTTCTAACTGAATTGTGTCAGGGGGTGTTGAATTTGTGTATGAATTCATCTCTTGATCCCAGAGATTAACATCAATCACAGTTGCTTTGAAACTAATCTACACATGCTAGATGTATTTTAAAAGACAACACGCAATGCCAATTATACGATCAATTGAGACAATTATACACAATTGATTGCTCGAAAGCTCAATATGGATCTCACTTTCTTTGTTTGACTCTGAAGTTTTAACACAGTGTGAGTATTCCCATGAGAAGCTTATCCTTGACTACAATACTTTTAAGTAGAAAGCCTTATTTTTCCTAACAATTAAGGTACAGCTTGTAATTTTAGTGAAACAATATTCCTAAACTTTATATAAAGTACAAGCCTCTACAACGTGATTGATTTGATGCTCTTGTATACATCTGGTCTTGTACTTGTATATCTCTTGATTTGTTTATAGGGTTAACCATTTTAGGAAGCAATGAAGATCACTGTCAAACTTTAATTGATTGAAATTTAAACAAAGGGAAAAACTGAAGAGTTGATGATGTACCAATGAAAGTTATTGTTCACTTCTATTGGTGCTAGAAGAGCCTGTTTTTGTTTACTCTTGTTTATCAAATTGTAAATGTTGTTTGAGACAAGTTGATTGACTACCATTACTTGTCCTATTTGGTTTTGTATCTTGATGATCAAATTGTTTTAAGCTGTTTTAGCATGAGTAAAGCTTTTCAAAGAGCCAAATATTGGTGTGGGTTTAATGAAAGACATCGAGGGAAGACTGTTACTAGTAATTATCTGAAAATATAGGCAATCTATGGATATGAGCAAAGAGTAAGTCCCTTAAATATCATTTGTACTTAGGATCATTAAGTCTTTTCTCGACAGAATTTAATGTTGTCCTTGTTAACAATACTCTTGGTTTCTTATCTAATTTTTGAGTCCGGATTTAGTGGGAATTGAAGATTTTGAAGCCGATTTCAAATTCATAAAATCTTGTTAAAAATCTAATTTATTTGGCAAATAAAATAGCTCAGTCGACTAACGAATGGTCAAATATTATAACCCGCTAATTTAATTTATATGTATCTTTTGTTTTTTAAAATACTTAAAGTTTAATAACGTTGTAAAATTGATTTTTATTTCAAAATTAAAGATCCAAAAACTTTGAAAATTTTTTTAGCTCAAAATAACTTGAAAGTAATATTTTTAGAAACTAGAGCTAATTTAATAGTCACTTAAATATTTTTAAAGATAGAGTTTTTATCTATGTCTTGAGTTATTTGTGTTTTTCAAATGTCAATATTTGCAAAAAATTTATCGCTTTCAACGAGTAAAAAAGCACCAAAAAAGCTAAAAATGAGCAGGAATTTCACTACAGGGTACTGATTCTCTGAAATATTGATTCAAACTTTTAAATAGGTATAAATACCTTAAGATCCCTGCTTTTTTATAGACTTTAAAGATGCCCATTTAATGAATTTAGACCACTCCACAAAATGTGTCCCCAACTCAATAAAATTATTAACGGGCCACACAGTACTAAATTTTTTGAGATCCCGGATAAGTATTTAGGGCTTGACTACCTGTCAGTTTAGCTCTTCTTGCTCCTAACTTTTCAATTTGATTCACAGGGCTGAAAAAATTATGGTCCACTACTTCTAATTTTGACCAATATTGTCATACACACAGACTACAAACTCCAGGGTTAACGTGCCAAAAGCTCACCAAGATTTCATCATGGAAAAATTTCGCGCCTTCAACGATTTTCCTGTTTGGAGAGCCTCAAAATCTGTTTTTGACACTTTTTGTCCTGATATCTAGATTCTCATTGATGCAATGAGACTCGTATCAAATCCTTGGTAGTGGGTACACTTGAAAGGTTTATCAGGTTCTTTATCCTGAATACCCCAGGATCAAGGTGCTGGTTTCCTGTTACACTTTTAAAAGAAGGGTTCAAAAAGGTGAGGCTGCTCAAATGTTGCTAAAGCCGGAATGCTGAATGATTGAACCTTCAAGATATCAATTGCACACCCAAACAACCTGTACAGTGTACACCGATATTCGAATTACACGCTTTACAATTGCAATTGGAGTCCGAATGTATTCTTCTTGGTCGGCAAAGAATTACACGGTCCATGTTGAATTGAAATTTTCTCGAACTGTTCTTAAATCCAGGATCAAGATGATTCAAGGCCCTTCTACATCAACACTTCTCCAGAATACCCATCAAGTACAAGGGCACCTTCTCTTGATATCTCCTGATAATATGGATGTGTCAAGTATTGTTGAAGGAAATCAGAAGACAGCCCCTTAAAACTCCGAAATTACCTTTGAAACCTATATGATTCTCTACACACGTTTGTAGTCTCTCAAACGGACAGTATAACTGGTCATTTTTTTTACAACACACAAACTCAAGCATTTCTCAAGTGCTAGCTTATGTTAAAATAGCTCGGAATAATTAAAGTACTTTCAACGATTTGAGCTTCAATTTCACAATCACCCTCCCAAGGAATGTAAAGATAGCCAACCAACACGGCTACAGATAATTGTTGTTGATGCAGTTGGTGCAGTTGAAGATTCAGTTGTTCCTAGCGACTCAAATTCGATTGGTCCTGGTTCGAGAGGTCATGTCCGAAATGCGCTAAAGTAAAAGTTTCGTTCACCGTTGAAGATTTGAGAACAATCCAAAGAAAAGGGTACAACAAGAAGGTTAAATCGGTACTTTCCACCACTCCAATTGCTCTATAAGGATGATGAAAGGAGTACCTATGTAGGTAATGTCATTGTTAATAGTTTCGAGTTTCTAGAAGAGTGAAAACAAGGTGTTTTATGCTTGTATGGTACGTTTCTGTTTGGGGAATCCATAGGCTTTCGCTGCTCAAACTGGAACACAGAGCTCCAAAGCGCGTGGCCAAAAGTTAAAACGCGCCCCTCCATTACGTAAAAACTTGCACTAAAAAAATTTCAAACCGTCCAACTCTCAGTATCGTTTAAAGTTTTACAAGTTATGAGTCAGTTGATCGAGCTTTGCTCTCTATGAGTCAATTACCTGACAATTGATCCATTTGCTTGTATTGTTTGCCAGCTCTTTATGTATTTTCCAGTTCAGCATCTTTTTACGATTGTTTCTGTAGAACTTGTTTGGAGAAATCCTGATTCAACAGGTTCACTCTTAAAGTCCGAGTCGCTCAGGTTTATAGGCATCAAAATTGTCGACGTAAGCGTAAAAAGGAACGAAAAAATTTACAGATTCTGCAAGCTCAAACTTGGAAACGGTCGGCCTATTAAATCGCTTCTAACTTGAAAGTCCTGTTGAGTCCTGAATCGATCCTGTTGAATACAAAAAAATGTTATAAAAGTGAACAATTGTTCCACTTTTTTCCAACTCCGAAATCATATTAAAGAGGTTTCCTTTCCTTGTGATTTTTAAAACTCATCCTTAAATATTCCTCAATTACAACAATGCTTAGAACAATTACAAACAGATTAGCTACTCAATCAAGAGCTCCAATCTCAAGATCATTCTTAAGATTAAACTCCTCATTAGCCATCCCAGAAACTCAAAAAGGTGTTATCTTTTACGAAAATGGTGGTAAATTAGAATACAAAGATCTTCCAGTTCCAACTCCAAAAGCCAACGAAATTTTAATCAATGTTAAATACTCTGGTGTTTGTCACACTGATTTACACGCCTGGAAAGGTGATTGGCCATTACCAGTTAAGTTACCATTAGTTGGTGGTCACGAAGGTGCTGGTGTTGTTGTTGCCAAAGGTAGTTCAGTTAAAAACTTCGAAATTGGTGATATTGCCGGTATTAAATGGTTAAACGGTTCATGTATGTCATGTGAATTATGTGAACAAGGTTACGAATCAAACTGTATCCAAGCTGATTTATCAGGTTACACCCATGATGGTTCTTTCCAACAATATGCTACTGCTGATGCCGTTCAAGCTGCTAAAATTCCAAAAGGTACTGATTTAGCTAACATTGCTCCAATCTTATGTGCTGGTGTTACTGTTTACAAAGCTTTGAAAACCGCTGATTTGAAACCAGGTCAATGGGTTGCCATTTCAGGTGCTGCTGGTGGTTTAGGTTCTTTAGCTACCCAATACGCTAAAGCCATGGGTTTAAGAGTCTTAGGTATTGATGGTGGTGAAGAAAAAGAACAATTATTCAAATCCTTAGGTGGTGAAGTCTTTATTGATTTCAAAAAAGAAAAAAACATTGTTGAAGCTATCCAAAACGCTACCAACGGTGGTCCACACGGTGTTATCAACGTTTCTGTTGCTGAAGCTGCTATTTCTCAATCAACTGAATACGTTAGACCAACCGGTACTGTTGTTTTAGTTGGTTTACCAGCCGGTGCTGTTTGTAAATCAGAAGTTTTCTCACACGTTGTTAAATCTATCTCAATTAAAGGTTCATACGTTGGTAACAGAGCTGATACCAGAGAAGCTATTGATTTCTTCACCAGAGGTTTAGTTAAATCACCAATCAAAATTGTTGGTTTATCTGAATTACCAGAAGTTTACGAATTAATGGAACAAGGTAAAATCTTGGGTCGTTACGTTGTTGATACTTCTAAATAAGCTGGCTAATCATCATGCTTATGATAACGAACTTACATATTATATAATTTTATAAATTCTTAACGACTTTTTTATTGATTAAATGATTACAACAGTAGATTTATTCAACTGATTGACCTTTTGACACTCCTGGAATTGAACTTATTTTAGAAACCCATTCAGCTAAATGTGGCCATTCACTTAGATCAGTCTTGAACATTCTTGATCTAGAAACCCATGGATAAGCTGAAATGTCTGCAATATTCAAGTGATCACCAACTAACCAGCCATTGTTCTCTTTCAGTCTGATCTCATAGACACCATAGATTCTCTTGGCCTCATCTGAATATCTCTTGATCCCATAATCATTAACAACTTTAGCAAAACTAACAAAATGATGAGCTTGGCCTTGCATCGGTGAATGTGAAGCAATTTGGAAAGTTAACCATTGTAATTGCTCCCACCATAAAGGATCGTCATGGTCATAAGAATATTTACGCTCCTTATCATATTTATCAGCCAAATATTGCAAGATAACCCCAGTTTCATGGAGTGTTATGCGTTTACCCTCAGAATCAACATCACTCAACACCGGGATACGACCATTTGGATTCAATTTAATAAACCAAGGCTCTTTTTGTTCATCAGTTGAAAGGTCAATCTTTCTATAAATGTATTCCTTCTTTAACAATTCAAGAAAGATTGTGATTTTTTGGCCATTGGAAGTACCAACGCTATATAACTTTGTATAAGGTGCTTCAATTGGGCCTACTTTTGGGTCTTCTTCGTCAACTTTGACCATTATGAGCTGTAATTCGTTGATTAAAGATAAAGAAAGAAAGTGTTTGTGTTCAAGAGTTCAACAATAAATACAAAAAAGGGTTCAAATATGTTTAAAGCCACACATTTGTAAGATTAATCTGAACATTCGCGAATATTCACATTGTTGGAGTTTGAATCCCTTATACAATTCCATTTCATCCTTCAAAACCTTCATAAAACTTCTTCATCCCATCAATCAGAAATTCACGGTCAAATTTTCTTCCAGGCTCACTTCTTGGATGCTCCCCAGTTCCAGCAACATTAATTATTGACAGCTCACCGTTTTTTTGAAGGATCATGTCTTTTTCAGGATTGAATTTATCATCTTCAGCATCAATATTGACATACAGCCCAAAACCTTTAGCATTCAGCGCTTCAAGTTGTGAAAGCGCCTTTAGTAAAATTACTTCCATTGGTTGGTATTTCATCTGACTGCTCATATTTGAAACTTCAAAAGCCATAAATTTCCCCAATGATAGGATTTTGGAATTTTCATCTTTGACAACCAAAAATCCTCGTTTCCAGCACTTTGCACTTCCAACCAAAGATTTGTTGACATTTGTTTGATTGTGATATGAGTTTAAATACTCAAATTCCATTTGTTCCTGATTCTGTGCTGGGTCATCATTCATTCCAAAAGTGACAGGATCCCAAATTTTGATGAAAACAGAGTCCTCAGACTTGTCATCTGGGTTAAAGTGGGATTTTTTCAAATAAATAGATCTCACCATATGATCATAATCCTTCAAAGTTCCAATTGGAGTGACATTAGAATCAATTACAACCTCTATGTTTTCTTCATTTTCACGAAGAGTTTTTGCATCATATTTAAATCTCAGATATTCTCTTGACAGCTGCAATTTTTTCTCAACAATTGGTGGAGATGTTAAAAAGTTTGTTTTGAATTTCAATGCTTTTTCATAACGGTGGTGCTGAACATTTAATGGTGAAGTGAATTGGTCAACTAACAAGCTATAAATGATTGATTTTAGGGTGCAATATGGTTGTAAGTGGTCTATGACAAGGTACTTTATATCAAGGATACACTCTTCATTGGTGAATGTCATATTATCATTTTTTATCAAAATGATGAGTGTGGTTTTGAAAGATGTTAAAATACCAAATTTTGAACCAGAACAACTAATTGAATTGATTACCTGCTGTACCCCATTAATCTTGAGTAGCTTGGAAATATCTTGTTTATTGAGCTCATTTGCAGCTGGCAAATCTTTTTTAACTTCAACTACCACTGAACCTTTACCATTAGCTGATTCCATTGTTATGTCAGGGTATATTTTGCCCTCTTTATTATACATTTGTTGGCGAGGTTGAATTTTTACTCCATAAACCTTTTGAATGATGGTACAAATGGGTGATAATATTTTTCTATCAAACAATCTTTGAACATCACCTTCACTGATGTGTGATAACGATATACATTCAGACTCACAATTTAGCCAATTAAACATTGAAAGCTCCCGGGATGGTATCTTGTTTTGATATTCTTCCAAAATATGGAAATGCTTGTTAATATCTTTTAAAATCTTGGAGTCTGATAAATAATCTATTTGTTCAACGTGAGTTTGGTTATTTATATTTTTGAACTTAGAACTATTTATTGAACAGCCTGACAGTGGTTCTTGTTTTGTATCTGTTGTTACATCACTGTTATGATGTGGATTTCTTATTGCTATTGATCTTTCCTCTCCACTCAAAAGTGAGGGTGTGCTTAAAGCTATTTTAGCGAATTGGTTCTTATTTTCATCAGGTTCAAGCTGGTCCATAAACTCTGCATATCTTTGAGCTATCACGTAATCACCAACATCATCGACTTTCTTTAAATATTGGTTATAATGTAACATAGGTGGTTCTTCCAAACTGTTGATTAGATTTACCAACTTAGTGCTCTTCCAGCGGACTGACAATGCTAATTTGGCTAGTTTTGCTTTAGATGGATTGAGAAAACGTTTATGGGTAACTGTTGCTAGCATTTTGTATAAGTGGCAAGTACTGGTATAAGTGCTGATGTATATACTGTTGATTTAGTTACTTTCAAATGTCGTACATTCATTTTTGAGAACTTGAGAACTTTATTTTGTGTCAAACTGGAAAGCATTTGGAATACCTAAAAAGGCAATTTCCAGTTTAAGGAAATTCTGAATCTCGTGACCAAAAGATGGGCCTAGTGATTCGCTCACAACATTACCAGCAACGTCCAGTCTCAAATTCAAACGACGAGGGCAACCAAAGAAGCTGTTATCGACCAGATATCAACACATGGATCATGTCGGTAATTTGAGGGAATATGGTTCACTAAACTAGTTTTAGAATACGATGCATTTCACAGGTCTTACAATAGGTCTGCGTTCACCAGATCGAGAATCCTAGGGACCAACAAACTCTTGAACTGAGTCAAATGTTGCTTAAATAGAAGGCAGTTGCTACAAAACCGATGGGTGCTAGTGATTGAGGAATATCATTGAGAATAAAAGATGACTGAAAGATTTGAGAAAGACTTTGCATTAATTAAATATGCTTATGAGAATTTCAATATGGTGCCTAAGGGAAATGAAGAATATGAGAGAATGATTTCAGGAATGCAGTAAGTCCATTCAAGTACTATAAGCTCATCAGAATGATCATTAACAACCGTGAAGATATAATAGATTCGTTCCTGAGTTGAAAGTGCCCCGTATAAAGACACATGAAAAATGTCAAAGATACAGTTCAATGAAACTTGATGATTTCCATAACCCACAAGAGTTTGAAATATCTCAGAAACATCAATTGAAGCAAATATTTGGTAAAATTGATAATACATCCATTATTGAACCTCCATTTTTTCTGGATTATGGGTTCAACATTGAAATAGGCTCTTATACAACCATAGCTCCATTTTTGACAATCATTGATGGTGGCATTGTCAAGATAGGTAGTAATGTCAAACTGGGTCCAAGAGTCACGTTCATCACAACTACACACCCATTGGATACAGTGAAAAGAGTTGATGAAGAATATGAATGGGCTAGAGGGATAAATATTGGTGATTTCGTTAGGATTGGTGCTAATGTAACTATACTTGCTGGTGTGAGTATTGGGGATAATGTTGTTATTGGTGAGAATTCTGTTGTTATGAGAAATGTGCCTAGTAATGCTGTTTTCTCTGGAATTCCTGCCAGAATGGTCAAGAAAGATGGGAATCTTTAAACAAACTTGAACATATGATGTGAGGCTCAGACACTAGTTGGACAAGATATAGATAGTAATGGGATGATTTTCAAAACTATCGAAGCCCGAGATAATCTGTTTTTGACTTGGTATAGCTCCACAGTAATACTACAACTCTTCATCAAGGAGAAATTTGTACTTCTGTAACCAGAGCGATGGCAAAAGGTGATCTTTTAATTATCAAAGTTTCATTTACTTTTCCCTATGAATTGCTGTCTTTCAAACTAGTTGACGGAATTTGAAGTAGTCAGATTTTTAACAAATTATTAGAAATCCACTTCCACAACCACCAGCCTCCTGTTTAGATCTATACACAGTTCATGTTCATCCCCAAGGTGACCATGTAGGTCTCAAACTAGAGCAGACCATCCCCTGACTTTGACATTTGTTTCTTTGAAAACATACACCGCTTTTCATAACTTCGAAGTTCGCATTTTGTTGTACACGGATTTAAAAAAATATGAGTAGTCTACTATCGGCCGAGAAAAGTTTACGGCCGATTAAACTGAATTAAGCCGATGGGCATTAATTTTACAATCTGAACTTCATCAAGACGTCATTGAATTGGAATAAACAAAAGCTATATACAAACAATATTATAGTAATTCAAGGTATAATATCAGAAATGTGTAAAATAAATTATATGAAACAATCATAGTATATAAAATGTAATGAGCACCATTACCATCGTGAACAAAAAAAAGCATGTAAAAACGTCGTAAACCATGATCATTAACATTATCAATAAGAAACCAAAGACGTGAATAGACCTTCCCACAAAGTGGTTGAATTGAAAACCTTGAAAAGAAATAAAGAAAAAGAAAAATGTAAAACCAGTATCATTATATCAAAAACCCATGAAATTCATAACCATAAACCAAAAGGTACAATTCAACTAAAAGCATGATCATTGTTATCCAGTTGTGAACCATTTAAAACAATTGGAACTTCTGAATACAAATAACCATTCAACTTGCTATCCAAATTGTTGAATTCAAAAGCACCATTCCCATTAGAGCTTGTGACAGCACCCATATTTCCCAAATTTATGTTATCATAAGCATTATCCAATGTATAGGAACCGCCCAATGTAGGAACTATACTAGCATCAAAACCTTGTGTGTTGAAGTTGTTTAACCCATTAGCACTTGAGTCAACATAGTTATAGTTGAAATCATTAGAATCATTAGAAGATACACTTTCACTATGAGAAGAGTTTGATAATGGTGATAAATAATTATGCTGAGGTAGTTGTGGTTGTTGCTGATGTGTAAATTCATCATGATCTTCTTGTTCTTCATAAACTTCATCTGCATGTTCATCCAATATATCCTCTTCATCATCTAATTCTTCATCTTCATAATTATCTTCTTCATCTTCGTCACTGCTCGTTATACTAGCACTTTCATCTATTTGTTCTTGTTTAACTTTGTTTGACTTGGAACCATGATTTTTCAATCCTAATTTATTATCAGCAAGTATGTTTAAAACAGTTGAAAGTTGTTCATTTAAAAGATCAAATTTTTGATCCATTTTATTCATTCTTTTCTCTAAATCTTGTAATGTTAACTTCTTTGTTGTTTGCTTCTTCTTCTTTCTAATGGTTTTGGAATAAGTACATTCAATTTGATGGTTTTTACAATTCAAACATGGTGTATTCCCATTACATTTGATTTTTCTTTGACGACAATAATTGCAAGCTTTTGATATACGTCTTCTAACAATTGGGTAATTACCACTGACAGCACTTGAAACAGATGATGATGATGATGTAGACTCCATTATTGTAGGTTTCTCAATTCTATTACTTGTTTTCAATTTACCTAAAGTCATTCTTTGAACCAGTGAATCAACTCTGCGTCCTCTTGTATAAATAAATATATTTTTTTTCTGATGTGTAATGGTTACCTATTACACTCTGATGATTATTAATGTTCAATAGACAATTAGATAATCCTCTCACAGTTCAAACGATAAATCCGCAAATCACTGATGTGGATAGTTGATGGATGTAAAACCTTTTCTGATATATTCTCTGACTATGAACAGCAATGCTTGTTCCATGTGTACACTTATTTGTTGTATGGTGAATGTGTATTTGTAGAAAGGTGGCCAAAAGTGTTCGATTGGGATGTATTTATAAGAAATGCACCATACCTTAAAAAAACACCACCAGCGATCGAGAATAATTTGTAAACGTCCAGAAGATGGCTCATCTTGATCAAGCATGCAGATTTTCAAATGATCAGCCTCTCCAGCGTCCACCAAACAAGTTTCTTTCCATGTGTTTTTCGTTGTTTTATTGGCGTGTACGTTGTTTATGTGAACCGTTTGGCATGGAATTTAAAGTTTGTACGTACGACGCGGTGCGCATCGCGGCGGACGAGACTTCCCAAAGCGGAAGGAGGCCCACAAAGGTGCTCGGTGCTCGGAGCCTCGGAGCTCTTAATTCAGGAGCGACCGAGACGCTGTTTTTAAACCCGCTAAGTTCGTTTCGCACGAAAAAGAAGACAAACAAATTACAGAGCAAGCTGGGAACAAACAAGTACAAGACCTCAGAGTGATATAGGTGAGAGGAACCCACTGAGATCAATAACAATCGTGTTCTGTGTCCAGGTGGCAAAATTTATCTTCTCATGTCATGTCCTTTGTTTTTGTCTCAGCTCCATAATTAATAATTCCTGCACTGTTGCTTCACTGGGCTCTGTCCGTTAATTTCGTGTTTAAACGGGTTTAGCGATTACATAACTTTGGTGAGATTTGCAAAGATTTTTTTTCCCTTCAGCTAGATAGATTGCCCTAGAAGCATTTCTATGTGGAATTAGTGGTGTTTAAGTAACTTAATCGAAATATTGACGATTACTAATTAATGTACTCATCAACCCAACAAGAGAATGCTGTCTCCGTTATAATTCATTAATCATGATCTGATAAGTTACAACAGAATTAGCTAATTCAATTTGCTGGTTGAATTGCTTTGAGAATGTTGTTTAAGGAGAACTGAATCCTGATGTACTCAAATATAGAACGCTAAGAACAGAACAAACTGTACAAGTATCATCACTGCCCTTATTTTGAAAGCTTTCCACAAACGATTAAAGGAGTGAATGTAGAGTATTCATCAATCTGAACATGTACGTCTTTACTATCACAATGCCTCTTTGACCATAAGATTAACATTAATCTTTAAACTATTATAAGACGCCTAAACATTAAGTTTTGAAGCTGGTACTTTTAATTGATGGTTACTTATTGTTGATCATGCGTACTCCAGCTTAATCAGATCAAGTTTGTATCTTCTCTAAATTTTAAAGCTCTGCAACGTTCAAACCTTCAAATACGTCAGTGATGGAGAGAACAACTACACTCAACTACTCACGAGTCACAGCGATGTCTACAAGTTGGAAGACGCGTACATCTTTTTGAGCTGGTGATTTACGCCCATAAATCTATTTTAGTGTATTCAATCTTCAAACTGTAATGTAAACGGAGCTCAATGTTTACATCTATTGTCTAACAATATCTAACCCCCAGTAAACCCGGTTAACCACGACTACAACGATACAAAATCCGAAAGTTGTAAAAATAACATCATTTCATTCATAAGTAATATTTGGTAAAGCGGTGGAAATCTCATCAGTAAATGAAATAGGAATATTCAATAAGTTATGACCGAAGTAGTTCCAATTGATATGTAAATCACTAGTATCTAAAACTTCTTCAATTGATGGTGGTTCGCCAGCTTGGTTTGAACCATTAACTTGATTAGATATTGATGGATTAGTACTTTGTGGGAACTGTGAATTCCCAACATTTTGTTGATTGAAACCTCCCAGCTGATCATACAACAAATTACCATCATTGAATAAATTCAAACGGGTCTTGGTATCTGGTCTTAATATCTCACGTCCATAACTTGGGAAATGTGGTCCAGACTTTGGGTTTTCAGTTGTACCAGGGAAATAGGCCCAAGAGTTTGGTGAAGCTGTTGAAATACTTGTGTTAGATGTTGGCGTGGAGCCTGAACTTGATGAATCTTTATGATTCAATTTTGAAAGGACTTCACCAATAGATGAACCTGATAAAATGACACCAAATCTATCAAAGGAATTATTATTTTCTTGTTGATATCTGTAATCTTCAATACATCTAGATAACAAACTACCAAGCAAAACAGTATTTTGGTCCAACTTTGAAACTTCCTCACCTATTATCTGTTGATCAGGATTGTGTTCATTATAAAGCTTCAAGGCAATCTTGGTGAAAATACTTAAAGCAAATCTCATACCATGTACTTTAATATAATTGATAATATCAATCCTTGTAGTTGGGAAAACTGGTTTATAATCTGTACCATTATCAGATAATGTATTGATCATTTTCTTAAGTATGTTTTCCGTTTCAATACCTTGAGGATTCTCAATACTATATGTTAAGCAGGTAACATATGCAGAAAACAATGTAAATGCTGAGCCTATCCAAAGATTGAAATTTTCTTTTGTAAACTCATCACATAATTTCATAATTTCATAACATGCATCAATACATAAATGGGAAAATTTGTTTTCAAGTATTGATCTTTCATTATTACCTTCATTTGATAAAGGTTCAGCTGATTGACCTCTTGTATTTGTGTAATCCCATTGTTTCCTTAAAGCCATTCTGTTAACAGACAAACAGATTAGATAATATGACAAATGGACCCTCACGAGTTTGAGGTAATCTAAATCATGAACCGGGGATGATTCTGGTATTCTAATTGGATGTCCAGGTCTAAGAATAATTGGAAATTTCATTTTAAATTTTTCTAATTCTTCATTTAATGATCCGATTTTCCTTAAAACATCAATTCTTGTTAGTCCATCCAAAGAGTTAGCACTGAAAAGGGTTTTATAGGCCATTGATGTTACCTTTGACAATTCATACCATGTATACTCAAGACCCATGCAATATCTAGTCTCCGAAATGGTGCCCAGGGCACTATAAACCCGGTAACAATGATCAATGTTATCCATGTCTAATTCTTCACGAGTGATACCAATACTTAAAGCTACTTCAACCTTGAGGTCTTCACAATATGAAGACATACCTTCAGCATCAATAGATGACATATCATCGTCATTAATCATTGGTGGCTTCCCGGATTTCAAACAAAGATCTCTATCAAGAATGTAACAAAGAAACCATAAACGCTTTCTAAGTACAGCTTCATCTGGTGATAATCCCAAGAATGTTTCTCTTCTGTGCAACCCTAACGCTTGAGCAAATCTAACAGCAGTAGAAACTAAAATATAATCAATCTCTGGGATTAAAGATAATTCACAATAGCAAGTTAGCAACAAAATGGCTTTCAAACCATCTATACCACCTCCAAATATAGATACCCTTTGATAATAATAAAAGGCTCCAATCAAATATGTGTGTTCCATTCTTTGATATTTTGCAACATCTTCACTTTTATTTTCAAAGGCCGCCTGTTCTGCTTTATGACATGAGCCACATACAATCATTAAGTATAAATTCAACATATCTGCATGATCTAGCTTTCCAGATGGGTTTGTTTCTTGAAGTTTAAAATAACGATCAACAATATCTTTCATTTCCACACTTCTGAAAAAATAAGCAGTATAAACTGCTGGTTTATTAAAATGCTCCAACATCTCATAACATTGTTCCTTTGAAGGTAATGATACCACATCAGCCTCAACAATAGGTGAAGTTAGAAATGATCGTTGATAACCCACAACTGAATCCATTTTTTTCAGAAGGTTCAAGATTGGTTTGATAGCTTTTGGATCTTTTGACTTTCTTGAAACCCAAGTTAAACCTTGTACACTGAATATGGATAATGTACATTGTTGTCCAATATAGTCCGAGCCACAAGTAGATTTTTCTCCAATATCAATCTTGTGTTCATCATCATTAACAACATTTGATTTTGATGGGTTCTCAGTAGTTGCAGCATTACTCTCAATATCTGTATCCGAAGCAGTTTCCCCGTCTGAAGAGCTTCCTTTATACTCTGCACTGCTTTCTGATGATCTTTCTGATCTCAAAGCATCAAAAATAGGACCACCAGCTCTTTCACCAACTTTACTGACTAATGTAGTCAACAATTCTTCTAATTTCCCTATTCTGTTATCTAATGTTTGAATAGCACCTTTTCTTGATTGACGTTGGCGAGGACGGTCAGGTTTTGGTTTCTCAACACGAGTATAAACACATTCATTAGCAGCTTTTTGACACCTAGAACAAGGATTCTCACCATCACATTTTAATTTCTTTCGTTTACAAAAATCACACGCTTTTGAAGTTCTTGGAGCTCTTTGTTTGTTGATTTTGAAGTCATTATCTGTCATATTTCACTAAACAAGGGTAATAAGGTCTCTTTGGGAGGCAAATTACTGTGTCTGACAAGTGAGTTGAAAGGTTAAGGGCTGCTTACAATTCATAAAATGTTTATGTTGAAGTTTGGAAATGCGAAATCCATCAACAATAAGAATTGCCGGAATGTTTTAACTGAGCCGACACCGATGCTGCAAATCGGCTTCGGATGGGGATGTTTCGGAACAAGAATAACCCGAAAAAAGTTCGGTCGACTCAAGCCAAAAACCGAATAAAAAATCAATTTTGAATCAAAAGAATTCATCAACTAGTCTTTAGACAAGCTATGTGGTATCGCTTTGAAGGAATGATATTCACCTGAATGGATGTACAATGTACACGGTCAGAGAATTGACCAGATCTCATCGAAATGTTAAACAACTCTCGCCTTGAAGGCGCAACAACAGACTTCAGTGCTTTGAAATCAGAGCATGGCGAGTTTGATATACTCGAATCAATTAATTAAAAACAAACAGCTTAGTCCAAAATTTGAGCAGAGCCTTCATATTTTGACCCCCAGATTGAAACTGATGTCTATTATTTACTGTCGGATCGATCAGAACAAGACTCGAGGCGTGGCGATTAGGTTAGTAGAGATTATCGTCAACTTTAGACGAGCTAGAACTAATTTGATTATTGATCCTCAAAACTAGACTTCCTAGAAAGTAATGATAGAATCGAAATACCAGACTTCAATATACTCCACGGGAAGTTGATCTATTTATTGAGCCCGAAGTTTACATGGAAACTCATTAGATCTTGAGCTGGTCCTTTGGAAACCCTTCATGCTCTTTGGTATGACGAAGAACACTGTCCAGCGCTCTTCACGGTTGTCAACTGGTAATTCAAGAAACACCTCACTACGCGTGAAATTCAGCTGAATATGGGTTAAGGATTCCATTTTTAAGTATACTAGTAAGCATTAAGAGAAAAAGTTAATGGCATTGATCGTTTGACCAATATATCCTTGATAGTACAGGTCAACTATAGCTACAGATCCGATCTTGAGCAACAAATCATAGTGCTACCTAATTAACGAACTTATAATATATATCAAATTCTGGGCCTTTTCTTAAGATAGCTTCACATCATTGGAGAACATTACACCAACTTTGAAGTGAAAACTAAGCTTGAACAAATTTTAGTGATCCATGATATTGGATTTGCTATTGCACCTCAAGGTTTTCAAAGGGCAAGCTGAATATAATACCTGTCTGACGCTAGCTTACAAGATTTTTTTCAAACTTTTGGTACCTAACAGTTATCAGTTTAATCGATAATGCATTATTTTGGGAAACGGTTTTTTAAAGTTTGTCATGTTGTTTTACTCGCAACCAGATTGAAATGACAGATCCCGTGTCACTTGCTTAAAATTTTGTGAGGTCGCGTTTCAAAAAAGCTGTTGATGATGATCCGATTGAAGCATGGAAGAATTGGATGAGTCTAAAGTTAAAGCATTCCTCAAATATTTAAATGCCCACTGTTCCTTACTACTCTAATGTTGGTCTAACAACTTTATCGAAAAAATGCTTGAACAGTCGGCGTTTCCAAAATGAAGTACCCCTACTTTAAGATCGAACTCATCAAGTCCAACATCAACTGCGTCAACTTTATCACCACGTATAAAGATTGATCGCATTGTTTTCTTCATCTACAGATATAATATTTTTAGTAGCATTAATAATAGATTCTATCCATTATGATTTATATACAGTCAAAATGGGTTGAAAATTTCATAAATTTTATCATTGATCAGTAAATTCTAAAGATCAATTAACTTAGAGTTTTTTACCTAATAATAAAACTTGTAATTTATCGTATAAGGAGATAACTAAAGCACCGGCAATACCTCTTAAAATGTTAGCACCACAACCGTTGAATAATGATTTAACACCTTCAGCAGCAACGATTTTACGGAAAGCATCAAAAGCACCAGAGTAATGAACTTTTTGACCTGAAGTCATCATCATTCTTCTTCTAACGGTATCTAATGGGTAAGAAGCAGTAGAAGCACCAGTGGTAACAACCCAACCTAATAAGAATGAAGCCAAGAATGAACCTTCTAATGAACCAACTAAAACAACTGGTTTTAAGGAATCATATAAACCAAAGTATAAACCACGGTAAACAACAATACCAACAACTGATGGTAAGAAACCACGGTATAAACCAGCAATACCATCTGAAGCTAAAGTTTTTCTGTAAACATCAACTAAACCGTTGAATTGTCTTTCACCTGAACCTTTAGAAGATTTAGCATCGTTAGCCAAACGGGTACGAGCGTAATCTAATGAGTAAACGAATAATAATGAAGAACCACCAGCTAAACCACCTGAAGCCAAGTTACCAGCGAACCATTTCCAGTAACCTTCAGATTTTTTGAAACCAAACATAGATTTGAATTTATCTTTGAAAGCAAAGTTTAAAGCTTGGGTTGGGAAATATCTGATAACGTTAGCGGTGTTACCTCTCCAGAATGAGATGATACCTTCATCAGCAGCGGTACGTTTGAAACATTCAGCAATACCGTTATATTTGTGAGATAATCTACCTTGTTTGATCATTTCATCTTGATTTTGAATTAATAATTTAACTCTTTCAATTGGAGCAGCAGCGGTTTTTGAGACGGCAGCTGAAACACCACCCATCAAGAAATCGGTCAAGAATGATTTTTTTGGTTGTTCACTCATTTTGGTTATATTAGAATATTAAAATAGGTTAACGAAAAAGAGAAGTGTGAAAAATTTTGTTCAAGGAGGAAAAATGTGGATTTTCGATAGATTTATACAAAAATTTTTCAATCAACGTCGAATCAAAATCGACGCCAAAAAAAAATTTAAAAAAATTTCAAATCTTGCCCGGTTTTGCAAAATGGCGAAAAAACAGCCGAATGCAGAAATAAATTGAAGAAATAAATAAAGCCTTTTCCAAGTCTACACAGGCAACAAAAGGCCACATAAAAGAGTATAATTGGAAAGTATTTTTGATTGTGAAGTTGATGACGATAAAGCTGTGTTTGGTACAAGCAGTTTAATGTAGGTTTAGTGATAATTGGTGTTTGTTTATAGTGGAAAAAGTGCTTCTTCAGTGAATTCCAACGAGACATTTTACTGGAGAGCAGTCGAACATTACCGAACCACGCTTAAAATCTGTACGTTTACAACCAGATTCTACTATGGCCTATGTATGTGCAACGAAATTCAATTGAGAGTCAAATCATTGGACAATTCTCTAAACGACCAAAGGTCAGACGATATGTTTCAAGGTTTCAAGGGGGTTCATCACTAGTTATAGGATTTGAAACTGTGTTATAGATTTATACGTTGACGTATTCTCTTTGTTTATTTTTCGGTAGTTTGTGCCAATTGGCGTGTTCTCCACGACCAATCAATTCGCAGATTTTAATCTTGGACGTGTAGCCAGGGTAGAAAAAGGAAAAACCGAAAAACGAATTAGACGTGGGAAACCAGATGAACGTGAATTTTGTTCACTTGAGTGCAACAAGCCAATTCAATTCAATGTCCCTCTAGTAAAGAACTCTCTTTAGTCCATAGTTCAATGTCATCACCACCAATTTGGGTTCAGGTCTCTTTTCTTCTTTTGCAATTATTTTAATTTTTCACTTTTGGCTTCATCTCGTTCCTGCCAAATTCCATTTTCTTTTTTCTGACTCCTGAAAAAGGAAAAAACAGGTTTTTTTGGACCGGGAACAATCGCGAGTTTTTTCCTGGAGCTTCTCAGGGCTTGTAACAATTGAAGAAGAAGTGGTGGGTTATTTATTTACGTTGTATGAATTGATGATATATGGGAAACATCTTGTGCTCAATCAGTGCTATTGTTTCTTTCTCGCAGCTGCTGGAAAGCCGTTGAATCTTTGGGCATCACAAGCCTCAAGGGGTTTTACCTAAACCTTTGGTAAAGGGACTGAACTCTGGAGAAACCGAACTGGTCGAATCGGCGATACTGCCAAAAGCTCTGTGATATTTATCTGAATTACATAGATCTTAAAAGACAGAACACAACATGTGTATTGCACATTCCAAATCACAAGGCCCAGCAGCTAAAACTTCTAGTTGTAAGTAGCTAGGGCCTGAAGATATTTCTGTAAAGTTTCGGTTCAGAATAATCATTCATTCGACCACAGTTGTTCAGATCACTGATTTTGAGCTCAGTTGTAATCCTACTTTCTGTTTTGCAGCTTTTTTAAGAATTCTAATCATCACCAGTAAATTCAAACATAGCACACCTTGATGAATGGTTCAATTCAGTTTAAAGTGCACCGTTTATGCCTCTTCAACTGCAGCACCTTGATCTTCAACTGCTTCAGCTCATCTCTTAAAAAAAATATTTTCGGTATGCCCACTCTTAAGAGAAGCCAGTTAAGAAAATTTGAACATGGCATTTATCAAATCTATACAAATGTAAATAACAATAGCATTCAATCGCATTATCACAGCAACCAGATCATATATCTTGGTTTAAGATCTTCCAGGGGGTATTGGTGATCCTAAAGTGTACAAAACTAGAATTCATTGTGCATTATCACTTATTTATACTCTGTTCCCAACTGATCTGTTTACATTCAAGTTGTCACAATTTTGGTCATCCTATAAACAACAAGACTTATACACACAATAGAAGTGGTGACAGTATAAGATTCATATAAGGGACACCTGCAATCTGTTCCTATCTCACTCCCAGCTTTTAATATTTCTTTTCAAATTTTGTTGAACAACACCACCAGAAATGAGCTCAGCGTCAGCAGGTCAGCTGGACTCATTCTTATCATTCAAATCAACACCTGAAGTTGAAGTTGACTCACTGCAGTTGAACAAAGAGCAAGCTAAGTCTGCCTCTCCAAAGCTTAAAAGTGAGAGTCCATTATTAGATGGTTTGTTTGATCCCAAAATAGGACTGGCTTCATTAGATGAGAAGCTTAGTATACCAAATGAGGAACAAATAAAATCCAACCCAGATGAAACTATACAACATGATATCCCACATATAAGTAAAGAACCAACTGAGTTGCTGTCTCCAACTATAATTGGCTCAAAAGATCAAAAGAGGAAAGAACAACCACCTGAAAAATCACTTCCAATCCCAGAATCACATCAAGATGCAGACATCAAAATGGAACACGAAGATGATAATTCAAAAGTTTCAGCTTATGCTCGTTTGGAATTTGAAAACTTTATATTTTATGTTCAAACATTACAAGTTGTTTTGGGAAGAAAATCTGAAAATGATCATTCTCATTCAGTTGATGTTCATTTAGGTAACTCCAAGGCTATTTCAAGAAAACATGCAAAGATTTTTTATAATTTTGGTACAGAGAGATTTGAATTATCGATACAGGGGAAAAATGGTGCTTTTGTTGATGATGTCTTTATAGAAAGAGGTGCCACTGTTCCTTTGACTAATAAATCAAAAGTTCAAATTGGTCAAATTGTTTTCAGATTCGTCTTACCAGGGATGAATCCACAAGAAAAATTGGAAAGCCCGTCTAAACCAATCAATCCAGCTGACGCTATTTCTTTGAGAAGCAGTTTATATCATCACTCATCAACTGAAAATGTTCAAGATAAATCAGGTTCAAATACTCCAGGTTTGAGTAGTAAAGATTTTGAACCGGTATCAACAGTTACTTCATCAACAACTACTGATAATGCTGCAGCTCAAAAGAAGAGTAAAGAGAAGAAGACACCAAAACCACCAAAACCACCAAAGAAGGTTTATACATTAGAAGAAATACCTGAAGAATATAGAACTAAACCTAATTGCTCCTATTCAAATTTGATTGCAACTTGTTTGAGAACTCATGGTACTCCAAAAGGTATGTCATTAGCTGAGATTTATAAATCTATAAAGGAATTATTCCCATACTATAAATATTGTCCTGATGGTTGGCAAAGTTCTGTTCGTCATAATTTATCACTGAATAAGGCGTTCAGAAAAGTTTCAAAAGAAGGTAAAGGTTGGTTATGGGGATTGGATGAAGAATACTGTGCTGAAAAGGAGAGGGCAAAGAAGAAGCAAGCAGCAGCAGCGGCTGCCAAAGCTAAAGCAGCAGCATTGAAACTGGAACAACAACAATTACAACAACAAAAACTCCAGCAGCAAAGATTGGAACAGCAGAAGCAAATGCAAATGAACCAAGCTTCTCAACCTCAACTTCAACAGCAGCAGTCACCATTGCAACAGCAACAACAGCAGCAGCAACAGCAAAAGGTTGGTCAATTACCACCTACGCTAGGTTTATCAACAAACCCTGCTGCTCAAAGTATACCTCTTCAGTCACCTGCTATTACTCAACAACAAAAGTTGAGTCAAATAACACTGCAAAATACAAAACCCCCATCAACACCTGCCCAAAACCCTCTCACAAATCAACAGATACAGAATCCACAACCTCAGCCACAACAATCTACAATTCATCAGACTCAACATCAACCTCAACCTCAACCTCAAATTCTAACACCAACTCAACCCAAATTTACACCACAACCTCAGTCATCGCAACTGCCACCACCACCTCAAGCATTGTCTCAATTGCAAAATCAAGCTCCTGTGCAGCCTAATAAACAACCTCAATTTCATCCACAACAGCAGCAACATCAACCTTCACCTCAAATTCAACCTCAATTTCAACACCAACAACAGCTTCCTCCACAGCAGTTTGTACCACAATACAATAAAGCTACACAACCTACACCATCCCCATATCAAAACAAGACACCAAGTATTCAAGCTCAGCTAGCTGCTAATCGTGGTATCACACCTCAAGCGTCAAGACCATTATCATTGCCTCCACAACCTACACCAAAACCACCTCCAACTGGTCTAACAGCTGACACAAAGAAGGCTTTAGCTCATTTGCAACAACAATTGGTTGTTTTATCTAAAGATTTGAAAACATTAGTTGATAGACCGACCATTTCTGCTATTTTAACTCAAGCCATTGCAATGACAATTGCTCAAGTTACACAAGCTGCTAAAACTAAAGGTATTACATCTGATCCGTTGGCTACTTTGATTGAAACAAATCCTCAACAATTGACTAGAATTTTGACTGTTGCATTGAATGCTGCTACTTTTAAAGTTACAAATGGAAGAATTAAAGCTCCTTTAAGTATATCACCTTCTGTGGAGAATTCTGCTGCTAATTCAAGAGCTGGTACACCTGCCTTACCTCAACATTCACCACTACCTCCAGCTTCTTTACAGCAACATGTCCCCTCACCTACTGTTTCAAAGATTCCAATACAACCAATCCAATACCAACAACCTCAACTTCAACCACAGCTAGTGCACATTAAACAGGAAAAGGCACAACAGAATAGGAACCAGTTACCAGCTCCACAAACTCAGTACGCTAATCAACCAACTAAACAGTTTCAAGCTGGTACTCCTAGTAATATGCAACAAATTAATGTTGTTCAACCACAACCTGTCAAGACTCAACTCAATCCATTGTTGTCAAACCATCCACCAGTTAATTTAAACTCTGGTGCTCAAACTCAACCACCTACACCAAATGCTGCGAAAGTTCAACCAGTTCAAAGAGCCAATTCTACAATTGGAGCTCCTAGCCAAGCTGCTCAAAATCCTGCTTTCAATAACATTAATCATCCATTGCCAAATGTTTCAACTGCACAGCAACAAGTCCCTTCTAACAATTCATTTGTTTCAAATATTCAAGGTCAATCATTGAAACAACCACAAACTGAACCATCTACACCACAACTTCAAAAAGCACAACCTATTGCTCATCAAACTGCTCCTCAGAACAGACCAGCTTCTCAACCTAATGTTAATGTGGATCTGGTCAAGAGTACTGGTGGCACACAGGGCTCTATTGCTCAAGCTTTCAATGCTGTCTCTGTTCCTGATAATACAACTGCTGGTCCAAAGCCTCAAGTTCAGACTCAACCTCAACAACTTCAGCCTCAAGCTCAAGCACCACCTCAAGCTCAACAACAAGTTCAGTCACCAGCTCAACCAGCTACAGCACCAGCACCTGTGCCGACTCAACCTCAACCTCAATTTCAACAATCACAGTCTAGTGTTATTAGTCAAGCTTCATCTGGTACACAATCTGCAGCACCGGTTTCTATTCCTGTTAACAATCAACATAATAATGTTCAGGTAAAGATGGAATCCAAGCAAGTAGAAGTTGAGATTCCAAAGGTTAAAAATACTGAACCTACAACCACTGTGAAAGTTGAGCCATTTGTTAATAATGAAAATCAGAATGAAGCCCCAGATTTATCATTTTTGGATAATGATTTGAATGATGAAGAGTTTGATAAAGTTTTAAAATCATTATCAAAAGAAGGCACACCAGCAGTTGAAGGCGATGATAAGGTTATGGATGCTGATGAGTTGAATAGACTTTTATCATCTGATTTCACACAATCTTATGAACCAAATACAGATACCAATGGTCCAAGAAAAAGATCATTTGAAGATGCAGAGCTCTCAATTGATGAATCTCATAATGATAAGATTGCTAGAACAGAACAATAGAATTTTGATATTGACCTTTTTAATTGATTATGTTTAATTTAATGATGTATTATAATAACGATTCCACGTAGCACTACTGTATACGATCTTATCTAATTTACATTAATATATATTTCATTTTGATTCTAACCGACGACATTATTGAAAGAACCTTCTTGTTCTTTAATTTCGTAGAAAGTTGGTCCAACATCATGGTTACCATGGAAAACCCAACCATCTTCAGTGATATGGTATAAGTTAATGGAACCACCAGAGAAAGCATCTCTATGAGCAGCAGCCAAAATTGAACGTTTACCCAAGTATAGAGCTTCCTCCACTGTTAAATCCCATTTCAAATTTGAATCTAAAACACCATAAGCAAAAGTTTGACCAGAACCAACACAGAAAACATCACCTTTCAATCTTGTACCATCACTATCAACATAATATATAGTTGGTCCTTCTTTCTTGGTATAACCACAAACCATGGTACCCATTGATAGACCCATACCTTTATATTGGTATACTAGGTTTGATAAAATTTTTGAAGCTGCTGCAACTGATATTCTTGATTTCTCCCTCAATTCATGTAATCTACATTGTGTACCTAACCAAGTTTCCCAATATTGACAGTCAGCAGCACCACCAGCCATGGTACCTAATAAAAATGGATTAATTTCAATAACTTTTTTAACTGTTTGAGATGCAATCCAATTACCAGCAGTAGCTCTTGAATCAACTGCAACAACAATACCACCTTGAAATCTGAATGCTAAAGTGGTTGTACCATGTGCAATTTTGATTTTACAATCTGGGTTTTGAGAATCATCAGTATGTGCTCTTAAGAAGTCAGTTGGTTGTGAAATTGGTGGCATAGATAGTGAAGGTTGTAAAGGTAAGTTGACATTATTGACAAAATCATGTTTCAACGCATCTTCATCATCATATCCCAATGCGCTCAAAGAGCTTATTTTGTGTGTATATTTTGAGGCAATGGCATCCATTGTATTGTAGATTGACTTGAATTAAAGAGTATCTAGTTCCAATTGATGTCTATCTCTTGATCTTTTGGTAGAGATTCCAAATCGCCACTATGTACCAAGTTAACTTGATTTTGAATCGCGAGCAGCTCTTCAAATTCGCGACTGAACGAGGGTAATCTGCCAAAAATCGTCGGGTGAATATTAAGTATACCATTATCTACACAGTTGAAGCAAATGAAATCGAATATCTCTATTTAGCATGTCTCTTATTACCTCCACCTTGTTTCCATAGCCAGAGGGCCTCTATAGCATAGTTTCTTACACTCAAATTAGGGGTAAACTTCTCATCAGCACTTTCTTCTAATGTGTCAATTACTCTTAATTCATCAATTAAACCCCAAAACATTTGATCAAATTCAGAGGCTGCTGATCTTAAAGCTTCAGCATTGATTGGTACTTCTTCTCCATCTTCATCTGGTTCAAATTCTGGAATGATATTGTATTTTCCCTTACCCAATTTGTGCAGTATTCTCCCCAATGTTCGTATAGCTATACATCTTTGACCTGGAACAGTGGACCTACTCAAATGTGCCAATTCTCTTAAAGTGTATCCTGCAAGTGAAGGGTTTTCTGAATGATGATGAAGACCTTCTGTAGTGCTGATGTTGTTATTACCAGTTGGGACAATCAAATCACCTTTGAAATCAAATCTTAATTCAGCGACATTATCGAATACCAAATCACCTGAGCCAAGTTCAGGCAATGGTTCCATCCATTTGAGTTTGTCTGTATCTTTTGGTAAATCAGGGAAATATTTCTCATGTAATTTATCTTGGAAATCTGGATCATTAATATCCAATTTATAAGTTTCCTCATCATCAATAGCAGGCCTTGGGAAATGAACACTTGCAATAGCTTCTTCAATTGGAACTGAATCAGCTTCCTGATTGATTTGATATGATGGAGGTGCAATTTCATCAAGATCTTCAATATCTTCCCATTCTTCATCTTTTTCCTTCTTATCTTCATACTGAACAGTTGAGACACTATCAAATCTGACTTTCTTAGCACTCCCTGGGCTTTTTGGTACATCTGTTTTCAATGAAGATTTGATTCCTAAAGCTTCATCAACATCTTGTATATCCAGTGTTGGTTCCTTCCAAGCTTCACCGTTCTTATCACCTCCAATCCAATCACCATACCCTTCAAATTCAGCTTCTGATTTTTTTGCCAATTTCTTTTCACTTCTCAATAGTAATGCTTTCAAGATTCTTGGATCCATAGAGTCCAATAATTCTTGCTTTTCAGCCATTCTTTGTTCTTCATTCATATTATTCAAAATTTCAATATTTTCCAAATGAATCTTTTCAGCTTCTGACAAATTATCATAATTCATTTTTTGTTGATCTTTTGGAAGTCTCTTGAGACCAGTAGTGCCATCAAGTTGATACCCATCTTTATGCTTTGGTTCTGAAAGTTCTTGTTCAGCAGCAGCCTTCTTCTTTTCCAATCTTCCTTTCCAAGCACTTTCAGTTTTTCTACCTCTTCTTGGAGCTGGGAACCCGGTAGCTTGTTTCACTGATTCAAAAGTTGGAGGTGTTGGTGCCTCAATATCGTGCTCAACAATGTCCCCTATGAGATCCATCGTGTTTGTCTAAATTTCAGCTGATTATAAATTACTGAATAGTGATGATGCTCATCGTGGTTTTGATATTTTTTTTTTGGCACCAGTTGATTTCGCGAAAACAAGTGAAGCACCAAGACGATTTTACAAAGTTCTCAATTATTAGTTGGGTATATTAATATTTAAATAAAAGTAGTGTTCATTATTGAGACCATCATCTCCACGAGGGCCTAGCATTCTTGTTGTTTATAGTTGATTTGGATCTGGGTATTCTTGAAACAGATTCCTGGAGATTTGTAGATGAAGGTTTTCTGTGTAAAGTTTGTGCTAAATTATGAGTTGTTGAAGATTTTGAAATGCTTGCAGCAGTAGGTTTTGTAAGGTTGTTTAACGTTGACGATCTTGATAAATGTTTTGAAGACGTTGATGATTTGAGAGAAGAGACTGTTGGATTCAAATATGTTTTCACAGATGCGGTTGTTGATGACCTTGGTAAAGGTTTAGATAAATTTGATATTGAAGGTGATGTCTTCAAAGGTTTTCGGTCTAGAGGTTTCAATACTGGTCTTGTTTGTTTGGTTTCTCTTGGTGGTTGGGGAGCAGAGTTAAGGATTTTCGACAAATTTGTCTGACCTTTTGATGGTGATAATGTTTGTTTGAATGGTGAATGAATTTCTTTAGCACCAACCTCTGTTTTTCTTCTCTTTGTAGCACTAGCCATTTCTGAAACCCCTGTACGCTTTGAATGAGGAGCATATGATGGTATGTTTTCTTTATCAACCTCAATCTCTTGTCTATCCAACCCACTTGATGCTAATTTAGCTTTATTTCTTCTTGCAGCAGCATAGTGTGATGAAATTGATTCCATTTTTTGAAATCTTGATCTATGTGTTGGATTGTATCAAGTACTTCTTGGACTTAGCAAATTATTCCCCGTATTTGATGTTGGTGCTTTCGACGCAGCTCTTTCGTTTAATTCAGATAACACTTTAGTACTCAATGTATTACTATACCCCAAATCTTGAAATTCTTTTTCCAGCTCATTACCTTGGCCTTGTTGAAGATGTGAGATATTTGGATATAAAGGTTTTTTGACTCCAGACATGCTTGATATAGGTGTGAACTTGAAATCAGCAGCTGTTGGAGTTTTTTGATCAAAAGCCCTAGCATTTGATCTTGGAGTTGAAGGAAACGCTCCTGGCATTTGATGTGACATGATCAATTGTAGCGTTTTTTGCACTTTAAAAATTTCCCTGTCTCACTGATGGAATGGACTCAAACTTGACCTGGAATATAAATTGATGAATTTTTTTTGCAGCTCTCTATGGTTACAAAAAAAAACTTTGGAATGTTGTGAACCTTGGGAATGTTTAGACAATCAGCTTAATAACCACACTTTGAATTTTCCGATTGGCTGGTAATACAAGCAACTGCTAAGGTAATAAACACTTCTGAACCACTCGTGCTCTATCTTTTTAATAGTTTTTTTGTATAAATCTTAAGATTTTTTGAGATGGTTTCTCAAATTTCCGATTCAAGAAAATGTAAACAATGAAAATCAGAATCGTTAAGGGACACACCATAATAACCAGAGCTACAATTTTTTTTTTGATTTAATGATATAAAATTGTTATATACTAGCATCATGAGGAAATATATATATAGTACAGGAAGCTTGAAATCAGAAGCAGCATAATACACCTGACAAAACCTAGAAAAAACAAAACCAAGATGTTGTATGATAGAGTCCGTTGAAAGCATCAAAGAAACATCAAGAAAGAAGTGGGAAAGTAGCAAAGGCTTATATATAGGAGTAGAAATAAAAAGAAACACACAGAATGGTGAGCCATGAAAAAACTAATTGAAATTCACATTCTGTACAAATGTCCATTGAGGAAGTCACCATCTCACTTCGAAAAAAATATAATAGAAAAAAAACACAACAGAGCACTTTCAAACCAAAATAAAACACAACGGCATGACAAAAGAAGAGGAGACAAACATAAATTATCAGGACGTAACACTAGTAGTCATTGTCATCAAGGATAGAGCAAGCATGAATTACTCATCACCAGCAGCAATTCTTTCACGACGTTGTTTTTCTCTTTCCAAATTTTGTTGTAAAAAGGACAAAGCCTTACCGACAGATCTATTAGAACCTGATAAAGTGAAAGTACGTTCACCACTTTCATCATCTTCACTGGCAATTGTAATTTGGGCACCTGAGACTTTTCTAATTTCTTGAATTCTTGAACCGGCTTTACCAATTAAACAACCAACATATTCACTTGGGAAATTAACAGTTCTACTAACATCACCTGGTGTTGAGTTTGATTGATTAGATGTTGATGTATTTGAAGAAGAGCTGCTATAATTTGAACGTCTTGGGGTTCTTGGAGTTGGTGTGTAAAAAGTAGTACCAGCAGCACTGTGCCAGTCTTCAATCAAACAACGTGCAATTATTTTAGTAGATGATTCAATTTCTTCAGGTAAACCTTGTAATTCAACTAATCTTTCAGTAGAATTGTGTAAGAAATCTTTTGAAGCAACTAATCTCACGTTGAAATTTTCTTGTAATGCTTTAATTCTAGCACCTTGACGACCGATAATAGTCCCCATTTGAGCATTTGGGATCAATAATCTTAGACTTGTTGAACCTTCAATACCTGGTGGTAATAAACGTTTTAATGGGAAATATTGGAATAAAGAATCATCTAATGGAGAAGATACTAAAGCTTTAGCAATTAAACCTAAAGCTTGACAAGTTGAATCTAAAGGACCAGTGACAGTTAAAATTCTATCTGGACAACCTTGAATAACTGGGGAGACACCAGCTTTAACACCAGTTTGATCTCTTATATCTGCAATGACGGATCCATTCTTACCGATCACAATACCAGCTTCTTTAACAGATACCAAGACACGGAAACCTATTATGGCAGTGGTGTTTTCTTCTGTTGAAGGCAAGATTGAAGTATCAATTGATGCGTCTGAGGTGAATTTAGTATCGAATAAAGATTCTGAAGCTTCTTGTTCAGTCATTATGTTGTATGATTATATATATATGTTGTGAATAATGTGGATTGGAATTGATTTAATGTTGTAAATGTATGTGTATGTGGTTTTCTCAACGGGGGTAAATTTTTATTTTTATTAGATTGAGAGGTTGGGTGGATGTGATGGGGAATCTGGGTAGTGTTTGTTGTTGTAGAGAGCTTTTGTTGGCAAATGGATCTGAACTTAATTGAGTTAACTTCACTTTACCGAATATTTGTTCAACTGTTGCCTGTGTTTTTAGTTTGAAAATTTTGTATAAAGTAGCGATTGATTGAATAATGTTATTTTTTTTTGGGCAAAATTTTCACATTCAAAGAAAAAAAAAACGAGTGGCTGTATCAAAATTACATAATTTATTACAAATCAGCATAGTTAAAACGTATAAATTCATCAATTTCTATTTGCATCATAAACTCATTAGTAAAAGGCATCAAACTCATAATCATCTCAAAAGTGGTACTCTCCAGTCCAAAAGTTTCCCGGTTTTTTTCTCTCTAAAATGACGTTGATCGCTTGGATAATACATCTTGACAGATCTTGAACATTTTGTGTAAAACTCTTTGGAGTACTTTTTCAAAGAGTGTAATTCATCATCATCCTGGTCCACTATTTCATTGAAAGACTCTAAAGAGTCTACTGGTGAAACATCTGGGGATTCTGGATGATTCCAAATCTCATCAATAGCAAGATGACAAGCTTTTTCAACCTTGTTCACAAATTTGTTATACTCTTTGAATGGGTCACCAGGAATTGTATAGTATAGATAGTCACAGTTAATTGGTTTGAAATCAAGGTAATCAAAAATCAAGTCACATTTCGGGTACATTCCAATTTCTTCAATTATGATTTCAACTTCTGTCAGGGCATCTTCAGGATTGTTTATGGTAAATTCGCCCAAGTTCATCACACTTAATTGGGATTTTGGTAATATTTCATTGATCACACTTGGTGGATATGCTGTAAATGATTCATCCAAATAATTTAATTGGAACCTTGTAGTTCCTAACCCTCTTGAAGAATGTAGATTTCTTAAAGCAACTTGGAAATTATAGTTCCCATTGGGTAGTAAAACAATTTTATGATAATGGAATGCGTGAACATCTTGTAAATGAACATATTCAGTATCAAGCTCTTGCTCAATGTTATTTTGATCCGCTTGGATAACAAAATCTTCTTTTTGGAAGAAAATCTTTCGATTCTTCAATAATGAGTAAATTAGTACCCAATTCAAATCAGGTCTGTAAAGTTTAGTTAAAGCACCATTCCAAAACTCAAAAGTTGAAGAGAAGAATTGTAATAGTTTGGAAATCTTGATTAAAGGTTCATCACCAACCAAATGGAGTGTCTTCATCTTGAATAATTCATTATAAAGGATGTAAAACTCAGTATTTGCATATCTAAGGTTGGGACTTAGCTCCAATACCGCCAACTTTAGTTCGACTGGTAACTTAGAGATCATGATTGTTTATAGTTGTTTTGGAATATATGTAGTTGAATAAACTGGTCTAAACGGAAAAACTTTTGGCCAGGAAAATTTTCTCAGACTTTATATACCCGTTATCAAAATATTGTTTATGGGTCTGGTGACACAGTTGACACAGGAGACGGAGGTGAAGAGTTTCAGCAACAACACAAAGAAGGGACCTGAATCACTTTGAACTTTGAACTATCTTAGAAACTATTCAGTGATAAAATGAACTTTTTATATTCCCACCTCTTTATTGCTCTAATCAGAGTTCATAAATTAGCTTTTGGCTGGTAAAATATGTCACATCCAAACAAAAATTTCTGTTGATTATGTCATATATTAGATAATACATATGGATTATCTAATCTCTGAGTCATCATCCTCACATGGGAGAAGTTCGAAGAAGTGAAGCGAAGAAATTAATAGGAAGGCAACAAGTGTCTGCTGTTCACAACTTGTATAAAAAGTCATCCAATTCTTACAATAGTTGTTCTTTTTCACAATTGTATTGAATATTCAACGTAATTAAAAGCATACAAGATGGCAATTCCTCCAGAAGGTGAGTATATACACGGTTGTTGATTGCTAGCCTGGGGTAAATTAAACTAACTTTCATCAAAGTTTTATGGGCTCAAAGATCCAATAAAGATGATGAAACTAAAAATGTTTTATTCGTCACTGTAAAGATAAGTGATTCTAAAAACACCAAGGTTGATTTAACTTCAACTCATTTGAATATTGAAAGTGATAGTGATGAAACAAAAGATCATTATAAGCTAAATCTAGAGTTTTATAAAGAAGTTGATCCAGAACAATCACATCATCATACAAGTGGTAATTCAATCTATTTTGTCATTCGTAAGAAGGAAAAACAAGAAGAATTCTGGCCAAGAATCACAAAGGAAAAATTAAAATATCATTATATCAAGACAGATTTTGACAAGTGGGTGGATGAAGATGAACAAGATGAAAAGGCAACAGAAGATGAATTAGCAGGTATGGGCGGACCACCAGGTTTTGGCGGTGGTGCCAATGAAAGTTTCAATATGAACGATTTAGCTGCTTTACAAGGCTTAGCTGGTGGCCAAGGAGGTGCTGGAGGTGCTCCAGATTTTAGTCAATTGGCTAACTTAGCTGGTGGTGCTGGTGGTGATTTTGATTTCAGTAAATTAGCTGCAGGTGCTGGTCCAGTTGATCCTCAAACTACTGAAGCCGATTTCAGTTCATCTGATGAAGAAGATCAAACTGAAGAAGTTACTGAGAAAAAAGACTAGTTGGTAGATGTAAATGAGAGTACAATCATATATATTATTTTGCAATCAAACGCACATAATTGTAGTTGCATATCTAAACAGATTGATATTTCAATTGATCTTTATATAGTAATTGAGATCCAGTCCATTTCTCACCTGGTTGTAAAGTTTTGAATTCATGAACATAACCAGGTTCAATACAAACCATGTTATGATAACCATCTTTTGGTAAGAAATCAGCCATACCTTCAGATTTCTTGATCCATGGATTCCAAACGACAATATCAGGTAGTCCTTCTCTTTTCAATGTATGAACAGGATGTCCCAAGGCAACAACTTGTGTGATTTTTTCATCATCAATTTTTTGGTAAATTCTATCAACTTCCTCCATAAAATGAACAACTGGCAACTTTTCTTCATATGTTTGTTTTAACAATTGATCATAACAAATCTCACCAGGGAAATTTGAAACCAAAACATCTGTAACATCTTTAACTCTCAAATATGTATGGAACAACCAGTTAAATTCCCATGGATGATTATCAGCATTTTCAACATCAATTGTAGTCTTCAATGATTCTTCAGTTAATTCAATTGTATAGATCAAGGTAAAGTTATTATTTGGCCATTTAGCAATCAATTCTTCATCAACATTTTCAGGACCTAAACCAAATTGAATAGTTGGTGGATTCTCTTTAACTTGACCCAAAAATTCCCAAGTAGAATTACGTGCAAATCCATGTTGTGGTAAATTAGAAGTTGGACCTTCATCCTTTTTACCAAAAACTGGGAAAACTAATGGGATACCACCACGAACAGCTTTGGAACCATCTAATTTTGCACCTTCCGATAACCATAATTGTTCTTCACCTTTAATGGTCCATGATAGCACTGTAGCACCAAAATTTAGGATTTTAACTTGGGTTGATGGGTCTGATGGATGGGTTAAAACGACTTGGGATCCTTGATCTTCGACTGGCATTGTTAATTACTTCGATGTTAAGTCAATTGGTATGTTTGTTGTAGCTGATTCTTGCTTAAAACGCAACATGATGGTCAATTTCCTCAAAAACATGGATTGTTCCCAAAACGGAGGATTCCCTAATCAGGAATATTTCAGCTTGGTGTCGGGATGTTGTATTCCCAGTTTTTTTGGTGAAGTTGACTTTTTAAGGGACAATTCAATAACATTAAACCAAGTTTGAAAAGGTTTAATTCACGAAAACAAATGTCACAAGTTACACCTTTCTCACCAGCCAATAGAAAAGTGGTGCAATCACTATACCATCGCTCCTTAAAATTGGCATTTAATTGGATCAATAGAAGAGATCTATATAGACAAAAAGCTGTTGAAATTAGAGCTCAATTCGATTTACATAAAGATGTTTCTGATCCAAAAGAATTGAGAGTGAGTGACAAATGAATCAAGCATCGAGGATGGCTTACTGACTTTTAATTTTAGCGTCTAATTGACAAGACTGAATCATTGCTTGAAAAATATAAACATCCAGATCCTTTTATTCCTCCACAAAGAGCTGGTGGTACCAAATTTGAAAGAAATACACCTCCATGTCTTGATGAACCATATCCTGCTCGTTATTAGGATCTTATTTATTTATTACACTATTTATTTATAACCTTATTTATTCATCTATTTATTTATTTATGAAAGAAAATATCATGAGAAATATCATACTACAGAAGATGCGTAGATAAAACTCAAAAACTTTTATTATACTTTGAATGAAAGTATATCCTTCCCTAATTCACCAACTTTGTCATAATTTTATCATGGAAATATCCTAAAACTTGATCAATACCAGATTCATCGCACATGATACCATTACGCAGTGGGACCAGCTTAAATTTATGCTTCATGCTATTGTATAATTCACCCTTCATTGTGAATTCACTCTTGAACTCAGAATCTCTGTCAAATGTGATCAGATAACAATATTTCCCATTCTTGATCTTCATCTCGATATTCAGATCCAGACATTGACGTTCCGGTTTGTAATTGTTATAATACATAACAGTGAAAAGATTCAAATTTTTTGGAATGACTTCATATCTTAATTTTGATGGATCATAATCATTCTTATCTGTACTTTCTTGAGTTGCCAATTCATTCAATTTCTCCACTAAAACATTTGATTCCTGTAAATATTTGAATAATTTACCAATACCTCTTTTATGCAAATATCTTTTAATAGAAACCAAACAAATGTTGTGTGGATTTGTTGTTGGTAACTCAATATCAAATCCATCTCTAAGGGTACAAATTTGCGAACCATATTTGAAAACAATCTCATCTAGTTTAACATTCAGCAGGTTCAAGCTTTCCAATTTCAAGAAATTAATCAATCCGATAACTTTTGATAATTTCTGTAATTTAGCGATAATGTTTGCCAAAATCGAAAATCTTTTAAATTCAACAGTTTCAAAAACTTCAAAAACACCATTTTTATCAATAACGAAATCTTCTAATGATAAACTATTGTTTAGTTTCCCCTTCAATTTCAACATCATGTTTTTCTTATTTGGTTCTAGTTTAAAATTCAAGTATAAAGTGTTTGATGTATCTGGTATTGAAATAAATGAATCAGTTTGAATCAAAATGGTGTCATCTTTAATGATTTTATAAACAGCCGAGCCGAGTTCATTGGTTATCAAGTGTAATATGATCTTCTTTGACACATAGTCAATCAATCCCTTGGAAGTTCTATAGTCAAATGTTTCAATGTTTAATTCATTCAAAGAGGAAATTGTCCATTGACCAGCTATGGATCTAACATTTCCAATAAATGACTTGATTTTAGTGTCTATCAATAATACAAGAAACCAATTTGATGGCCATTCTTTTCTTGTATAAAATTTCAAATTTCTCGATAAAAAAACCGTGTTTTCCTTTTGTTGATAGTTGAGCAATTTCTCTTGACCCAATTTATTAACTTCATGTGGAGCTAATTTGATGATATCATTTTGTATCCATCCAGTAACTGACAGAATTGTAGAAATTTCCATATATTTATGATCCATCCTTAATAGTTTGAGATTCATATTGATGTTTTTAAAATCATCTGTATTTAGTTTTTTCAAAAAGCTATTCATTAGTGGAGTTGAATTTTTGAAATAAAACAATCCTGTTTTTTCATTGATTTGTAATACTGATTTATTAACTGTTATATCATCAATTTGATCCAGTATGGAAACTGCATGTTTATAATAGATGACATTCAAAAAATCATCGATGAATCCAATGTCTTGAAAAGTTTCCACAAACTGAGCTTGTTTGAACCATCTATAAATTATGTTATTGTCCTTGTTCAACCCAATTTCGATATAAGAGTTTTTGAAAACATAACTATTGATCCAATAGTGTATCACAATTTGAAACTTATCAGCATGATAAATATGTTTGATATTTTTCAATCCATTCAATTTCAAATGAATCATGTACAACTTCATAGTATTTGTATAATTGGTCAAGATCTTGTTTAGCTCATTAAACCCGCCTATCCTTAAAGCATCATTGGATATTCTCAATAATTTCCGACTTGGTTCAAAATCACCAAAGTTGAACTTGAAATCAATCATAAAGAATGGGGAATTGTCATCAATGACAGAAACTTGAAATTCATAATCATCAGTATAAATGAATATTCTACCATCTTTTATTTCGTAATTCAAAAACTTATCAGGTATGTTTTCCACAAGAGCAAATTTCATTGATAAAATCACATTCAAATCTTTTAAAGTTTGTAAAATCTTTTGTGGTGTAATTTTGGATTCAATTAAATTATGAGATGGTAAAGTTGGTCTACCTTCAGTAAACACTTCCAATGCAGTGATGATATCAGGGTTTGGTAATTTGGCACTAAGTAAACTTTGATTAATTGATTTGGTGGCCCATATTAAATTTGTGAAGTAATTAGTTTGTTCTCTTAACCATGCTAATAAATCAATCAATTTACTAAAATCTTGAGCTGAAATCTTGGACCATTTTGTCAAAACGTACAATCTAACGTATTCTTGTCGTAGATAGACAATGAGCTCTAGTAGTTTTTTCTTTTTGGCTTCATTTGTTGGTTGTATTTGAATAATGTGTGATAATTCTGCATATGAAAATTCAGAAAACTTTCTCAAGATATCAGAAAGAGGTATTATATTAGTTGTGATATGAGGTATCTCTGGGGGCTGTTGACTTCGAATCTCTGATTCCATTGAGTCTGTGATATATTATTAATATGCTGGTTGTTGTTCTTGATAAAGTGTGTATGATAATGCAGGATAAACTGTTTCCAGCCCTATTTGATGAATAATTCTAGTTGGATAGTACCTATTATAAAGATGAAAATGAATTTTGATTGTTTTTCTAGTTAATTAATGGAATAATGGTTTCTTTCTGTTTCAATGAAAGGCAATCCAATTCTGTGCAATTTGGCGTTTCAAACAATCAAATGAAAAACACCCACAGCAGCGCTCTCTATTATTACGCTATCCTCTGCTAGTACGACTGTTCCAAAGCAGCAAGTACCGAACCGTTGATGACTGGATTGATGCTTGTTTTGGTAATTTGATCAATTGATACCTTTCCACTTTTCGTTCGAGAGACCATTAAAACAAATTTCCAGGAAAAAAAGACTCGAAATGTCCCAAAACAGAAAGAGTCCGAATACGGAAAATGCATAACAAATGTTTTGATTCCTCAAATAAAAGACGGCCAACTTCCACAGATAAAGACTTCGGTTCACCAATTCAAAAGGCAACTTGAGGCAAAGGTTAGAGCTTGAGGAAGAGCTGCTAAAGGACAAAGCTAGAACAAAAACATTCATTTGGGAAAAGATTTTACACCTGTCTTTTAGCAGACGAAAATAAGGACTTTTTTTGGCCGGTATATGTGTTGATTGTGATTGACTGAGAATATTAATCACCATCGGATCAGCTTCAAGATCGAAATCATTACAAGAAGAGATTTTCAACACAATTTCAGGAAGCTGTTGTGTGCGGAGAAATTAATAGGAACTAGCTGATATATATTAAAACACAGGGCTCATTTGATTACTTTGGCACACAAATTCAAAAAAATCCATAGCTCATATTTATCAATTGAAAAAAGTATTGTCTCTTGAATCCCCTTGCATATCACATCTGGAATCTAGAACTAGTTATAATTATTCAACAGGGCTCAATATTACCTAGACTATGTCAACAGAAAGGAAAGTAAATGATGAATCCCCTTCCAAAAGGTCAAACCCCAAGGCTTTCTTCAAAAGAGCTTTTGGAAATGATGGTTCAAAGAAACAGCCATTCTCTTCTGGTTCAATCTCCACCAATTTCACTCAAAATATGAATGATTCAACTGCAAAATCTACAGGGTCTCCTGTTTCACCAGAATTCGATTCAATCACAGAACTACCGTCCCCAGTTGTTAGTGAATATTCACAACATTCAGGAAAGAAATCATATGGTTCATTATCTATACGACCAACTGCAAACCACATTAGCACAATCAATAACAATAGAATCACATCAGAATATGGCTCAAGCTCCATGAACAAATTATCAAATATCCCATCAAACATTGATGCAAGACTGGCATCGTTGAAACCACCAAAAACAAGAACAGTGTCTACTCCGATAGAAGAACAATCTGCTATACTGGAAAGAGAAGAAACCTTGGACCCTTTAGTGGCTAGAACAACTGAAGAAGTGATTTATGCTGGTTATGATAATGACAATACTTTGCACAGATGGAAACATGTACGAGCTTTGGGGAAGGGAACCTTCAGTAATGTCGTATTGGGTGAAGCAGTTGATCAGTCAAACCCTTATCCATTCATTGCTGTGAAAATTGTTGAATTACCAATGACAAAAGATACAAGATCAAGAGTTGAAAGCTCTTTGAAAAGAGAATTGGAAATACTCAAGTTTTTGAAACATCCTTCAATCATTAGCCTATTGGCACTGCTTATTACAGAAAAGAGATATTTCATGTTTACTCCATTCTGTGAAGGTGGTGATTTATTCGAATTGGCATCAAAGCATAGAGCAAAATTAACTCCACGCATTATTAGAAAGATGTTTGCAGAGGTTGCAATCGCAATCTCTTATTTACATGCAAATAATATTGTTCATAGAGATATAAAACTGGAAAACATATTGGTGAACCATAAGTTAGAGGATCTCTTAATATTGGACACCTCAACTGAAAATTTGATCACAGTCACTGATTTTGGTCTTTCAAGAAAGATTGATCCATCTGATCCACTATTAACAACACGTTGTGGCTCTGAAGATTATGTTCCTCCAGAGTTGTTGATTGGTATGCCTTATGATGGGAGACAAACTGATAGTTGGGCAATGGGTGTTTTGTTATATGCAATAATGGAAGGAAGACTACCGTTTGATCCACCGCCAAACAAGTCAATCAGAGGAAGATCTAGAGTTGCCCATAGAATCGCAAGAATCGAATGGTCATGGAATGAATTTTCTGATGAAAATAAAGGAATAACTTGGAAAGAAGAGGATTGGAACGGTGCAAAGTTTATTGTGGAGAACTTGTTAATAAGAAGAGAAAAGAGAATGACAGCTGCTGAGGTCTGTGCGCACCCATGGGTGGCAGGCTGTCTTTAATTGATCATAATGACCCAATACATACAATTTAATATCTAATAGAGAAACTCTCATAAAATACATAGACCTCTTGTATGTAGTTTCGCGTGTCGCGACAATACACCGAAGAAAAAAAACTAGCACATCTGCTAGGTATAAAGTTGAATAGTGATTTATGATGGTTTGATCAAATGTGTTGTACATGTCCCACCAAAGTTTCAAAACCATTCAACGACAAGTCAATGGTCTGCTTAACCAAAGTAGGTCTGAAACCAATTGCTTGAAAGCCATCAAGTTGTGCAGAGGTTTCTTGAAGGATAATCCAACAACATCGTCAACGTTCAATGAAAATTCCATCAACGAAATCATCAAATATAAGAAACCAGATCTTGAACAGTTCCTATTCGATAAACTTCGACTTCAATCACAACCGTCGAATGTATTGAGATCTTATTTGGTTGAGAATCCAGTGCCGCAGTCAAGATTTATTTTTGATGCTGTGAAAGGAAACACGGATATTGAATTGAATAAAACTGCATTAAGACAATTATTATACAAGAATAAAGATGTTGAAACTTCATTGAGTTTAATCAAAATGAATAGAAATCATTTTGAAGTTAAAGAAGTCAAAAATTTACAAAAATTGGGATTGATGTATGTTGGAGGTGTTTTATCATTCAATGGGCTGCTAGAATTTGCAATTGCTGGTCATGAAGCTATCCATTTGTTATTTGATATTTATCTTTTCAATATGTTCTTCCTTACATTCTTTTTGAAAAAGGGATATAGTGACTTGGTCACTTGGAGACCTGGAATTTCAATGTTTCAAAAGTATTTTCATCATTACGATTATAAGATGTGTCACAAGTTGGTTTCAATATTCGATGAACTTTATACAACTAATGTCTCCAACTATCATTTGACAAATTCAATCCTTATTGAACAGTTTCAAAAAGATATGGTACTTGACAGGGAACAAATCGAGAAGCTGATTAGAGATGAGTTTAGAGAAATGGGACTTATGATCACAGAAGGTTCAGACGAAGCCATGTTTAAAGAGTATTGGTCTACAGGTGGAGATGGGTTTGAATGGGTAGAGCCTGATAGAGATCCTGTGGAATTCCTTGAAATAGCGGCAAAAAAACTCGAGACTGAAGTTTGAAATTATGACTGGTCAGATTTTGTTTTGTGTCAAGTTTCTTGATTGTTTTGAATTTTTTTCACCGATGAACCACAAACACAAAAAAATCAAAACATCAACAAGTTTCGAAAGTTGAGCAAAACTTTTCAAAAGGAAACTGGGGAGATCAAGAAAAAAATACTAAAATTTGAGGTCTTTGGTGGTGGTCAGGATGGTTTTTGGATTCATCTATTCTTTAATTACCGCCCAGTTGTGGCATGTTCAACAGCTTTGGTCAGCACTTTTTGTTCAGCGCTTAAGAATTAAACACTCGAATGGTGAGTATCATTTTGTGGATAATGCTATAATGGAACTAACTAAAACTTTTCAAAAGGTCCTCCTTTGATTGAATCCTCAAAAGAACCAGAAGATGAAATTTCAGAAGTTCAAACACAAACCCAATTCCCAGATTTAGACCTGTTCTTTGAAGATTACCAAGGTTTTGATATAGATAATGATTCATACGGTGGTTTTGACATTTTAGACTATGTTGAGAATGGCTATTTTGAGCCTCTTGATGACTTTGGATTGGGTTGGTCTGATTCATTTATACCCACAGGGTATAGTCTTTTGAAACACACACATCTCTCAAGTTTTGATCAAGTGTTTTACAATCCACAGTTGGTTATTTTACTACTCACTATTCTATTGTTTTCAGCAGTTTTGATAAAAGTTCTCAAGTTCATCAAGAAGAGAAAGATTACCAGTCAGTTTCAAACAGTACCAACTCCTGAATTGAAAAATCCCAATGATCTTGAACGATACATTGAATCCATCCACAGCTTGGACTATGATCACTCCTATGCTTTTGAAACTGCGTTTGAGTCATTCGGGCCAACAATTAGTGACGTTGAGTATGATAAACCATCGTTATCTGAGTTGTTTAATATTAGTGGTGGTCCAAGTCTCAATAATGATAGCTCACACGAAGAACAAGTTTCAAAGAAAGAAACCACTGATGTTATCCAATTCACCAATGATTATCCAGATGCCTTGATTTCACCCACCATTGTCATGGGTGATGATAGCTTTGAAAAATTTATGACCCGCTTTGAAACTGAAGACTATCAAGTCATTCCGCTTACCATTGATAAATATTCTGATTCAAATCCTTCCTATTCAATACCTGTCAACAGAGCTGCTTCGCGAGAGTTTAATCAAACCATTGATGAATTGGTAAATAGAAGAAAGCTAATTGACCTTTTGCCTTCTTCACAGGGATCATCACTAGAGATCAACCATGAGCCTCACTCGTTATCTTCCAGGAACTCTCCGGTAAACATGACACTTCTTTCAGATGAGATCACAGCTGTTTGGGGAGATGGTGATGAGCTTGAAAATGAGAAGGGTCATGATGAATATCAATTAACTGATGACATCGAACGTATAAATCAAGCTGAACCTTCTGATAATTTTGCAGAAACTGTTTTTCAAATGGACCTTGGATCCTCTGAATTAGAATACAAAACTCAGCAATCAGAGGCATTTAGTAACATAGTCGAAAGTTATGTTAGGTCAATCAAGCATATCAAGGAATTGAATGAGTATCTAGAAGGCTTTACTCCTGATAATAGCAGTGTTGATGAGAAAATTGATTTCTTTGAAATCCTGTCCGGAAAAGAGCAGACGTCTACAATTGCAACATCACTGACTGAAGAAGATAGTATGGGTCCAGAACTGGGATCTAGCTATGAGAAATCAACAGATGCTTTAAAGAAGGACAGTTCTAAAGCTAACGATCTCGTGAATATTGAAAATGAAGTTTTGAAGGAGATAATACTGCCTAATGAGCAATCGCTACCCAGAAAACAATCAATTTTGAAAGCCGTTTTTGAAAGTTCACCTGCAAGCAAAAATGAGTTGTTCTCGTCACCAAGCTCAAAAATTCCTATATTGAATAATGACAGGGTAGAAAGGATCATTCGTTCACCACGGCCAAAGTTTCATTCACAACAAAAATCAAAAATTACAGACGAGGTCTTGAAGCATTTTTTTAGCACAGAGGAACCTGATATCGAAGGGTATTTGCTGGAGCTATTCGGAGACGATCCCAAGGTTTCAATAAATACAGATCTTTTAGAGACACTTTCAAAAGAGAATATAGATACACTCATGGATGTTTATGTGGGTAAAGAATCTTCAGAGAATTGGAAAGAAAGATATGAGAATTTTGATCTATTGATTGGACACTTACGTCTTCATGAACCAAAACAGTTGTATTCATATTTTGAAGAGAAAATATTTGATGTTATTGAAGATATTTTGGAAATGGTTGGCACCTCAAGATCCAAACTATTAGAAAAAGTTATTTTGTTTTCCAGAGAGATTGTTTATTATGGTGACAGCTTTACTTTGAATGATGAATCATTTGTCTCATTGATTCATTTATTGATCCCGTTGACAAAATCCACATCTAAATTCATCTACAAGTTGGCTTTAAAATCTTTATGTTTGATGATACAGGCTGTGGGAATTCAGGATTTTAAGAGAATCTTCAACCTTATGAGCAGTGATATATTGGGTAATAGGAAACTTAAAGGGGAGAAATATGCATGCTTGTTCATGATTAAGTTTTATCTTGCTGCCAACTACAAGGACATGACAGGAGACGATACAGAAGAGATCGTCAAAAAGCTTCTCCCGTTTACTTCAAATTTGGCCATTGATAGCTTCCAGAAGACGAGAGCTGAAATAGTTGAAATTTACTTGATTTTGGAAAGAAAGATACCTCAATCTCAAAATCTTGTTCTATTTTATGATAGCTTCTCTACATTCCTAAAGAGTAAGCTTGAGAAACCTCAAATTCCCAAAAATGAGGTAAATATCTGAGATAATTAGTTATGTATTGTTGTTTTTCTTTAATCTGATTTTGTTATACTGTTTTAGCCTTTCTGTAGAAGCATTTTTTGGCTTGTGGGTTGATAGTAGGCTATTTGAGCTCTGTCGCTTCCTTCTGGCTGGTGTCTTTTTTTGGAAACAGCGCCGCGTAGCCTATTGTCAATTTTTGTACTGTAAAATCCGAAGAAGTATGGGGTAGTGCCATCCATTTATAATAAAACTTCGAGAACGACAAAAAAACTCTTTTTCTAGTCACCTTAATTAAAGAATCAACATCCAACATTTAGATATTCAACCCAGAAAACAATCATGTCTAACCCATCAATTGTACTGAAAGACAAGGGCCAAATTGTCCTAGAGAATAGACCAGTTCCTGAAATTCGGGATGACCACTATGTGAAAATTGCCATCAAGAAGACAGGTATTTGTGGATCCGATGTCCATTACTATCTTCATGGACGTTGTGGTACATTTGTGGTGAACGCACCAATGGTGCTAGGTCATGAATCTTCAGGTGTCATTGTTGAAGTTGGGAAAGCAGTTACAAGAGTTAAAGTTGGTGATAATGTTGCTATTGAGCCAGGTATCCCTGATCGTTTTGGAGATGAGTTCAAGACAGGTCATTATAACTTGTGCCCTCATATGGCTTTTGCTGCTACTCCTCCTTATGATGGTACTTTGGCAAGATACTACTTGATGCCTGAAGATTTCGTTGTTAAATTACCAGATCATGTTTCATTAGATGAAGGTGCATTAGTTGAGCCATTAAGTGTAGCTGTCCATGCAGCCAAACTTGGAGGAATCAAGTTCAATTCAAAAGTTGCAGTCTTTGGGGCTGGTCCTGTTGGTTTATTAGCTGCTGGTGCAGCCAGAGCTTTAGGAGCTTCAGAAGTATTGGTTGTCGATATCTTTGATACTAAATTAGAACTAGCTAAAAAAATCGGAGCAACACATGTTTATAACTCATTGAAAAAAGGTGATTTTGTTACTGAGGTATTGAAACAACTTGGGGGTAGACCTGACGTTATATTGGAGGCATCTGGTGCTGAAATAGCAATTCAAAATGGTCTTGCCCTTGTTAAAACTGGTGGTTCTTTTGTTCAAGTTGGTATGGGTAAAGATTTTGTTAGTTTCCCAATAGCACAAATGACTGAAAGAGAATTGACAGTTAAAGGTAACTTTAGATATTGTCACGGTGACTACCAAGATGCAGTTGATATGATTTCTTCTGGTAAGATCAATGTCAAGCAGATCATTACGCATAGGTTCAAATTCAAAGATGCCAAAGCTGCGTATGACAATATTGTTAAAAATGGTAAAGATGTCATTAAGACTATCATTGATGGTCCTGAAGATACTTCTAAACTTTGATTCTGGTCAACATATTCTGATATTTAGCTTTAGTATAACATAGTACTATAAATAAAGAAAGCTGACTTTGCCTTTGCGATACTAATGCTGTTTTTGTTGTTGTAAGCTGCTTGTATAAAAAACGACATTAATATAGTAAGTAACTAGTCACAAGTCATTTGATTTGAAACTGAAAATAGGACTGAAGAGCGAATTATGAATAACACGCAGATTATCAGAAGCATATTGACCTGTTGACCACAATTTCCTCGTTTAACCAATGTATGCTTCCATGACCAGTGCCTCTAACTTCTCGGCATATCTAAAAGATCAGGAAAAAAAAAGAGATCAAAGAAAAAGCAGCTAATGAAAAACACCCATTATAGTGAACTAGGGCATAAAGTGAACCAACACCAAGTTCGAAGAGCTTTTTCAATATAAAATGTTGTTGATACAGGTCTTAGGATTCCTGGGCTACCTTTCGTTAGCTTTGGCAAAGACCCATACCTTCAACTTCACAGCATCGTATATAAGCGCCAGTCCAGATGGTGTGAAAGAAAAGAAAGTGATTGCCTTCAACAAGCAGTGGCCACTTCCAGAGATCCATGTCGATAAGGGTGATAGAGTCGAGTTATATTTAACAAATGGTCTTGAAAATAAGAACACATCCTTGCATTTCCACGGTTTATTCCAACGTGATACCAACTATATGGATGGTCCTGAGTATGTCACACAATGTCCAATCTTACCAGGCGAGACTTATCTTTACAACTTTACTGTCCCAGATCAAGCTGGTTCATATTGGTACCATTCCCATACAGGTGCTCAGTATGGTGATGGTATGAGAGGCGCTTTCATTATTCATGACAAAGATGAGCCTTACAAGTATGAGGAAGAAAGAGTTTTAACCATATCTGAATGGTATCATGATCAATACGATAATATCTTTGGAGAATTCTTGAACAGATATAATCCAACTGGTGCAGAACCAATCCCTCAAAACCTTTTATTCAATGATACTGCAAATGCAACTGTCAACGTGGAGCCAGGTAAAACATACTTATTCAGATTCATCAATATGGGGTTATTTGTTTCTCAATATCTGTATATTGAAGACCATAAACTTACGGTTGTTGAAGTTGATGGTGTGAATGTTGAACCATATGAAACTGACTACATTTATTTGACTGTTGGTCAAAGATATGGTGTTTTGATTACTGCAAAATCAAATAAAGACAAGAACTATGCTATTGTCCAAGGATTTGATGATACAATGCTGGATGCTATTCCGGCTGATCTAGTTCTAAATGCTACAAGTTATTTGGTGTACGATAAGTCTAAACCAATGCCTGGTGAATACAAAATTCAAAGTCTGGGTTCTTTCAATGATTTTAATTTAAGAACTTTGGACAAAGTTGACCTATTTGATGATTATGATTACCAAATTACTCTCGATGTTGTGATGGATAATTTAGGCGATGGTGTTAATTATGCTTTCTTCAATAACATCACATGGACCAAGCCAGTTGTCCCAACATTATTAACTGCTTTAACATCTGGTGAAGAAGCCACCAACCCAAGAATATATGGTTCTAACATCAATGCTTTCGTCTTGCAACCAAACGAAATCATTGAAGTTGTTGTTAACAATCAAGATGATGGTAGACATCCTTTCCATTTGCATGGTCATATTTTCCAAGTTATTCAAAAATCTAAATCTTTTGAAGATCCAGTTTCTTATGATGAAAACAAACATGATGCATTCCCAAAATACCCAGTCATGAGAGATACAGTTAACGTCGAGCCAAACGGTTATGTTGTGTTGAGATTCAAGGCTGATAATCCAGGTATTTGGTTCTTCCATTGTCATGTTGATTGGCATTTGGAACAAGGGCTAGCTGCTGTTTTCATTGAAGACCCACTCGCTCTTCAAAAACAAACACCACCAAAGGACTTCTATGATAATTGTCGTGCTGCTAAAATTCCGCTTGAAGGTAATGCTGCAGGTAATAAAGATTTATTGGATTTAACAGGTGAAAATGTTCAATCTGCACCACTACCTGAAGGATTCACATTGAAAGGTTATATTGCTTTTGCTATCTCAACATTTGCAGGACTTTATGGTCTTTACTCGATTATTCAATATGGATTAGAGGATTCAATCCAGGATGATGAAAAGATATTTGAAAATCTAGAACGAATTTTGACTGAAAACAATCTGTTAGGAAACGATCCTACATCTGATGCTAACGAACACACACATCTGTCTAGTGCTGGTGAGGATATTTAGTGCTTCCCGAAGTCTAGAATGCTAAAAGTCCTGTAATTCATAGTTTATTGATATATTTAATTGATTTTGTTTATAGTTTTAATGTTCTTAGATGTAAATATGGCTAAAATTTAGCCACTATAAAGTGTCTCTACCGAAGTGAAAAACTTTTCGCGAATCTTCAGTTATTTTTTTTTTTTTTTTTTTTTTTTTTCGATCGAACGAACGTGAAGGTATAAACTCGAGAAAAAAATTGATTGATCTCTATATAGGCCTGTTACTCTTTCTTTTGTCTTAGATTCACCAAATCTATTTGCATAATGTCCAAATTTTTGAGAAACATCTGGTCAGCTGGTAGTCGCCAGCTTGGCTTGAGTGCTCAAAGAAGGCTATTCCATCAAAGTGCACTTAGAAGAACTTATGAAGAAGAAAAAGTTGTTATCGATCAAATTGTTTCCAAATTACCGGAACAAGATCTTGCAATTGCTTCAAGAATGCGTAATATTGGTATTTCTGCTCATATTGATTCTGGTAAGACCACATTCACCGAACGTGTGTTGTTCTATACCGGTAGAATTAAAGCCATTCATGAAGTTAGAGGTCGTGATAATGTTGGTGCCAAGATGGATTCTATGGATTTAGAAAGAGAAAAAGGTATCACTATTCAATCCGCTGCTACATACTGTTCTTGGGATAAAGATGACAAAAACTTCCACTTCAATTTAATTGATACTCCAGGCCACATTGATTTCACCATTGAAGTTGAACGTGCCTTGAGGGTTTTAGATGGTGCTGTTTTAGTTGTTTGTGCTGTTTCTGGTGTCCAATCTCAAACTGTTACTGTTGATCGTCAAATGCGTCGTTACAATGTTCCAAGAGTTACTTTCATTAATAAGATGGATAGAATGGGTGCTGATCCTTTCAGAGCTATTGATCAAATTAACAAGAAATTGAAAACTCCAGCCGCTGCAATTCAAGTTCCAATCGGTGCTGAATCTAATTTGAAAGGCGTTGTTAATATTATTGACAGAGTTGCTTTGTACAATGAAGGTTCACAAGGTGAAGAAATCAGAACTGCTGAAGTTCCAGCTGATTTGGTTGATCTTGTTGAAGAAAAAAGAGCTTTATTGATTGAAACCTTAGCTGATGTTGATGATGAAATCGCCGAAATTTTCCTTGATGAGGGTGAACCAACCACTGAACAAATTAAGAATGCTATCCGTAGAGCTACTATTGCCAGAAAATTCACTCCAGTTTTGATGGGTTCTGCGTTAGCTAATACTGGTATTCAACCAGTTTTAGATGCTGTTGTTGATTATTTGCCAAATCCATCTGAAATTCTAAACAAAGGTTTGGATATATCTGAGGGTGAAAAGCCACTTGACTTGATTCCATCAAGTAAAGAAGCTTTTGTTGGTTTAGCTTTCAAATTAGAAGAAGGTAAATATGGTCAATTAACCTATTTACGTGTTTATCAAGGTCGTTTGAAAAAGGGTGGGTTCATTACTAATGTTAAGACTGGTAAAAAAGTTAAAGTTTCACGTTTAGTGCGTATGCATTCAAATGATATGGAAGATGTTAATGAAATTGGTCCTGGTGAAATTTGTGCTACTTTTGGTATTGATTGTGCTTCAGGTGATACATTTACTGACGGTGTTGCACAAATTACCATGTCTTCAATGTTTGTTCCAGATGCTGTTATTTCCCTTTCAATTACTCCAAAATCTAAAGATACCACAAATTTCTCCAAAGCTATGAATCGTTTCCAAAAGGAAGATCCTACCTTCAGAGTCAAATATGATGGTGAATCTAAAGAAACCATTATTTCAGGTATGGGTGAGTTACACTTAGAAATTTACGTTGAACGTATGAGACGTGAATATAATGTTGACTGTGTTACTGGTAAACCACAAGTTTCTTATCGTGAAGCTATCACAATGCCATCTGACTTCGATTTCACCCACAAGAAACAATCTGGTGGTGCTGGTCAATATGGTAGAGTTGCTGGTTCATTATCACCAGAAGATGGTAAAAATATCTTTGAAACACACATTGTTGGTGGTCGTATTCCAGATAAGTTCTTGGTTGCTTGTCGTAAAGGTTTCGAAGAAGCCTGTGAAAAGGGTCCATTGATTGGTCACAGAGTGTTGGGTGCTAAAATGTTCATCAATGATGGTCAAATTCATGAAGTCGATTCCAATGAATTGTCTTTCAAAGCTGCTACTTTAGGTGCTTTCAAACAGGCTTTCATGAAAGCTAACCCAGTTATTTTGGAACCAATTATGAATGTTTCTGTTACTGCTCCAGGTGAATTCCAAGGTAATGTGATTTCACTTTTGAACAAAGTTCAAGCTTTAATCCAAGATACCGAAATTGCTGTTGACGAATTCACCATCAGTGCTGAATGTCCATTAAACCAAATGTTTGGTTTTGCTACCGCCTTAAGAGCTTCAACACAAGGTAAAGGTGAATTCTCCTTAGAATTCAAACAATATGCACCAACTCCAGTTCACTTACAAAAACAATTAATGGCTGAGCACCAAAAGAAATTAGCCGAACAAGCTGCTGCTAAGAAATGATTTATTGACCTATTCTTTTATATATCGACTAATAGATATTTGTATATAGTCTCCAAAATGCTTATAATTATATTTGAAATATTCGTATACCCTTTTGTATGAATTTTGTAAAACGCTTTCGCGGAAAACACCAAAACACGAATAGAGTGTGGATCAAAACTACACAGATATTTCTTTATCTACAAAAACTCAATATCAAACCAACAGAGGTCAACCTCTTAGTGATATGGAGGTTCAAATAGAAGATTTGAAAGACTTAACAGAGCCTATTGATGGTGATGTTGATGATGTGTTCCATTGGCGTGCATCTGAGGAAGAGAAAGCCACCAATGAGAGGTTCAGTACAGATTATTCCGTTCTCAAGCAGAGCTTGATATCAAGTCCTATAGTGAAACAGATCTTCAAAGTGAAATATTCCACAAATAAGAAAGTTGAAGGGCTTTCCAATGAAGCATATAATGATGATGGCTCAATCATGACGAAGAAGATGATGAAGGACCTAAGCAGACCAAATCCTGATTCATTTGACATGGATATAGATGATGACTTAGAGACAGAGATGTTGAAGTACACTACAAATGATGATAGAAATGGCATGGCGGCTCCTGAAGATATTGAAATTGATCTGACTGAAGAATATAGACCAGAACTGGCTGATGTGCTTGTGTTGGTAAGGCATTCTTCAATTGTTATAAATAATGAATATGAGGTTAAACTTCCCTCGACTATAAGGTCGTCCAATTTATTAAAAGGCTCCAAAGTTGAAGAGGGTATATGGGATGAAGACAGTTTGTTGATAACTTTATCTTCGGGGTTTTTGCTATTGGTGAGGTTCTTCCAAGTTAACGATTCTGTCAAGCCATACGTTGTTCAATGGTGGAAAGCTAGCTCTTCAATTAAGCAGCACCCTACGCTAGATGAAATCGGAAAGGAAACGTTAACACATCCATCTGGATCACTAGCTGCATTGACATCTGCTCAGGGTCATATAAGGCTTTTTCATTGCTCACAGACAGCACATGGTGTGATGCTTGATAACATACAAAACATCAATTTTGATGGGCAGATTCTTCATAGTTGTTTTCTTGAACCACTAAAAGATGTCTCTGAAACCAATCATGCTTTAATATTTACCCTTATAATCACTTCACATAGAAGATATATGATTCGTCTATTTGAATGTTGGTTGGATGAAAAAAGAATTATAGAGCATTCTCCATTTTTGCTAACAAATGAGTTTGATGTTCCAGTTTTTGTTGTCCCATTCAAACAAGGTGTGTTTTTGATGATGGAAAAGAAGATAGTGATAATCACAGTGAACCAAATGCTTTCTGCGGATTATAATTTCTTGCAGGCCAAATTTAGTGGTGCGTTTCCTACTGGTTATTACAAGCCAAATACTAGGATAACGGGTGAGGGAAATGAAATACTAATCTCAACAGAAGATGGTACTATCTACTCAATTATTGTTGTGGAAGACCGGATTCATGTAAGGCCTATATTGAGAGTTCCAAAGTTGTCACATTTTATTTTAGAAAGAGTTGAAGATGGGTTTGCACTCTATTATTCATGCTCTTTTGGCTATGGTGGATATCGTTTATTCCCAAAACTATTATCAGATGAAGAAGATTCATATAAATATCTGTTGGATTCTTGTGATCAGCTGGACATAATTAGCAATTGGGCACCGCTTCTTGATGTGGAGGTTGTTGACACAAGAAACAATAGACAAGAGTTATGGCTAGCCAATGCTAGAAGCTTGTCGAGGTTGAGATATGGCTACAAAGCTGAGAAAGAAATACAAGATAACAAGCTCAGAAAGGCGTACAAGGTTTTCAATCATGTCGTTGGAGATGACCTTTACTTCATATTCTCGTTTATCGATAAAACATTGGTGTTCAAGTATGAAGATGATCAATTGATTGATGTTGAAGATAGTGGACTAGAGCTCATAAATCGAACTATCAATATCTCTAGTGTTCAAAGTATATGTGTCCAAGTCTTGGAAAGGTCCATTATTGTCACAGATTTTGCATCTGAAAATACCATGAGGCTAGATCTTGAAGAAGATATGGTTTTAGCTGACTCTTCGGACATTTATACTGCTGCTATCACTGAAAGTATCAGTATAGAAGGTTCTGTTTCAAATAATCTCTCATTTTTTGAATCTTCTGGTGATATTCATCTATTTGGAGAATCGGTCACCTTAAAAATACCAGTTACATTTTTAAGATTTTTCAGTTTTGCTGACCAACTATTTCTTGCAATTGGTGGTGCTAATGTTGCCAAAATTTTCAAAAAGCAGGACATGGGATTCAATCTGGAGCTTGAAGTTGAGATAGAATTCTCTGATCCTAATGACTTTGTCGTTTTTTCAGGAGAGGTCTTCATAAGCTCAAGGCTTGGTGAGTTTTCGAAATATTCAATGGTGTTTGAAAATGAGAAACTTGCTCTCTCCCACGCTTACACGCTAAGATTATCTGAATCTCCCATTGAATTTTCTTCATCGTCAGCTGAATTGTTTTTGATCTCTAAATATTTATGGAAACTGAACGTTGGTGAAACATATCCTTCGCCGGTTATTTTTGATGAGCCAAAGGAAAGATCTGTTTATTCGGTTATCAAGCTGAAACAATCCAAATATGCAGTATTGAGAGATGATGGTTTTAGTTTTGTCAACATTTCAAATTATTTGCAACCAATATTGAGATCAATCAAGCTATCCCAGGTTCCAAGAAGGGTTAAATATATTTCACATTTGAATGTTTTTGCAATCATTTCAGAGTCTTCTTTGTTGTTTACCAGTAAGGTCTCTAAACTAGAAACAAGACTTTACAGTCGAAGACAGTCTTCACAATCTTTATTTGAAGATGAAATTCCACTCTCTTTATCAGAATGGATTCTACCAACTACTGATAAAGCATTTAGAAACTTACTTATAGGTTGCAGAACGTCTACTGGTGGTTCAATTAAGGTTTTACAGCCAAAGTTCTCACTCGATAGCACAGAAGTCGTTGAGGCGTATGAGATCTATAGTGCCAAAACAGATGCCCCTGTATTAGCTTTTGAGCAGTTAAATGATGATACCGTGATCTATTCCAGTGGGTTCAAATTGGTTATCAGCACCTATGATTTGGAGAAGAAAAAAATGCTTGATTCTATAATTGTTCACGAATTCAACTCATTGATTATGAATATTGATGTCAAAGATGATATTGTCCTCGTTTCCACAAAGGATTATTCCGTTTCCAAGTTTAAATACTCAGAAGGTGAACTAAGTCTTCAGGGAAGTGATTATTGTGTTCGGAAAGTAACAAATAGTTTGTCATTAAATGACAATGTCACAATAACAACAGACAAGTTACATTGTTCCATTTCAGGAATCCAAGGTTACGAAACTAGATTCAGATCATTTGTTTCATTTGTTCCAAAATTGAAAAGATGTGAATTGAAACCTTTATGGTATGATGGTCAAATAATGAATAGATTTATAGCTTACGGGCTTGGGGGTGAAATACAACTTTATACATTATTGGATAAAGAAACAGCACAAGATCTAGCTAAACATCTAAACAATAAAAAGATGGTACCCAACTCAGTGACCCAAAAAGGTCTTTGGGATTTAAATGATAACATGTGGGTGAATGATAGAAATGTGAATGTCATTGATGGTGATTTGCTTCTCCAAAATTACTCTGGTGAGCTCGCTAAAATGCTAAACGCAATATCCTTTTAACTTTTGATCTAATAAATAATGATGGCTAAATGAATCTATTTATCATTCTGTATTTTTTCTAATAGATTTGCAATTCTTGGGCCCATGAGAGGTTGACCTGTTCTAGTTTTCTGAGAAAGTTGCTCTTTCTTTCTTTCTCTTTCTGCTCTTTTCTTCTCTCCATTCTTGATATATTCTTGTCTCTTCATTTCTCTTTCTTTACGAGCAAGTTCCTTTCTCTGCTTCGCTATTTCAGCACGTTCTCTAAAGTCAGGTCTTGGTTTAGATTCTGTTTCTCTTGACGGTCTATCTTTTTTAAACTCCTTTTCAGGTATAGCTTCACCTTCTTTTTTTAGTTCTTTGAAATACTGTTTTCTAAGTCTAGCACGATGGACTAAAGATTTTTTAATCTCTTGGTCTAGGTGGTAACAAATTAGTATCTCTTATAATTCAAATAGTAAATACTGCTAACATACTTTTTGACTCTTTACGGTCGATATATGGGTTGGATCTTTTGCCAAACTTTCCGTCTCTCTTTGTGAAGTTAGCCATTATTAATATATATTGTGAATCTTGAATAAAATTAGGGATAGGTTATCAGTATGTTGGAGATTAGTTGTTTAATCAATAGGATAGATAGAAGTGTTAAAAGAAAGAGAAAAAAAATATTTTGTGCTGCACATACCGCATCGCTGAGTAAGCAACGATACCTAACCATCAAAACCTCAGTTTCCAGGCAAACGCTCTGAAGTTTGGCATAAAAGGGCCACTGGATGTTGATATCAGTATATCCTTCAGCTTATTACTCGAAAAACTAAAACTACCATTGTTTTTTTCAAGTTTTGCAGTCTGTGTTAGATGAGCTGGCCGGTTTAGCATTTTGACTATCCGAATTTTTCATCTAGAAAAAAAAAATCTTGAGGCCTTTGAAAGATCAAAACAGTGTAACCACTTTTGCAAATTCAAAAGCTCAAGCACCTGCGCTCATTAGGTCTTCTATTCAAGGTTATTATTCATTGTTATTGCATTGTCTTTGTTGAGGGTTGTCGAGAGAACGGTCATTCAATCCAGGTTCTTATCACCAAACTATTTTTCAACACATCATCATATTTCAAGACACTATAGCTTTAAAGGCAATTCGTCATCTGGATCAAGAACCTACAGCAGACTTATGTCTTCAAATTCATTCAATGGATTGCGGCTTTTGAGGCTGCGAAACAAAGATTTGTTGGCCCAGTTGAGAGTAAGATCTGGAAGTCTTGTGCAGGTCAAGAAAATATCATATGGCAGAATCAATACAATACCCAGTGTGTTATGTTCAACTAGTATGACACAAAGGTTTATGAGTACTTCCACTCCCCAACCACCAGCTGTACCCAGTCGAGAAGTTGGAGCCAACTTTCTAAAGTTACTTTTTAAAGAAGAACACACCGTTGAAGAGATCGACCGCTTATATGCACTTTCTTTGGATGCCGATTTGACAATAGAACAGAAAACCCAGCTGTTTAAGCTGCTAGCTGAGAATGATAGGGTTGATCAAGCTAGAAGTATTCTTGAAGGAATTTCAATGATCGGTTTAACATTCGACTATCGCAAAGCAATAGCAAATTTTGCTGGACAAGTGGACTCTATTCAAACTGTCAGCAATATGGCCTCACGATTCAGACGCCGTTTTAAAGGACGGGATCGGGCATTAACTCTTCTGGAGATTGTCACAACCACATACCTTGAATTCAATAAACCAGAGCGGGCATTGGAAAGTTGGGTGATATTTGTAACGCATAATTTCAATCGTTCAAAACTTCACAGTGCTCACAATGCTGTTTTTTTTCGTGAAGTTTTATACAAAATACTTGAAAAATCAAAAGGCGTTGATTTTGAGCCAATAGTTGATGCTCATGTTCCTTTTGAAGATAGACACTTTATCTATAGATCCTTTATTCAGAGTGCAAGAACGAAGGACAACCCAGCCCTCATATATGATGTCTTCAAAAGAATCCCCAGGAAATATCTAGTGGAGAAGTCATTTCAATATGTTTCAAGAACTCTTGCTTGTGACGGTGAGATTCGGCTTGTTAGTGAGCTACTGACTGAATACCCACAGGGAATGGAGTTGGAACAGAGAGATGTTGCAAATTTTTACAGGTACGTTTCGAATCATGGGTTTAGTCTTGTTTATAAAGAATATCTAAGGATATCTGAAGTCTATGGTGGTGATCCTCCAAGGCAAATCTTGAGAGATGCAATAGGTAAAGCTATCAGAAGTTCAAACATGTCAGCATTAAAAAAACTATGCGATGTTTACAAGGGAAAATATAACGATATGTTCACATATCACTCATTCATGGCATATTATCTCCAGGTTGGGAAACCATCAAAGTTTTTCCATGTTTTTAGGGAAATGGCTAACGCTGGGTATGAGCCAGACATTCGTACTTATAATTTAATTTTTCAACAATTCTCTGCTAAGAAAGATCTGGAGTCAACTTTTGCATTGCTAGATTATTTAACAGGTAAAGGTATGAAAGTTACTATTGAGGAATTATGTCATGTGCTTGTCTGCTGTGCCAAACAGATTGATGTTGACTCAGCTACTAAGGTAGACCAATTGGCTGATAAATATGAGTTGAAAAAAACTGGTGAATTTTATTCATCTTTAATGGCTGTCTATACAGAAGCAAATTTACATGAAAAGGCAATAGAATTATTTAACAGCTATGACGGTACACCTAATGCTGATTTATATGCCAACTTGATTAAAACACATGTGAGAAAAGGTGACTATGATTCAGCTAGAGAAGCATATAAATCAATGATGGAACAAAATATAGAAATGACTAGAAAATTTTATGCCGTCTTGATTGAATATTTTTGCAAAATTGGTGAATTCACTAATGCCCGTACATTGATGGATAGTATTGATTTAGAGGATGGAAATGATATGGAACCATTTGCGGTAATGATGGAGAACTACATGCATAAGGGATTGCATGCTGCAGCTATTTCTGTCTACAACTTTTTACTGGAAAATAATGTGACACCAGGGCCACGGGTTTATAATAAGCTAATGGAGTGTTTGGTTCAATTGAGTTTTGTCAATAACCATAATTTTTCCAGACCAGCACGTATTGCAGAAGAATTACTTGCAACTCAAAAAGAAAATCCTAAAAAGCATTATCTGTCTTTCAAAATCATTAAGCCATTGGTTAGATATTTGTCAAAGCAATATGATCCAGTCTATGCATTAAAGTTGTTGGAAGACTATAAATCCTCACGTTCAGAATATAGTACCTCTAAAAATATTTCTATATTAAAGGAGGAATTGATTATTTATGGTGAAACAAAACAATATTACAGATTCAATGCTGTTTTTGAAAACTTTTTGGATGAAATCAAGAGAAGAATGGTTAGGGGTAAAAGACCTCATAAAAGCAAAGATGTTTTCCTTCCAATCATTGGATATAGAGCTAGATCTGGTGCTGTGCTTGATGAACAAAAACAACTTCAAGACCTTGTTCAAAATTTCATCTTTGCTCATAATTTCAATGTTAGTAATGAAAACTTGAATGAAATTGCCGATATATTGCTGGCAGATTCAAGAACTTTCATGTTTGGTATGGAAATAGTTGAAACCAAGTTGATGGGTGGGTTTATTGCACATGCTGTTGTAAGAGCTCGTGAGTGGAGAAACTCTGTGTTACCATTAGGTGCTAATCCTATAGAGTATCAAAATCCTATCACGATGCCAAAAATATACTTGAAAGATGAGTTTTATCTCAAAATTGCTATTCATTTGGATAATTATCTTTCAATGATACGAAAAATGGACCCAAATAAAATGCCAGACTTCATGGAAAAGTTTAGAATTAAGTTTCCAAAAGTGTTCAAAAATTTCCCTGGTACTATTAGTAATTTTGCAGATGTTGAAGGGTATGATTATAAGAAGGATTTTAGAGACAGTGGCATAGCTAATGATAGGTGGTAATGAGTAAGTGGTGTATTCTATTTTGCATGATGGCGTTTTTCTTTTGATTTTGGAATTTGATAGTGTGTGTTCAAGCTATGTTTTATTATCGTTTTGGGTTTTGCACACAAGTTATTGTATTGGTCATTGTCAGTTACTACACATTGAATATATTGAACTGATAAATCAATCTTTTATTTTACATAAATAAGTTAGCATCTGTACATAGTTGAAAATTTACAAAAGTATTTGATTTTAATTCATTCAATGCTCTATCATAAGTCATGATTATAACGAACTGTGCTATTCATTGAATTCTCAATGTTGTTGTTGTTGTTTCTTCTTTTTTGGTTTCTTTGTTTGTTCTGAACTAACTGGGTCAGGATAAACTACCAAACTTTCACCCACTGAAGAACCAAAGACTAAAGGACCCACATAAGGCTGGATATTCCACTCCAATTTGACAGTGGCTTCTCTATTTCTGAATGATTCTTCAACATCCCATACTGAATATTTTGAACGCTCATTGGAAATGCTCAAATTAGCTTTATCTTTTGATTGAATGATCTTATCCCAATACACAACCTTATTTGAAGCGGTCTTAAGTTGTTAGTAAAATGTTTTCGTCTTCAATCAATATATTGAGTTGAACTCACATTAGATTTTCCTGGATATTCTGCTGTCAAGTATACAAACACTTGTTTTGTATTCCAATTGAACAATGGTGTTAAATCTGATTCAAGATCAAATATCAATTTTGAATTTTCTTTTGGTTTACCACCAACAGATCCAAACCTTCTACTAAATTTCACGGAAGCAGTTCTTTTAAAGTTAGTAGAGCATTGAAAGATGACATACTTAAAACTCACGGTGTGATATTAGAAATTGTACTTGGTGTCAAGAAGGCATCTGAAGAATAAAGTTGGAACCAAGATGATGCAATGATGAAAACGGACACAAATCCAACCAATGTCAGCGAAAAATTGAGCACATGTTGTCCTCTCTGTAATACTGAAAACATCTTGAGTTGTGCTTGGGTAACTTGATTCTTAACATTCATCATGAACTCTTCATGAAGACACGTAAATTTGAAGTTCAGTTGGGGAATTCCGACTAGCATCACGTGTAACCTCGGAAATATAATGATTTTTCCACCACAGAAACGAAATAATTTGAACATTCTTCACTATTGTTCAACTTCCACAAAAGCATATTTGATCAAAAATATAACTGAAATGACTCTTACTTGCTATGTTTTCTCTTTACGGGACGACTGGCTTGACACTAGAGGTTGAAGATGGATCAGAACGTTGTCAATGATGAGAAGAAACATCGTGGACATAGAACTTATAAATTCCCCGTGATTTTGATAATCATCTCCTTGGGTGGATTGATGCTTGGTGTGGAAACTTCGTCAATGCCGGTATTTGTTGGGTCTGCCTATTTCCGCAAATATTTCAACAATCCTGGTGCTGTTGCTCAAGGAATTATTGCAGCTTCAAATCCTGCTGGTGCTTTTTGTAAATTGATACCTTTTTATGTTTTCATGGCACAAAAAAACTAACTAATCACAGTTGGATGTTGGGCTTCTGGTTTCATATCTGACAGATTTGGAAGAATTGCTGCGCTTCAAACTGGTTCAACCATATGGATTGGTGGTTCAATTGTCTCGGTGCTTGCTCAAAATATACCAATGGTTATTACTGGAAGAGCTGTTAAAGGGTTTTCAGTGGGTATATTTTCAGCATCCCTACCTGTTTATGTCTCTGAGATATTCCCACAAAATAAGAAAGGTCTTGGTACTTCTGTTATGCAATGGTCCTTAACTTGGGGCATTATGCTCATGTTTTATATTTCATATTTTTGCAATCTTTTAGGTGATGAGCGAGCATTTCGTATAGCATGGGGTATTGAAATAGCACCTGCTATTTCTTTGTTAGTTGGTACAATATTTCTTCCAGAATCACCAAAATGGCTTGCTACAGGTTCAAGATGGGAAGAAGCTGATCATATACTTGAGAAGTTGGGAATACAACCCGAGAATAGAATGGGAAATCAAGGTGATCAAGATGAGGATGATTTGAGAAATAGAGTGGGTCTTATTGACATGTATGACTCAACAGGCTCAAAGTGTACATATCTTGATTTGTTTCGCAAGGATTTAAGAAAGCATCTTCTCGTGGGAATAACAACTCAATTATTTACACAATTGAGTGGTATTGGGGTTCTCATGTACTATTTGGTTTACATCTGCCAAATGGTTGGGCTTTCTGGTGAAGTGAAAATTTTATCGGCTTCTATTCAATACGTTATCAATGTTTTATTCACAATTTTTCCTATTCTTTGGTTAGACAAGATGAGGCGTAAAGATGTTCTTGTGTTTGGGGCAACTTTTTTGGGGACATGTATCTCAACTATTGGAGCTATAATGGGCTGGTATGGTCATGGTGTTCCGCCAATTGACGGTAATGAAAGTATCGTTTGGGAAGTCACTGGTACCCCTGGATCTCTTTGTTTAGCCTTGTGTTTCCTCTTTGTTGCTGTGTTTGCCTCAACGCTATCATGTGCAGGGTGGTTATATACTAATGAGATTCTTCCATTACGTGCTAAGGCTAAAGGCTCTGCTATTTGCATGAGTGTTTCATGGACGGTGAATTTTACATTAACATTTTTGACCCCACTTTCTATGAAGCACATTAAATGGTTTACCTTTTTGATTTTTGGTCTTTTCTGTATTTCTGGTGCTTTTATTATGGGGTTTTTGTTTCCAGAAACTTATGGATTGTCAGATGAACAGATTAGGAACCTTTTTGTCAATAAAGATCAAAATGTCCATGATGAAGGTTCAATTGAAAATGAACACCCAGTGGCCGTAGTTCATGACTCGTCACCTACAGATGCTGCTGAAAATGATTATGTTGTGGTTAATGAAGATCATGAATTGGCTGAGAACGTTGGTGTTGGTACCAGTGTTAAAAATCCAGTTGCATCCGATAGAAGTTATAAATTATCGATTCCTTCTCATGTCAATGAATTGCACCATAATATTATTCAAAGAACACATTCAACAACAGATAGTAGTACGCGTATAACAGAGGGTGTTAGTCCGTTTTTGAAGAAAATGGGTGGTCCTTTTGAAACAGATTCAGATCTGAGTGCTCTGGAGCAGAATGTCGATGGAACAGGTAGTCCAGATAATAGCACAACTTATACTGATGGGATCATAGGACACTACTATAATCAAAGATCCAATGACTCTCCATTCATGAACCATCATAATTCAGGGTCTCCCTTTAGATAGATCAGCTATAGTTTTATGCTTGTATAAATTTTGATGTAGTACTATAGTGCTCGCGATATCTACCCGGTGTTGATACTTTTCAAATTTTTGAACATTGCACGCTCTCCTTGATTATTTGAAAATCCGAAAATTGTAGACACCTAATATTGTTTCTTTACATTATTTACAGCAAAAAATTGAAACAATGGCGACTCAAAATGACAATTTATTGGATGACGTGAGTTATATTGATGTCAAAACATTTGTTCCAGAGCAATGATACTAATTAGCGGTTTAATAGGGTCCAAATTGGTTAGAAAATGACGATGATTTAACAACACAACCAGAAGGTGAGTTTACTATGAATTGGATGCAACAACGGAACACTAACAAAACTAAATCATCAAGACATTGGAACGAAAGCATATATACCACCTGATGTCCCTGAAGATCCTACACCTATTCGAGGGGCAACCTCAACGCATAATAATAATACTGAAGGCACAGTTCCAATGGTTCCAAATAATTTTGAAGGTGGATTATTTTCAATAAATCATTATAGAAGATATTTCAATATAAACACTACTGATTTTTTCATAAATGTTATTAGATCAATAAATGTCGTTCAAAAATTTGAAGATCAAGAGGAAGAAATTGGTGATTTATATGGACCAATTTGGGTTACTGCAACTGTTTGCTTTATATTATTTTTTTCCAATACAAGTTCTAATTTATTGAAAAGTTGGTTGATTGGTGGTGATGATAAGTATCAATATAATTTCAGTTTGTTGACTGGTGCAATAAGTTTGTTATATGGATATACTGTTTTGATTCCATTTATTTTTTATATGATTAGTGTTTTTTATTTCAAATTGACTAAATTTTTCACATTGAGTAAGATTATATCAATTTATGGATATGCTAATTCAGTTTGGATACCTTCAGCTATTTTTGGCGTGTTAAGAGGGTTATTAGTTAATCATAGTGTTTTGAATGGGATTTTAAAATGGGTTATTGTTTTAATTGGTGGGATTGTTAGTGCAGTTAGTATTGGATTAAAAGTTTATCCAGTTTTGAAAAATTCTACAATTATCGTTGGTAATGAGAAATTATCATTTGGATTAATGGGTTGTCTAGCTATTGCTCATTTGGGGTTCATTATTGCCATCAAAGTTTTATTCTTTGGTGATTTGAAAGTTGTCAATTGAGACAAAAGATATATTGTAAATATATGGAAAAGAAAACTACGTGTAGATGAAACAGAATAAGAGAAGTCATTAGTATTAGAATTTTAAATAATCATTGCAGACACTTGATGTGATTTCATCATCATGTGGTTTCCATTATCAATATGGATCAGCTTTTTTTTTGGATTTAAGGTTTTCCATCAAACTTTATAACATTGGATCATAAATATTATTGTAGTTGTAAAAAGTGAATATGAAATTGTAACAAAACATCTAAACTGTTGGAGCACCTGGCATTGGTAAAGCTGGGATAGTGAAGTAAGAGTTTGAGTTTGTAACAACACCCGCCAAAATAATATAGAAAGCTGTAAAAGTGGCCAAAATACCCAAAGCACCACCAGCTTTGATACAACCAGTTGAATTTTCCAAATAACCAATAGACAACATCAAGATAAATGTCCATAGGAAGAAAAACAAGATAAAGAATGGCCAAGTAGCTTTAAAAGTACACAACCACATCAAAAATGAAAATATAAACCAAGCCGCCAAAAACAAACCCAATGCATTAGTATACTCTTCTTGAGTTTTATAACTTGAAACTATACCAAAAGCATCGATGTTTAAAGCACCATAACTCATCCAGAACCCACCATAACTACCCAATGCAGTTGCAGCAAATGTATTTTCGATAACCAAACACCATAATCCAGCAATAACTTCAATAACACCACCGAAAAATAGGGCACAAGAGGCAATAATTTTAACATTCTCCACACCTCTAGTTTGTAAATTAACCAAAGAAACGACAAAACAACATACAGCAAACCCAGACAAGCCTAATGGGACAGGATTACCCATTGGACGGAACGGTTGACGATGTAAACCAGGATTTAAATCACCAGCAAATGCATTAACTAATTCATGTCTATGGAAAGATTGATTTCCTAGATAAATTATATCACCATTTGGAGAAGTTGTAATTTTTGTGATTGGGTTACCAGTTGATTCTTGTAATTGAGGTTGATCAAATTCAGTGGAGGAATAACCATTATTCCCTTGTAGATGGGATGAATTACCCTTTTCCAAGTCTTGAGGTAAAGAGTTGTCAGTCATTATAATAATATAGTTGTTGATATTCAGTAATTGATTTGTTCAATCGAAACAAGGTTTCAAGAGAGGAAAGCATCTAGTTTATATAGTTGACCTAACCATTAGTTAGAGAGGGGTCCGTGTATGGCACATGATCCACCTTTGGTAGTCGAAAGCAGAGACCTGAGTCCTAAAGAAAACGGTTACTTTTTTTAAATTTTCACCACTTTGACCATGTCCAACTCTGATTTCACACGGAGTACGGTTGCACAGGGCAGACTTCAGTATGGACTGGGCTTGCCGGTGATATGGAACAAGTGATTAAAAGATCAGCAGCAGTGCAACTGAAAGGAAGCGAAGCGTTTACTATGGCCATGTTGTGCTGAGTTGGTTGAATTAATGGCTGTTGAGTGGATTCAGCCCTTTGAGAAATTTAGTTTGGATCATGGGCAGATGCGATTGAATCAAGTTAAGAGAGGCTTTAACAGGATGGACGTCTATGTTTGTTCAGATGGTGCCACTCTGAATCATTCGATCGCTGTTTAACACAGTGAGGCACCTGCCCCACCACCAAGCACTCCCTGCCTAGAGCTAGCGAGGGCCCACTATTATTGCTAGCCTACGCCAGGCTCCCAAGCAAGGTGTCAGTCGGTCTGCCTCCAGGCTCTTCGAGAGGTGTCCTAGTGAAAGGAGTTTACAACGTTGATCTATGGCTCTTTTTTCCCCACTGAATCATCAACATACAACATACAACACTCTACACTTGACTCAAGCTTAATCAAAGCTGCTCGGATGGAATCTTAGACTCTTTGAAGCATTGGTGCTTAAAATTCCCTTGTTGAGATTGGGTTTAGAGAGGGATCCATAAAAATGACGGCTACAAGCTACAAGCTGGAAATAGTGTACTCCTCCGTGTTCTGTTTGTGACAAGTTTTTATACCTCAACTGATCCATCAATCACATGTAGACTATTCAATTACTAGCCATCTACGAACATTTACAGATGAAATGAAGATAAAAGGAAGTTAGAACTAATGGAACTGCTACGTAACTTCATATTCCGGTTTCCGTTAGTCAAATACACTCTTTAGTTCTTTTGTACTGACTCCGAAGACCCACCTAGCTCAACAAAATTTTGAACTGCAAACAAAACTACAACTACAGTACAGAACAATACAATCCGGGGTTTAAGAACCTTAAATAGCCTATACATAGGGTTGATGGAAATGAACAAGTGGACAACAAGAAAAAATTAGACACGAGGGGTTAGTTTCAGTCAATTGTTTGTAATGATGTTGGTCAACTTTCACGGAGTTGATGATGTTGAAAAAAAAAATTCTCTTGACACAAAATTTCATGACATAATCTGTTATGTAATTCAAACCGAGGGTTTAGTTACGTATCATGTGAAAATCATGTGAGAGGATGGTCGGATAAATCCACATTAATAAATTACAAGCTACTTTTCACGTTTCTTGTACAAATCTTATTATCATCCGTCTAAGAGAGTCAATTCTACTTATAACTCCCCTTGGTTGTCATGTTTTGGGCGTTTTAAGGAAGGTGGCCACTTTACTATTGATTCCCAGACGACCTTACACTTCGTCGATTGGGTACTTAATTTCACTTTCCTTGAACAATAAATCACTTGAATTAATGTACTGGTAGTATGATAGATTAATTTGAAATTGATTCCTGCTTTCAGTTTATAGCAACCAACGAATTGATTGAACTTTGGTGATGAGGAAAAAGCACGATTTGTTCTAGAAACTCAAACATTGTGTAGCTCGTAAAGAAGGCTCCGATTATTAACTAATGTATTCCTCTGAATTGAACATTAATTAATAAGACTAATTTAATCTTCCACTGAAGCATACAACTATTGCATCAAGTACCTTTGGGCATTGACAAGTATTCTTCGACAATATTATTGATTATCAAAAAGGACATTAAATGACCAGTTAGATTATCCAATGTTGAGTTTATCGAATCTGGTTTCAATATCTGGAAACCCTTTAAACAATTGGAATTTGAGAAGAGACCGTTCAATTAATATCAAAGTCAATAAACTGAATTCCTTTGACTTGAACTGATCAATCAATAAGTGGCTTAGTTGTGCAAGACTTTTCTTTTTCGAATATTAAATGATAAAGCTGAAGTTGAACTTTGAGATCATATATAACCCAATAAATCAGCCAGCTTGGTGTAGTTTGATGAGTATTAATTTAGACATTATTTGGATTTCAAAACTTTTCGAAAAGTGTAGACTTCTTATTTTGTTCAAGACTCACCCCGTAATGAACAGGATCTAATAGACCTTGAAAGTTACCTGTACTGACTTCCAAGAGTGTCCAACTGAATCTCTCTGTAATAAGTCCAAGTGACTCTTGAATTGGCTTATAAAGGTCCACTAAGGTGCACAACATAATTGAAGCTCTTAAGCAGCATCAATGAAATTGAGAGCAATAATCTTGAACTTATAACTTGATCAAGCTAACATAATTCGAATCACCGCACTGCTATCCATTTTCAATAAGTCAGTTGCTTGAACATATCAGAAGCACCAATTGATTATCTTTTTTCTCCAGAAGTCAAGCACAGTTGGGCGATGCTTTAGTTGATTAATATTCTAATTTTCAAAAACCCTTTTTGTTCCCATCAAGATTCAAAAGTCAACACCAATCTCATACTCTATTCCAACCATCAAAACAAGTTTTCTGCACCTGAACAATAGAAGTGTAATGTAGATGTCAAAACTTTATCTTGGGAATTACCTTCTATTTATGTGATGGAAGCTTTCTTTGGCATGTTGAAGAAATTCTGACTCCAGTTTGACCTCGACTTTGACTCGCCTATGCCATAGGTACTGTAGACAACTTGACTCCTCCTTGCCTTATCAGTGATGGCCATAAGCATCAAGTGCATAAAGTGTCAAGCAAAGAAGAGCTCTACATAATCATCTTGACACAATTATTTAGTCTGTTTTCAACCAATTCTTCCACTAGCATCAATTATTGAAATGTAGTTGAAGGTTATAAGAATGGTAGATGTAAATGAGCTTGATTAGACCCCTCCTTGAGTTCGCGAATGGTCTGAAAAGGACCCTTTGGGGACGAAGCCTTCCAAAAAATTCACTCTAGGCTTGAAAGCCCCAGCCTAGGATTGTTTTTTCGTTATTTTTCCAATCGTTCAGGAACAACTTGGCCATTGCTCATCACTTTTCATGTCAAATTTCACCAACTATTTTAGCCTACGACTTGTACAACAACCACAACAACATACTACACAAGTACCAACTCTTTTACCATCTTCAACCCTTTGGTTAGCATCGTGTGGATATTCCTCCCACGCACATTCAGATGGACCATAAGAATGGTCACCGTCAAAGGGCTTCACCTGGTGCCGAATCACTTTTTACAAGTGCATGGAACGGCCTTAATTATACAGCTTAGAGAATCTTCCGCCTAACTCTCCCTTTAAAGTTCTGCCTAGAACACCTAACTCTTTTCCAAGCTCTAGGCAAGGCTCTGCCTAGCACAGTATCAGCCTAACGGGCCGTGCTCCTTCTAAAATTTCTTTTTCGCGCTCAAACACGGCATCACCAGAAAACCGTTGAACTTTAGTGGGCCTACCGCCTGATGAGAGGCACCGAACACATACAATTTTTCTCATTTCTAGGTGAACTGAATAAACTTGTACATTTTGAATGAACGGTTCAAATTCAATTCAAATGATTCTATTTGATGAATTTTTGATTATCTTTGTTTTGCCGTCTATTTGATTGTGCACAAAACCTAATCAATTCGCTTCCATCATTATTAACGTACTGTAATCGCTTACAACAGGCACCATTTTAAAAGTTTTTCCTTTCAAGATTATGCTACACGCTACATGAAGCAATGGAAAAATCTCCTCATGATTGATTTCCCAAAAAAAATTTACTACAACTACGACGTTTCTTTTTCATGTACCAGACATATATATCTGATTACTATTCCTCGAAAAAAATTAAAACTCTTTCTACACATACTTCCTCAAAGGTCTACAAACTTTACACTCACTCATTCGAGTTTAACTAAACAAATTCAATCTTACATTCCTTTGGATAACATTCATCATGGTTGATAATATCAAAAAGGGAGGTGTGGATATTTATCCAGAAGTTTCAGATAAAGCTGAAAGTTCAAGTTTTCAAGAAGCTCATTTTGTCAACTACAACAATTCAAATGAAAGTAAATGGCAAAAATTCAAAGACTCTTTTAAAAGATTAGAAGATGACATTGACCCAAATTTATCAGAAGCTGAAAAAGCTGAAATTAGACGTTATAGAAATGAAGGTGAGAAATTAAATAAATCTTTGAAAACTCGTCATATGATTTTAATTGCCATCGCAACTGGTATTGGTACAGGTTTATTAGTTGGTTCTGGTTCTTCTCTTAATAAGGGTGGTCCAGCTGGTTTAATTATTGGTACTGTTATTGTCGGTTCTATGTTGGTCAACGTTATGGAAGCTGCTGGTGAAATGGCTTTAACTTATGGTGATTTAACTGGTGGGTTCAACGCTTATACGTCATTCTTGGTTGATGAATCATTCGCTTTTGCTGTTTCTTGGAATTACTGTATTCAATGGTTATGTGTCATGCCATTAGAATTGGTTACTGCTTCAATGACTATTAAATATTGGACTACTACTATTAATCCTGATGCTTTTGTTGCAATTTTCTATGTTTTGATCGTTGTCATTAACTTTGCTGGTTCAGCAGGTTATGGTGAAGCTGAATTCTTCTTCAACTCTGCTAAATCTTTAATGCTTGTTGGTTTCATCATTTTATCAATCATTCTTTCAGTTGGTGGTGCTGGTGATCATCATTATTATGGTGCTCATTACTGGCACGATCCAGGTGCATTTGCCAATTCATTCAAAGGTGTGTGTGCTGTGTTAATCAACATGGCTTTCGCTTTAGGTTGTACCGAAGCTAATGCATTTATGAGTTCTGAAGCTAAAAACCCACGTCGTGCTATTCCATCAGCTACAAAACAAGTTGTCTATAAAGTTGTTTTCTTCTTTATCGTTCCATTATTTTTGATTGGTTTATTAGTTCCATACAATTCACCAGAATTATTAGGTTCAAGTGGTTCAAAAACACATGCTTCACCATTCGTTATTGCTGTTTCTAAAGTTAAAGTTGTCCCACATATTGTCAATGCTGTTATCTTGTTGGCTGTTTTATCTGTTGGTAACTCTGCTTTATTCATTGCATCCCGTACTTTACAATCTTTGGCTGAACAAGGTTTTGCCCCATCATGGTTCAACTACATTGACAGAACTGGTAAACCATTAAGAGCTTTGGCTGTTTCATCTATCATTGGGTTATTCTCATTCATTGCTGCCTACGATAAACAAGAAACTGTTTTCAATTGGTTATTGTCCATTTCCGGTTTATCTCAAATCTTTACATGGACTGGTATTTGTCTAGGTCACATTAGATTCAGAGCAGCTTTCAAAGCTCAAGGTTATTCAACTAACGAATTAGGTTACAAGTCTAAAACTGGTGTCTGGGGTTCAATTTATGGTGTTGTCATCAATTTTTTAATTTTAATTGCTCAATTCTGGATTGCATTATGGCCAATCGGTGGTGATGGTAAAGCTAATGCTAACAGTTTCTTCCAAAACTATTTAGGTGCAGTTGTTGCCCTCGTGTTTTATGTTGCTCATAAACTATGGCACAGAAACTGGAAATTATGGATCCCAGCTGACCAAATTGATTTACGTAAAGGTAGAAAGATTTTTGATGCTGATGTTCTTGCTCAAGAAGATATGGAAGAAACTCAAAGAATCAAAAACTCTCCATTCTATGTTAGAGCTTATCATTTCTGGTGTTAATTTGTCTTCATTATGACAAGGTTTTAATCAGACCGTGTACACGTTCTTATGTCTTTTGCATCATATCATGATTCTTATGATTTTTAATTGTTGTGTTTTTTTTTATATATTATTTTGGTTGTTGTACTTTTATCATTTGATTTGCATATATGAGGGTTAAGCTGAATTGTTATACATCAACATATCTATCTATGATCAATTTGATCATTTAGTGGGTAGGGTTGTACAAATAAATGGTTTTATCCTTCAACATTTTGAACGTTGTAGAACAAATGACAAGTTTAAGCACAGCAATTGAGACTATACCATGACTCTTATGTTTTCTCTTTCTTTACTAACTCAATAGATCAAACTGTTGATTGTTATTTCTCAACAAACGCATTCGCGGAATCTCATTGTCGCGATTTTTGCTCTGGAACGCGAAAAAAATAAAAAAAAATCAACAAGGTGGTGAAAAGATTTTGAGCATTTTCAGATACTTCCATCAAGATCAAAGGTTGTCGAGGCTTGAAACCGTATAATAATCATGTCATTCGCTTCAAGCTTTGGGAGTCTTTCCACCAGAAAGAATGTTCTAAGGATCTTGGTGGCTGTTGTGCTGTTTCAGTTGATCTTCAACTATCTATTACCTGAAAGAGTTAGTTCGCCATTAAATAAACCTACATTTGAAGAATCTATTCAGAGCAGTCAAGCTACTGGTAAACCAAAGCAACAAAAGATTGATTCAGAAGTAACCATACCAGTAATTGGTGGTCCGGAACCACCTTTCCATCCTGAGATAGAGCTTGCAGGATCAAAGATTGATGATAAGACTAAACAAGAACCAAAAGTGGATGATCTTTTGGGTAATCCATCATCTGGTGAGAAATTAGACGGTAAGATCAATGCTGAAGCTGAACCAAAGAAAGAACAACTGATACAAGAGCAAACTTTCTTTAGAAAAGCTGTTGATATTTTTTTGAAAAATAAGCCAGAAGGTATTGATAATGTTGAACTTAATGGCCAAGCACCTTCATATTATTATATTGATCTTCCAAATCCAACATTCACTATCGAATTTTTGGAACAATTTACTAAAATGTCTGAGGAGCAATTGAAAGAGTTGACAAAGAAACATACATCATTAAAGCAAGATATTTTGAAATTTGATTATCCTAAAGACACATTCAAAGGTAAAGGTATTGTTATGGTTGCTGGTGGTCCATTTCTAGGTACTGCTCTGACTTCTATAAGAGCTTTGAGAGAAACCGGCTCCAAGCTTCCTTTACAGCTAATGTTGACTTCTTTTGAAGAGTATGATAAAGATGTCTGTGAAACTTTGTTACCAAAATTGAACGGTAAATGTTTAATTATGGAAGAAATTGTCGGGTCTGAAACTTTCCAAGGTTTAAAATTACAAAAATATGAATTGAAAGTTTTGGGTTTGTTCTTATCAACTTTTGAAGAGGTCTTGTTGATGGATGCTGATAATTTGGCTGTTAAAGATCCTGATTATATTCTTGAATCAAAACCATACAAAGAATTTGGTTACATCATCTGGCCTGATTTCTGGAGACAGACAATTTCACCATACTTTTATAAGATCGCTGGTATTGATATTGGAGAACCTGTCAGAAAAGATGGTGTTGCTCCCGAAGAACCAAACAAACCTCGTTCCCAATCACAATTGTCAGATTTAGATGGTGCAATTCCAGATTCCACTTGTGAAGCTGGTCAATTGGCAATTAATAAAAAGTTACATCATAAATCGTTGTTGGCCACAGTTTACTATAACCTTTTTGGTTTTAGATTCTATTACCATTTATTAGGACAAGGTGCAGTTGGTATCGGTGATAAAGATACTTTTATTGCTGGTCTAACCGTGTTCAAGGAATCTTATTACTTCATGAAACAACGTCCGTTATTGTTTGGTTATGACCATAAAGATGGCTGGCAAGATACTACCATGGTTCAATATGATCCGGATCAAGATTATGAGTATTATCAAGCTGCTAAAGAATACCTAGTTAAAGAAGGTATCGATTCAAGAATTAATCTTTTCTTGAATTGGGAATACACAGGTGAATTGAAAAAGAAGATACATGAAGCTATCGGTAAAAAGAAACCAGAAGTTCAATTTTTACATATTCATTATCCAAAATTTAATGCTAAGAAAAATTTTGAAAATGGTGATTACGAGATTAATGGCCATGATAGAAGACAATTTGGTTCAAGAGAAAAAATTAAAAACGATTTACCATTAGATTGGGAATTAAAAATTTCCAGAATTTCTCAATGGTTAGCATGTGAATCAAAAGTTGTTCCAAAAGATTGGATGGTTGAAAATAAGCAACAATTTTGTGATAGAATTAGAAAGCATGTTGATTGGTTGAAAGAGACCAGTGATACTCCAGAGATGGCGGAACTAAAAGACTTGGGGGTATAGAGTACTTGCAATGTGACATTAATTTTTGTTTTTTTTTCAATCATGACTATTCGTTTATTCGTAGGCAAACTATACAACAGTTGTCTTTCTCATGAAGATTGCGCTTTCAATGCCTCTTGGACTGCCTTGTTCCACAAATCTCTTGTCTCTAATGCTAGTTTATTTCTTGTGTTTCTATGAGTTGCAGGGGTGCTGTTGAGTTTCATTTTGGATTTACAATAAAGCAAAAGCATGCTTGGAACTGGATAATTTGAAGTGAATTGGAAAAAAATGAATATCTGAGCTTGCTTTTCGAGCACTGACCCACACAATACCTTATTTTCACCTTTGCACGTATCGATATAAGTTTTCCATGGATTAGATTTCAGTTGAAAGTGATCAGTCTTTGGAGGATTGAAATCAAACTTGAAAGGTTTAGGAGTTTCAGGTTCTAAGCCCTCCTCTTCTGAGCCTTCTGATACTTCCTCTTCCCCTTCTGAGTTAGGCTCACCATAAATGTTCCCGTATTTATTGAACAGCTCCTCATATTCTTTCAAGTAAAGCTCCATATTAAAATGTGCCATGTTAGCAGATTCTTGAGCCAATTTAGCTTTATTAAACATTGCCTCAGCTATTGCGATTGACTCTCTATACTTTCTTTCAGCTTTCTCCAAGGCATCTTCAGCGGAAAGTTCAATTCTCTCTGCGATCTTATCAAAATCTTCACATTCATTGGTAAACTTTTCTCTATCTTCGTGACATTTCTCAGCTTCCTGTTGTAATTCACGGATTTTTTTATGAAAATCAGCTTTGGACATATGCTGCTCTTTGAAACGCGATTTTCTTGGTCTAGCAAATTCTCGTCTACCATTTTGCTGTGAGCCCGAGCTAGCATAATATTGTGGGTTAGACCACCCAGAGTTTGGGTAAGCAGATTGAGAGGCGGGCCTCTTTGCTTTTTTTCCTTCATTGCTGGGGAATAAGTTCTTCAATTCTTCAGACCTTTGCTTTAGTTTCTCTTTTCGAGCACGTTCAGCACTCTGTTTCTTCAGCACTTCCTCTCTTAATTTTCTAGCCTTCTCATCCCTTAGGGCTTGTTCTGCTCTCAACTTTTGCTCTTTCTCTTCATTAGCTCTCTCTTGCTCCTTCTTTTTCTGTTCCATTTTCTCTTTTCGTAGCTTTTCTTCTATTTTTCTCTTCTCTTCCTCTCTTCTTTTTTTAAGTACTTCTTCTTCTCTCTTTTGCTTTTCTCTAGCTTTTCTTTCCCTTTCTGCCTCTTGTACTTTAGCATCTTTTTCCGCTTGATTCTTCTTTCCAGATTCCTCTTTCATTCTTCTCAATTCAGCCTGTTCCATCTTTTGCTTTTTGGTACGCTCTTTCGCTATATGATTTTGGGTCACATGAGTTCTCTTATAAAACTTTTTATACCACTTGTCATATTCAGATTTTTTGGTGGGGTCTAACAGCACTTCATAGGCCCTATTAATGTTTTTGAAGATCACATCACCAGCTCCTTTACCTTTATCTGGGTGATAGATCAATGCAAGTTTCCTAAAGGCTTTCTTTATAGTAGAAGGATCAACATCAGAAATGTGAGAGGTGACTTCGATTTCTAAAGCAGTGTAGTAGTCTTCTTTTGCTTGAACAATCATAAGATCACCTTCAATGGAGTAAAATAGATATCATTTAAAGAGAACAACAAATTAAAAAAAAAATTTGAACTTGTATTCTCTGTTTTGAAATTTCTAGATCAATCGTTTTCGACATGGTCGGGACACTATTAGATCGCAGATCGCAGAACGAATTCGCGAAATGACAGAATATCCTCTACTGTGTGTATATAAGGTAATTCCGATGTTCTATTAATATACATATAATGTTACAATTAGTGGATTCTTGATTCTTCTTATAGTTGATGTGAAATGTTGAGTATTGATGAATTGTGCATAATTGGTTATTCTGGTTATGTAATACCTGACATTCCCCCCCTCATTTCTGAGTATTTATTGAATGTAATAATATTAAATATGATGAAACTTGATTTGGAACTATATTGTGTTGTCTTTTGTTAACCGGTGTTCAATTGGTTGTGATTGAATATGAAAGAATGAGTGAAGTACCTATAGATTTAAAAAGAAATGATTCTTGAATGGTGTGGAGGTTAATGTCTTTTGAATTTCAGGACCTGAGTATTTCTTGGTGAGAAAATCTGAGCAGTTTGAGATACCTGAAATATGATGGAATGTAACAATGTTATCTTCTTTGTAGCATTTAAGTTGTTTAAATCTA